ATTGTACTTGTAGTTGAGCTTTCGCCGAACGCGACTGTAAGTGTTCGCGCAGGCCCGAGGTTGAATTGGATCTATTGTTCTGAGATGCCCCGGAGTCCGCCTCCTGTGGCTCTCGCAGCTTTGCGCGTGCGGACCAAGCTGAGTCTAAGTGTAGATCTTCATGTACTTTTCGTGCACGTTTACCTCTACCTTTAGAAGAACCCCGACCCTGTTTCGGTGGCGCGCTTCTTGCTCCACTTGAAGAAGCAGGAGAACTAGTTGTAGTTTTTCCACGATCGTAGGCGCGCGGCGGGTTGTACTTATCAATCTTCTGCGAAAAGTTCTTGCCCTCGTCAGGACGAACATCGGTAGGGGGCAGCTTAGCGCCGCGAAGAGACAGGTAGATTTTCTCCCGCCTGAATGATCCGGTCCCTTCCTTTGTCGTGTTTTGTTCTGCAGCAAGCGGGTCAACCGTTCGTCCCACTTGTTCAGGAGTCGAGGCCTTTGGGGTGCTGCTTTCTCTCATCAGGAAAGTCTTCAACGGAGACGCTGCTATAGAAGTTTTTCTAGTGCTCTTGCTCCTACTACTACTACAACTGCTACTACTACTATTTACCTTGTTGTCCCTAGTCACCAGATTTTCGGCGTTAAATGGTGGTGTTCCACGAGACTTCGATAAATTCCTCGTGTCTCGCTCTTTCTGCGGAACATCTGGTGCGGAAACCTGTTCCCGTAACCAATCCAACTCGCGCTCGATTTCTGCTTCTGCATCCTCGCGACGCGCAGGGTCCGCGACACGTCGCGAAGAAGATTTTCGCAGTATGGACCTAACCTTTTTCTTGCTCGTAGTGGTCTCGTCATCCTTGCTAGTCTCCTCGCCAGCTACCTGGTTACTGGTACCTCCACTGGTCGTACTGCCCCCCTGCTCCCCTCCTGGATGGGCAGCAGCTGTAGTAGGCATTTTTGGTGTTCTTGTGCCGTCATCTGTTCTTTCACGAAACTGTTGTTCGTTGTTCTGTTCAGGTGGAGGTGCATCTGAGATAGCCTGCGCTCGTTCCGCCTGTTGTAGTTTGGCTTGCGTTGCTCCTGACGTTGCACATGTAGTGTCCTCTGATAGAGTTGTGACCTCCTCAACCGCGGCAGATGCAGTAGCAGCAGCAGCAGACTCGACAAAAGAAAGCTCGATAGGGGACGACGTCTCTTGCTTGTCATCGACAGGAGACACAAGAATTGCAGCACTGCCCGTTGCTGCTCCTTCTTGTTGCAAATCCTTGCCATGTGCTGGAACATCACGAACTACAGATGCCGACCGATCGTCGCCATGACCAACGAGTTCGCCACCCTCTAACGTCCCTTCTTAACGCTAGTTTTTATTCACTATCCTTGGTTCTTGAGTGAGATGCCCTGCGTTGTTCCCGGTAGTAAGTAGTTTCCCCTTTTAAAAGTAATGACGTTCGGAGATTCAAGAACAAGCCCTTTCAGATGCTGCACGAATCGCACTTGTAAAAATATGGTTCTAAACATGCATGAAAATTAACAAGGGAGCATAGTCCACATCCATGGGACGATAGTGGCAAAACTATAGCCTTAACGACCTTCCCACTGCTGAGGTCCACCTTCCTCTTGGGCTTTTTTTCTTCTGCCGGGCGGGGATCGCTTTTGCCTTTGCGTCGCAGTAGAAGCCGAGTCCTTCCGCTCTCCTGAAGCTTCTTCTTGATTTTGCGCCCCTTCGCTTGTTCTCGATTCTGATCTACGTTTCGAAGTTGTTAGATGCTCAGGGTCGGTCGTGGAAGTTGTTAGTGCTCCTGAGGCTCTTCGCCGCTCCCTAGAAATAGTTCTACTGCTGGCTCCAACTGGACCTGGATGTCCTCCATTATTGAGAGTTCCTCCACTTGAAGTTGTACTGGCTCCAGAAGTTGATGACCGTCGTCGAAACGCACTTCTTTGTAGAAATGCACTTCGTCGCACTACTGTTTTCTTTAGAGCTAGCAAAGCCCCATCTTGGCAGATGGCATCCCGGACCCTTTTTTCCCTTCAAAACAGTCTCTCTCGGGGCATCAAAACCTGTGACGAGCCTGTATTTGTGGTATGCCTGTGAAGACGGATTTGTGGAGCTAGCCTTAATTTCTTTTTCGCTTTGCGATCGGGTGACGCGCCCTTGTTGGGGCCAGCAGAAAGGGCCAGCTGGATTTCGGCGAGCATGCCGATTGCATTCACAAATTTCTCTTCTTGATGTGGTCCTCCCGTAGATGCAACAGATCCACCTTCATCTCCTGCTTCGTCCGCTCTAACACTTGTTATAGCTCCTTTACAACCTTTTTCGGAAGAACGAACTTGAAGACTCAATAAATTTAAATATATATAATTTGTTGAGGATGTCCTAGTTGTCCCGATTCATCATGTACTCGGGCCATTTCACGTCCACGCAACGACAAAGCAAGCTAAGTCTGCGCAAAGAGATCCTGCATTTTGAAGCTTTTAATGCACTATTTAATACTATAGTGCCTCTTTTATAAAGTATTAGGTTGTGACCCAGATGTAGAGTGATAGACTCAATAAATTATATAAGTAATTGAGTCAAGTTCTGTGTTAGATAGTTTGAAGGTGGGAATATAGTATATTCGTCGAGGGAAAAGTATCCGGCGCGTTTCTTTGAGTGCTTCAAGCGATATATATTATACTCGAATTCAAGAAGAGTAACAGCTGCGCTAGTTTTCGTCTCTTTCCATCGTTCAGAAAGAGTAAGAAAATTATCGTCGATCAACAAAACAAGGAATGTCCACCCCTTGTTTCTTTCTAGGGACGCGGGAGGATTCTACTCAGAAGAACAACAGCTGCTGCTGCATTGATTATGATTTAAATATTAACTAGCCTTAACGCTGCGCCGGCTTGGGGAAAAAGAAACCCCTGCGACCGGGGCCCCGCCATCGGCCCCCAACAAGACGCCAGCAGCTCTGCCACTGGTACTTGTTCTACTTTTATGACTACTTGATGCAGTAAGAACATTTGAAGATGATGCTGTACCATTTGCATTTGATGACGATGATGCAGTAAGAACATTTGAAGATACTGTAGCGTTTGATGATACGATCTCGATGCCACCAGCATCAGAGGAGTCCTGCACACCCGCGGAAGACGAGAGGAGTATATGTCTCTCAGCTTCAGCAGACCGTTTCGCTACGGACAGCAATCTTGGCACGTCAATTGAAGTGCCCGCATTGGCAAGCGTGTTGATTAGAGGTAGACCCAACGAGAATTTCGATCTATCAATTCGATATCTTCTGTTAAAAGTAAAACGCAGTAGACCCTAGCTAATAGAATAATTCATTGTTTTTGAGCCCTAACGCTAACCTAACTAAGAAGATGTAGAATAATCTAAATCTTAATCCTTACGAGCCTTAAATTAGCCTTTAATCCCACTTTCCCGGATCGGCCTTCCAACGGTCTTCCTCGAACATGTTGGTGCAAGTTCTCTGGCGGTTGGCCCAGTATTTTCCCAGTAGATTTGGACGATGCCACATCAGCATGAGTCCTGCGTCGCAAAACCCTTAGAGGAGGAGCGCAGCACAACATCAGTCTATTCTATGTGGCGTAACAAAGTTGTCCGTCGAGGTCCCTGATCTTTTGTGCTTGAAGAGAAGGTTGTGAGTCAGGCCTTGGCAAACACACTCACACTCATCTCTCATAGTACGGGTCAAGAGCAAGGCAAAAGGACGCGGAAGAGTAAATTATAAAAACAACAGTCTATAATATTCTTATAAAAACAGTAACTAATACGCACCAGTACTTGGGGTAACAACGTTGTAAATAACTATGGCTGGAATGTTTGATGAATGTTAATCCATGGACTATACGAGACGCCTTAGAATCCCCTTTAACGTTACTCCGCCTGCTGCACTCGCCGCGCCACTCTCCGCAACAGCATTCCCCGTCCCCGACGACCCTGGTGATATCGTTGTTCGATCCAGCTGTTGCGAGTCCCAATTTTGCCAGCCCTTAAGCGTGACCACCTGCAACTTCTGGTCACCAGCTCCAGAAGGACGAGCCTGGGTATCTTGGTCTCGAATAGGCGCTGAGGACGACGTCTTAGCAGTACAACTAGGGGACGTCGTACTACTTTTTTGAGCGGCCTCATCCTCCTGTATACCAGTGTCAGAAGCAAGATGATCCTGCATTCTTCAGTGTGGTCAGCAGGAAGATGACCGTCCATTCATCTTCCTGTATGGCAGTGTCAGCAGCAAATCCTAGGCGACATCCAAAAGCAGGTGTCATCGTGTCGCGAATCATGTTGTCGGCGAATCATGTTGAGCTTGAGGTTGCACTTAGTTTCTGAGTCCTCTCAATCTGAACGTAGACTGGAAAGTTAATTTCACATAAGTAACTACTCTTCAACTACAAGTGACAAAATCGTCACATCTCCTTCAATCAGATTCCGAGGAGGTGCAACAACTATCATAACGCACTGAGGCACTCTCTATCCGCCGTGCTATTGTACGGTTCTACGATATCTGCTCTCGTCGTGCTCCTGTACATAGATCTGTACGAGTATATTGCCTTTGAAATGATTGAAATTGTGAGTACAATGACCATGTCTGTTGTCGATCGCATAATTAGCACATTTTTCATACTACTAGTAACTAGTATTTCATTTCCTTTTTTGGCAGTAGTAGTTAGTAGATGAGTAGTAACACTGTTCGGCCGCGCTAGTAGTACAACAACTACTGGTACATCACCTCACTCGCTGATTGATGTTTCACTTTTAATAGACATGTTTGTTGAGGTGATAAAAACCGATTCTTTCTCTCTGCATCTCTCCAGAATGTACTACATCACTGGGCGAACTCTTAGAAGTCTCGTGAGTCCTATGTGTTGTAGTTTGTCGCTCACTCTCCTTGTGCATCCATCAATCTCTCGAGGTCGTGGAAGGCTCTCAGGATACACGCTTCTTGGACTGATGCGGACGATGGAAATGACAGACTCTTCTTGCGGGTGGAAACCTTGTGACTCTTCTTGCGATATTTCGTATCGGTCCCTTAGACCTTTGCAACTCCATCATACTAATCCAATGTCATCATGATACGGAGAATTTTTCGCAGCAACGACGTTGACGTTCCACCTGCTTTCTTGTCAATCCTTGATATCATAACCGCTTTATTTACGCTGTTCGCTCAGCCAAAAATGACTGTTTCCTGATTGTCAAAGATTATTTTAACGACTAGATGAGTTACACTCTACGTTAATGCTACACTTCTCGTTGTCAATTCTACTCTTAGCCCATAATTGGTTTAGATACTAGACAGACACTGCGCCTCACTACATTGTCGTGATAATGGTATGGTACATTTTTTATGCAGCAACCTGTTGAACATATTCCCTTCTTCATCAATTATACGCGTCATCGGTGTCATTTCATCCCCTGTGTTCATCCCTCAGTCGTGTCAAAAACTACAATGAGTAAAGGTTTTATACAGTTATGGGTGGTCTACGACGTCTACAATACAAGAACATGTTCTACTTCATCTCTCTCCTTTACGATTACGTCATGTAAGTAGATGCAACCGAGCTCCTTAGGCACCAACTCGTTCGTCATCGTCGCCGGATCAAAGTTTTAAAACAATATTGATAGCAACTGAGTGGAAAAACAGAAAACTTGACGTGGAAGGTCCAACTCTCGATGGAGAAGGTGGAAAACAACTATGCATAATTCTTGTTCATTTTGTTGAGGATATCGTCTAATACTGTTTGTTTCATTTCTGCAGTGCAGTTGTCACTTGGAGGACACCGGTGTCATTGGTGATAATCAGGACTACAAGGACGACTAGTACATTTTTATCAGGTAAAACTACGAGGGTGGTTTTTTTGGCTTTCACGTGTGTGGAGGAAAAAATTGCTCATCAGAATGAATCAAGTTCAAGTGTGTACCAGCACGACCTTGCTCTTCACATACGTAAAGATATGCTTTCATATACTTAGAGATGGTCCCTGTTGCCATCGTTCATGAACATGATAGCCAACATGATAGAGCAGGCGACGTGGTCTTCATATTTACTTATTGATTCTCATCTGAGCGTTGACTTGCTGGCTCCCTTAGACCCTTCTATTGCCCCTGTGCCGTCCACCTGCACGCCCAATTTTTCTAGAAAGCCTGCGTCTTCCACGTTGGCCGTGAGTTTCTCTGCATGCTCCGCGTTCGCTAGAATCGCTTTAATGGCTGCGTCTGCCCTTATGTATTCGAAGTGCTGCCGCTTTTCCAGATCCGACCTCAAGTTTTTATTCCTCTGGCACAATCGACGGCTGTCCACACTTCTCTGACGGATTTGCTCTCCTCTGTCTCGCTGAATTCGTTTCAGCAAGGCGTTTAAAGCCTTGTTTTGCTGCGCACGCAGTCGCTGCTCAAGTTTTTGCACCTGATCGACACTTGTCGAAGCGAACCTGAAGATCATACATATGAAAGTTTCAGTGCTTGTTCGCACTCGCGCGAAGAAATCATGCTCATGATATGAAGTTGTAGCAAATAGAAGTACTAACTTCACTCGCTCATGTACAGATCATGATGAGTCGCAAGTCTACTAAAAACCTCTCTGCCAGTAACTACATCTCTAACTAGGTAGAAGAAGTACGAGTTTCTCTAGTACCACGTTCTTTAAAAACTACAGGAACGCGTTGTCAAGAAGTACTTCGCTATCTCCCATTTTTCCATTCTGTCAGCCTGCTCTTTGACTTTGCTTGCCTCCTCGTAGAGGCCTTGCTTTCCAAGCACTTTCTGCTTTCTCCGCAGTTCCAGCAGGTCTGGAGAGAATTTGCACACTCTGGGTTGTCTCTCGAGTTGGTCATTGAGTTCTTGAAACTGCAACGCGTGTTGCTCTTTCAATTTCTCGAGCGACATGTAAGCGGTGCTCTCGTAATCCGCCATATACCTGTAAATTTTCTAAGTAAAACTGAGTTCTAGCTCATAAGGGCATGATCTTGGAAGATCTAAACGTCTCCATTAGGATCAATAGTTAATGTTTACATTACGAAAAAATCTGGGAGCAGGATCATGTATCTTCAGTGCTGTATGCTACAACTATTGAAGACTTCTATCAACGGGTCGTGCTCGTGGAGGTCATGTAATATTAGGATAGGCCGTCGCCGCCTCGGCCACGAGCCTTGCAATTGTAGTATCCATCGTAAGCAGGACCAGATCGCAACCCATTGAATAACAACTATAACAGCTCTAGGTACTTAGCCTGTTGTACCTATCCCATGCGGCTGAAAATTCCAGACACTGTTGCTTTTGGGCAGACTCCACCTCTGATATCTCGTGCACCTGTGCTTGTTCGATTAGTCTCCGTTGCCGTATAACCTCCTTAGACCTACAAAAACAGATTCATTGATTTTGGTCGAGCGACGATACATAAAAATAATAGTGGACGTGGAGGGAAAATAGTAACATAAGTAACATAAGATTATTTCAAATCCTTTGTGAAGATGAAGGAATAACCGATGTGAGAAATTCGACGTGCCGAGTCTGTAAAGCCAACAGCTCCGAAGTTGAACAATCTCGTCTTGCATTAGTTGTACCTCAGTTCCTCGTATTTCGCTCTGGATTTTTTTGCTTCTCCATAGTCTCCTTTCGTTTCGCATTGTTTTCGGTACTGCTCTAACCGCCTCATCAACGCTAAGGGTGTTGTCATTTTCTCGATTGCATTGGTGCTAGTAGTATTCTTGTAGTCGTTGTAGCTGTTCTGAAAATGTCCTCCACTACTACTGGAAGAACTACCTCCGGACATTTCAACGTGTCTCATTAGATATTCCCCCATTGCATTCTTCGCATCATCATGATCCTTGATGACCTCTTTTTTCATTGTAGTAGTAGTAGTAGTAGTGTACCCATTCGATTGGAAAATAGGTCAAGTAGTATGGGAGTGATACAGGATGCAATGTGGAAAGGCTTAACCTCAAGGCAGCCACGACCTCGTCTATGCCTGAGCGATTCGCCATTCTGGTTATATTAGGCCCTCTCGCACTCATAGGCGCTTGCTTCGAAGAAGCAGAAGAAGAGGGTCCTGGACCCCTCGCGGAGACAGGCGGAAGCCCTCTAGTCCCCGCTCGTGTGCCGCCAAGCTCTCGCAGGTACTGTAGTATGACGTTTTTGGTAATCATATGGACCAACTCTGTAATGCAGAAAAAAAAAACGCAGAAAAACAAATTGAAGAAATTGGAAAAACGCCAAGTCAATTCACAATTTTGAAGGGATCAAAGTCGAAGGAAAAGTAACCATTTAGGTTTCTTTAGGTTTAAGTGCATTGGGCTAGTTAAGTAATTGACAAGGTCACAAGTTGGTTCGGAAAAAAATACCTTCACAACTTCGGCTGCTCTTGATACGTCCCTTCCCAAATCTACGAGTAGGTTTGGTATATCCCCGAGATCGACGGTTCCATCGTTCCTGCTGTCGTACCGCGAAAACACTTGACCCAGTGACGTGACCATTTCCTGCTCGTTCAACTGCGCTTGGGTTAACGTATGCGGAGGCGGTGGCCGGGAGATCATGTCGGAACCGGTCGAGGCCGAACCGAGCAACGTCTTAGAGGGAGATGCAATCGACATCTTGTTCGGATTTTCTTGGTACTCTTCTACTTGCGTATAGAAGGATAACTTGACTAGGGATTGGGACTAAGAAGAACTACATTACTCTTCCTCGTCGTCTTGCGGACTAAGAAGAACTACACTACTCATTAGGAAGACAGGAACAGGGCAAGATGATAGAAAAATATTTACGTCTGTCATTCATTCATTACAGGGCAAGAAGATAGAAAAATATTTACGTCTGTACTACATGTACGAGAAAATTAGCATCAACCTAGTCTTTACCTTGACTGTAAGTATTCCGACTCGCAATGGAAAATAATAAAGGGGGGAATAAATATTATAGGAAGCTAAAAGAGGAGCAGCGCTCCTAGAGGACAGACCGGGATCTAGCATACGCAAATAAAAAAACTTTAAACTTTAGGTAGAAGCTCACGCCGAATTCCTGGATTAATGTTGTGCATTGGTTTTACAGACTGTCATCGTATCCAACTCTTCACCATTCTGTGCGGTATGAAAAAAGGCATTTCTCAAGAACAGATTCCATTTTCTAACTAGACAGTTCTCAACATGACAGAGACAGAGTGGATTTTTCAGATTGCTCCTCAAAACAGACACAGAATACCAGGAAAGCCTGTCTCTCAACATAACAGACAGATATTCATATTTTTCTACCAGTTCAACCATGGAAGTCAGTGTTGACAAGTCCATAGCGCCGGTGAGTGAGTGAATGAATGCACGACCCGCTCCAGGGGTATAAAAGACCACTACACTACTACTTCCGACACAACAAGCGGAGGTGAAGTGTTCACAAGCACTCATGATGTGACAGACAAAAACCTCTCGCACCGAGAGCTGAGGACAGATCCACTGCGGTTTAGTTCCGGTGCAACTTCAAGAGTCCTTCTTTCTTTGGTATTAACAGTCTCTGTGCTAACACTAATCTATCTTTTGGTATTGAGAGTCTCTGTGCTAACACTAAACGATGAATGCGTCGCGCGCGACCACTGAGACATGAGACCCACACTCACCGGGAGGTTATACTACATCTATGTACACTTAGTACGATTGAGACCACCAAATTTTCATCGGACAATCACTGGTCTTCATGATATTTTAAACATTTCTGATCTTTCATGTTGTTTTCTGAGACTGCCAAGACACGGCTTCGAGAAACGGCCGCGTTCCTTACATAGCTCTAGATTTGAGATAAATTACATAATAGGGAGAAGCATTAGCAGACGAGAGGAGCGAGACATTAGCTACGAGCGAAACATTATGTGAATGAAGGGAATATGAACTTGCAAGATAATCGGTATGAGCTGCTAAAGGTTTGTTACATATCGTGCTGCAGCCACAGCTACTTCAGATTGATGTGCAAGATGAAGAAGATTGAAAAAAATTACTAGCACGAAGACAATGTTACATCAAGTTATAGGATAGGATAGGATTTGGCTCGCCTCAGAAAGGCGAGCGTTTACGACTATGAAAACGCCGAAAAAGCGCACGGACTAGAACAATCGTAAGGCCGACTGAAGCTGAAACACCGCAGGCTGGCCTACACATCGATCTCCGAAGTTTTCGATCCAGCCCCAAATCGATCAGTGCTACGAGGAACAGTCTTACTAGTAGCAATCTTACATGCAATTAGATGGACAGCGTTGCAGGCATCAACATGATAGACACTAGTTGTGTCACAGAGAGGACACTTACATTGGCTTTGAAATGATCACAGATTGATTGAGTCTTGCTTGTATCCGGACTAACCGATTACTGAGCTTGTATCCAGAATACTATTGAGGCTTCAACAATACCCCCCGACCATGATCCAACACTGAGCCTTCCTTGTATCAACAAAAATCACGGCAGCTAGAAGTTGTTCTTGTACTAGCTGCACACGTAGGTAGTATTGGATGCAGCAGGGACTAACCTAAGATGTGAGGGAAAAATACTGGGTATCTTCTATTTAGGAAGCAAGTACTTCATACATTCATAATCATATCATTATCAACGAATCATAAACATAACTTTGACTGTCCGAGCGACGCTGTGGCATGGTTTGCATCGGACTTTCTTCTCCGAGATGCAGGTCGCTTTTCGACAAAGGTGTTGCAGGTGATGAGACTAATCCAGGCTTCAAAGGTTCGCGAGTTGTAGGAGCAATGTGCGTTCTAGTATGTGTGCTAGAACTGTGTAGGCTTCCTGAAGCATGAGCATAGACCACAATGTGCTGTCGGCTTTGTGAAGCAGGATGTTGAGCAGCATTGTCCCCACCCTCGCTTCTGTGGAATCACACAAGTACTTCGAAATCTCTGCCCCAACACGAGCACCAGCATCCTTTTTGGTCCTCGTCTCCATGTCCTTCTCTTGCTTCAGCATCATCTTCTGTGGTAGGTGTCCAACGAGGACCATGCTGGAGACCGGCATCAATCCCGTGATGACCTTCGTGTTCGCTACAGGTATGTAGGAGAGCAAAAGCCTGACCTTCGTCGTTTTCCATCAGGAGCAGCAGGATCTTCAGTCGGGAAACAACAACAGCAACAACTGACAAGCCAACAACAAGCTAGAATAGCGGGTAGAACTCGCCAGGGAAATCTTAGGCATCTTGCCGAATAGATTCAAATCATCATGTAGGAGAGCATAGGCGGAAATGTGTCACCGAGCCATGGCGGGTGAATGCGCCTCGTCGTGACGAAGATTACTAGGATAGGATAGGACAGGCATTGGCTCAGTTTCAGTGTCAGGGGACCTCGCTTCAGCCTGGACTTTCTTTTTTGTGCGAAAAGATAATACAGAACTACTCGGCCGCGTAGCCTGCAACGGAAGCGCAGCTAGAGGATAGTCCACTGATTACTCATCCTCTGAATAGAGGAAGTTTCAGAAGGCAAGCACATGTGGCACAGTCGGTCGGGTCCCTAGCTTCTTCTCCCAACTTAATCGAGACTCGCGTAGTTGACTACCCTGCTTCTCCCAGGAACACAAGCAAGACAACAACATCCTTCGGTAAAGGCGGACATGAGAGAGAGAAATGATCTATATTTCATTTGACGAGCTGAATACTATTCTCCATTTTTGAATAGCATTTGGCACAATCATCCTGAAAGGAGCTCCTTTCTCCAATTCGAAAAACCGAAATAACCAGCATCTAAGCAAGTAGCGAGTGAACTCTGCAGTGATCACGTACAGGGCCAGGGCCGCCGTGCAGATATTGAATATAAATAACGGCAAGAGTGGGCGTCCTACTTGAGTTGTTATCGACGTCAACTCTCGTCTCATTTCAGTTGGTCATGGTCATGTACTAACCCACTTAATCAATCAATCAGTTTGCCTCCACAGGGCGCCGACCTTCCCGCAGCTGCGACTGCCGGAGCCACTTACTTATACTTAGTCGTTGTTTCAGGTTGTCGAGTTGCAAATGGAGCATCGGCGTAGTTGTCCCCTACTAGTGAATAAGCTGCAAGCTTATGCAAGCCATGCGCAGCTTTCCGCCAGTCGTGGACGTGAGGAATCTCGTATGTTATTTATTTCACGAGCATGATTATACTTATTCAGTCGCCTCTTTGTAAGTATAAAAGATCTAATTCCTTCTAAGAGATCGCCTCGACTACGCATTCAAATAGTTCCTATGATTTAATTCTTTCTTGACCATACGTCAAAGAGAAATTCCCATTTTATTTTTCCATGATAAGTCACTTCTACAGGACTATCCCTCATCCACTGTTGAAGGAGGATGATGCAACACTTCTACATCCTTCAGAGGACCATCCCTCACCTCCTTCCTAGAAAAGAAAATCAGGGATGGCCGTGGGCGATGTAGTTGGTTGATGATGACCCTTAGAAAGTCACTTATTCTTTTATTTCTAAAAATTCTATCAACAAGGAAAATATGTGCAAGAAGAGCGTGAAGAACCAAGATTCAACCATTCTCTAGTATTCACTACAGGAGGTGATTGGTTTTGGTTTTCATCGTGCTCCTTCACACACTTGGTTCCAAAACAAATACAAATATATACTTGAATATTTTTCGAAGGATATGATGATTTTTGTTTAGCTTTAGATCATGCGAAAAAAGTAGTAACATAAAATCGACACAAGAACTCTTCTCCGAAGACTAGATGTTAGACTAAAAGAGCTGACGAATAAACTCGGACATAACTTGCAACTTCGTGGTCCCTCCGTAAAAACTAAAAATAATTGTAATGCTATGATTGATTTAACATTCATTTTCACTACAACTACCGTAATTTCTACATGAAATAAATATTCGCATCACTATGTGTAGTTTTTTCGTCTTCTCTTTCCTTCTGCCTGCAACTAGTAGAGCACTCTCGCAACTGGCGGGTTGCACGAGAGTTCTTCTTCTTGCGTATAATCATCCAGATTCGCTCATCCTCGTTATTATTCAAGTTCGCGGCTTCTTGGATGCAAATCAATCTTGCGTTTCATTTTAGTACATTCTTGTGGTTATGTGGATCATTCTTCATAGTCTGTACATTCTCAATCACATTCGTACAAACTACAACATAATAGTTTCGAAAATCTGCTAATTTATTTCATTGACTGAAATAAAAAATGCGTACGTTTACTTTGATGTAGCCAAATTAACAGGTCTTTCGTCCAGGCTTCTACCTCCTTGCGCTGGAACACCCTTTCATCTTTCAAACCCTCTGATCTTTAAAAATCTCATATTCATAGACATCGCCATTTAGATACAATTGCCAACTCCCCCACCTCAGAAACCTTAGTACACCAGGTACAGCAATTCTTGAAGTAGATCAACTTCTTGTCCTTCCCTATCTGTGCTGACGCAGACCACCTCTTTCCCAATTCAACACAGAACGTTCTTCACAGTATTAGAGCAGCTGCCTCAGTTGTACAAATAAGAAGACGAACCAATAAAAACCGCATACCTAAACCTATTGCAAATAAGGAATTATACGAACGACCTCCGAACTATCGAGGGAAATTTTTAGCCGGCTAGAAATATATACAAAAAAACGATCAGAACTTGAGTAGGACGTTCTGGTTCTGCTCGTCAACTACACTTCTTGCTCGTCACAAAGAACTATAATTTCTCAAACCTTCAGCACAAACAAAATATTTACATACTTACTATTCTGCAATTCAATTCGAGGCAATGAATTGAGTACTTTCTTGGAAGGGATTAGAGTCGAAGGAAAGTTAACTGCTTAGTTTTCTTTATGTGCTACTAACAAATTCGGTCATAACTTCGAACCTCTTAGCTCTCTGCCTTCGCCTCTTTCGTGGTCTTCGCCTCGCCGCCGCAGCAGCCTTCCTCCGCCGTGGCCTTTCCCGCGGCCTTGGCCTCTTCCGCGGCCTTGGCCTCGTCGGGCATATTCTTAGAAGTAGAACTAGAAGTATGATCATACATAGACTTCTTTATTATTGATGTGAGTGGAGCTCTAGAAACTGCCAGTTGTTGATCTTGCTAATTGCTAACTCTTGATCTTCATAGACATCAAGTACCTTAATCTTCACTCAGAGTGTTCTTGTTCTCATCTATGCTTACCTTAATCCAAATTATATATAGCTACTGTTGTTTCGATTCTACTGTAGTGACTCCATTGTGGATGAAAATTACAAAAATCTTCCGACACAAGTAATTGTCTCTCGCTTTCTTCTCACGGCTATAACAGTTGTTGCACTCCACGTAAGGTGACGCTGCTAGCAGTACTTGCGCAATTTTTGAACGTTCTGTAGTTGTACAGTACTAGTTGGACTTCTAGAATTAGTTAACTACTAGACCACGAATCTTCATTCCACTTCTATGAAGTAGGATACATATCTTGATTGGAGGATAACCTAGGATGATGATGATGACGATGATGATGAAACCTACCTTGTGCCTCTTCTGCTTGGTTATATACTATATCGAAATAGAAATACTATTGCACTACATGCCTTAACTTTCGCGGCGGCCTCCTCCGCGGCCTTCTCGTCCTCCTGCTTCGCTTTCGCTGCAGCCTCATCGTCATCCTTCTTCTTCTTGGCCTCCTCCTCTGCCTTCTCAAAAGCCGCCTTCTCGTCCGGCAAGACATCGTAGCAGCATTGGACGTAGAAACTGTCCGAAAACCTGTTCTTGGTGTCATCCACATCGTCACCCTCACGCTGAACTCCGGGATAGTACTTTCTGCCGCCGATGAGCTCTCTCATTTTCCCCAAATAGTCGAAATCAAAGTCGCCCATTTTCGCTTCCGCTCCAGATTCCTTGGCGCCCGGCGCGCGCTTCTTAGTCTTGAGCAGCGTCTTGATCGTCTTGGCGTAGGTCATGAGCTGATTGAGCGTTCCTTGCCTTTCCCTGGCGTTTTGTTCTTTGCTGGGAGCCGCAAGCAGATAAGCTGGCTTAATCTTGGTCATCTTCCCCTTTTCGCATGCCTCGGACGCTTTGACCACCGCGTAGAAGTCCTGGTAGCTCTGCGCACGCTTATTTTCATCGTCAGAAGACATACTACCCTCATCATCTTCATTGGAGAATCCCTCAGCAGCGGGGTTGCCATTCTTCGGTTTCTTCACGCCCACTTTTTTTTCGACCGCCTCTTGGCGAAACGTGTTGAGAATTTCACTGCACAACGTGTCTTTCTTCCCCATCATGGTGGTATGAGTGGTAGTGAACTGCAGAGCGGAAGTACTGCCGATGGCAGCGGCGCCGATGACGATCTGCTTGACAGACATCTTGTTATTTCTTGGTTTGTTGATGGTTCGTTGTGACGAGATGTTTTTAGGTGGTTCCTTATATTTGGAAGGAAAAGTTGTTGTATTCTACTTGTAAGTGGGTAGAAATTGAAATTCTTGTTGCGTGAAGAGCGCCAGTAACTTGCTTCAAAGCGCAGATGATTGAACAATTGTTCTATCTTGACAAGAAAGTGAAATCTTGAGAGATATAAGACTGAAGAGAATTCTTAGAAAAACTTTTCTACGAAAAGTCCTCGAGAAAATGGGATTCGTAAACGCAAATCTATTTCTGTCAGAAATATTTTGGATGGAGGAGCTAACCTAGGATTTATGTGGAATGGTATAGAGGAAATTGAAAATCAGGACGATATATAGGATAGAACGATAGGATGCCTCCTGAGGCGTCGGTCGACTCACTCCTGCCACGCAGACCTGCAGCCACTCACACAGAAAATTACTCCTCGTAACAGACACGCATCATAATCGATCACTCAAATCGTCGACGAGTCCGATACAGAAAATTAGTCCTCCTAACAGACAACGAGTATCGATCACTCAAATCAGCTACGACTTTGAGACAGAAAATTGATCCTCGTAACAGACAACGAGTATCGATCACTCAGAAAGGGATAGATACTCTTGGATACACATTCAAAGCTGATTACGACGACCAACAAAAGTATAATACTGAGAAATCTTGATGTTCTCATGAAAAGCATCCCGATTAGTCGCGTCATTTTATCATAGTCCTTCTTTCTGTACTCTCGCTCACCTTTGTACTTGATATCACGACTGTGATTACTGTAGTACGCATGATCTCGCGATATCATGATTTTATCATGAAGAGGATACTCACGTGCCAGTTTCCCGACACTACGAATGGCTCAACCGGTGGCGATGGATGATCCGACTCACTAAATGGGGTGATGTAGTTTTGATAACCATCTGGATCTCGGTATTCTTCTTGAACTTGTTGGCTGATGGGCTCGCGGAGGGCAGGCTCGTGCAGCCAGGGCCATCTGCTTCCACGGTCAAGCTGATTCACCCTGAGCAGCATTCCGAAACTGTCGATCTCGATGGGGGCATTCGATATCAATCTGACTTCATCTCGGTCATGGTGTGTGGAAGTTGCCCTGATCAGTATTCCGAAACTGAAGTATCAACAGTAAGTTGGTGAAGTACTCATTCATACGTAGACGTAGTACATCAGTAGTATCAAAAGTACAAGACTGCTTATCCTGTCAGGAAAATGCGACTCATTGAAGAAGAAGAAGAAGAAGAAGAAGAACTTGCAGTACGACCTGAATAGAAATGACCTAACTAAAGGACTCCTGTTGAAGAGATGCATCTAGGACTTGATTGCAGTACAGCCTAGCCTGTTCTTGGTGACGACAGCAGTGATCCATGTACTTTGGTACGGCACGGCAGCCCAATGATGCCCCACAGGCATGGATCACTGGGGGGGCCTAACACAAAGTACGTGAGCGGACGTAGAGAGATTTATACCGTTTCGAGGCGTAAATATCCTAAGGGGTCCATGTCGTGGAAATCGATGCTCCCCAAATTTGTTATTTCTACTATGCAGCGATGACACTGCTAACGGTCTGTCATAGGAAGCACCACAAAACATCAGAGCAACAGAGACAATTAATCAAAGCCCCTGTTGACTTGTCTTCATCAAAAAGTCACGCCGCTCCTTCATCTACACCGCTTATGCACCAGCACCCACCTACCAAAAGCTACTACCGCAGTGGCTATTCGTGGATCACACAGATGATAAACAAATGATAGCAATATCTCACACAGATAGCGCTATAGCAATATCTTACACGGTAGATGATGATAAACAAGTGATAGATACAGTCAGAGCTTTTCATTGTCATGGTTGTTTCAGGAGTAGCCAGTTGTCGTCCGAAGATCTACGCGCTATCGTTGACATTCAAGCAATCAATCAATCAGGTTGCCTTTTTTTTTTGTAGTGCGAGAACGCCGAAAGGGTGATCCCAGTGTTGTCCGGTGTACCTGCCGGCACCGGCCTCCCCGCAGCTGCGACTGCCGCATTTCTACGATCTTAAATAGGAAGCCTACTTGCGCCCCCGTAGGGTCGTGAAAACGGACTCTGTTTACGATCTTGACTTACGCCCCCCCTATTTCTACGCCAGAAATCATTATGGAAATCGGAAATCTCTCCAATTTCTTCGCTACTTCAACGATCGCACTGTCGGCCTCCGCAGCTGCTAGACGAACAACGTCTTATCAAGGGAAATGCTGCTTGACTACTTTCTCCTGCCGACGATAATTCAGAAATTTGGCCTTGTCCACCTCCGCACAATTGTCAGTAGCGTAACCTGCTTCTAGCTGCTGATGCGTAACCTGTTCCTAGCAGCTTTGCTCTCGGTACAGGTCTGGGATAAACCGAACACCCGGATCTGATACAGCCCGATGCATATCCCCAAGCTGTGATCTTATTAGAGAAAATACACCTTCCTGCCTCTCCGTAGTGACCAACAGGCAGCATACTTATTAGTAGTATAGGAGTGTCCCTCACCCAATATTGCTATGATCACCATCACTCAAACTACATCGAAGCGCCAACATCCACTGACCGACTTACACTTACTTATTTCGTCTAAGTATACTTCTTCTACTCTTGTTAGAAGTAGTTACACTTATAGTACTTAATCATACTTCGTAGCAGTATTTCCCAAGTATACTTCTACTTGTTAGTACATATTTGCTACTTAATCATAGAACTGGGTACCTACTTATTTGCTAAATACGTGTTGGCAGTGCCAGCATAATATGGAATGCTCCGCAGTTAGCACCGGTACTTCTCTGAAGTTCGGATCTTTGGTTGCTAAGAACTGGACACCACCGTGAAACGTCTCCCACGGCCAGCTCGCTTTCTGCATATGCTCAGGAGATATGAAGACGTATATATAAGATGTTGAAGGACTAGGTTTTTGACTGATGAGCGAGGACGTATAAAATATAATCACGATGTAAGGCTCGTGACGATCTCCGGCTACTAAAAATGTACGGGTGATAAAAACGATTCAAGGCTACTAACAACGTACGGGTGATAAAAACGATGCAAGGCTACAAAAAATGTACGGGTGATAACAATGGGAGGATGATACCGATAAAGGGATGATAGTGATGAACGAAGAAGGAAAGTGATAGTGGACAGGGAAGGGTGATAATCATGGACGAATAACCACGCCAGGAACGAGGATAACAAACACATGAGACTCGCCGAAGAGAATGATGGAATGAATGTACTTGTCCGCTGTTGTCCTAGATGAAAGAAGATTTGAAGCAGAAAAACACGTGCAAAGAAGACGATCAATCTTCTCGATGAAAGAAGTAACATCAAGTTTAGGGTGCTCATAACTTCAATCTCAAGGTTACTAGGGTGCTCATAACAAACTTCAATATCAAAGTTATTATTTAGGGTACTATCACATATCATATATATGTATGATGTATCAACTCATAACATCAAGGTTGGGGTGAACTCGGATCGCATTCTTTAAAAAGCGCTGCTGAAAAACTTCAGTGCCAAACTCCGCTATACGATCACCAAAGTCGACATGGCGCTGAGCCCGATTCAACTGCGTCCATCGATGAAAGTAGCGATGCATAAGACCTGTAGCCCGTCTATGCTCCACCTCCATTTCCTGCTCTAGTGTCCACGTGTTTTCCTCCTGCGGTGTTGTAGGTGCGTCAGGAGAATCTGGCGGCCTGGACGAGTATCCACCATCCACGTTGTTGTCACGTTTTGCTACCACGCGCTCTGCATAAAACCGCTTGCCCTCAGCAAGCAACGCTAGTACGCCGAGCTCTTCGGGAGAGGCCTTCAGCGGACTGCGAGGCGCGGCTGCCGCCTTTGAAGGTGCCATTAGAACTCACCCTAATCTACTATCCTGAGATGCATCTCGCACCTATTTATTCCCCCTTATGGGACAGCTTTGAAATGCTTCTGGAGATGGATTAGGTACAGGCTTAATGCTAGCTCAGACTTCACTTGCTTCAACTCACGCTCCAGCCAGCGAGCGTAGGTTTGCATCAAGACACTGCGGTCCTCTACCTCCTCCATTTCCACCTCAAATCGTGCCCGTCTCAGCATCGGAGACACCTCTGGCTCTGGAGACACCTTTGGCTCTAGTGGTATTTTCCTCAAGCTTGTTCGAGTTGCAGTTTTAGAGACGGCTTCTACTCTCTCAGGATTTAGAGACTCTCGACCCCGCTCCCATGAGATACAAGGGCAAAGGGTATCGAGCAGCTGACAAAAATGGACAAAAGCTGACCTTAATAGTTGTTTTTTCTCCTGTTGACACGTTGGCATCACTTTCTTTACCACGACTTTTCTCCCGCTTGTCCACTTCAGTACTACCCACTTCCTTTTTATCTCCTACTTCTAGTTGTTCTCTTTCGTCTTCGACTACAGCTGCTGTCTTTAGAGCTTGCATGTGATGTGTTCCTCACAACTATGTAAATTAATCAACGGAGATCATTATCAGAAGAAATTATAGGAGTAGGAGAAAAAAGTAAGAGTAGATTGATGAAGATCTTCACGGTAAAAGTCATGCCATGCATGTGTTCGCTCCGTGTTGTGATCCGTACTCGACCACCTGTGGTAAAAGTCTGTAGGAGGATACTTTAACCCATCTTAACGCGTCTGCTTCTTCTTCGGACGTATTCGTCGAGGCACTTCTAGGTTGTGCAGAATTTGTGCGCCGCAGGTAGGCAGCGAAAGCGGACTCCATTCGCGCGTCTGCATCGCCATCCCATTCAGTGAAGCCACCAGGCATTTGCAGTCTACGTTGATCCACGCGCGTCTGACATTGGTAGTCGTGAACTCTCAACTCCACAGATGTTAGATCTTCGACTCCTCTCAGTCTCATTAACAGTACTATACCTCTTTCTTTCCAGGGACTGGCAGTGGCCAGGGACTGGCCCAGTGGCGGGTGCATCAAAGCTACTGATGTGGTTGCTACAGTACAACAAGTATATAAGTCTACAAGGCCATCAATGAGTGTACTATATTACTTGGGATAGGAATAGGCAAGGAGAAGAAGTAGGAGTAGGAATAGCACAGGAGAGGAGAGGATCGGACGCCTCGGTGGCCTCGCCACAGCCACACGTCCTCTTCTCATGTATGACACAGGGGACACTATATCATGAAAATGAATTGCCAAGCAACGCAAGAAACACCTTAAAAATGAATCCACGCTCTCAATCGCTTCCGTGAATCCCGCCTCCATGTCATTACCTGCCGCTTTCTTCTGCGAGTTCGTCAAATCGGCATCTAGGTGTCCATCTCCGACTTGAACTCCTTCTACTTCAGAAGGGGGCACTTCTACCTCAACAGAAGTCGGACTAGTGTCGTACTTGCGATTCGAGTATTCACACTGTCGGTGATTCCGCTTGAAGCCAGCCACGTAGTCGTGGCCGATGTCCCAGCCGTCAGCGTTGAAGACGCGAACACCAATGTGCACGTTAAGACGATACAGAGTGTAGTTGAGACGTTGCAGTCGCATCAGCTCTGGTACCCCTACATCGCCACACTCAAAGAGAAAATTTTTTTAGACATAGACAGCGCCCAACATCTTCATTCGTATAGCATCTACGTTCTTCATACTACTAGTCTCAGAATTATCCAAGATGAAGAAAACTGAGAAGAAAGAGAAGAGGACCATGTGATGAAGATGAATTTTGATTTTTATACTATGATGTTGAGCCTTAATTTTCAACCTCGAGAGGAGCGTCCTCGCCAATCTCCATAGCAGATAAGAATCCACGCAATATCGCACCGTCCTCATCACTATCGGTGTCAATTTTCACTAATTTTATCGGGACTGGTCGTGAAGGTGTCGATTCAGCCTCATTTCTGAGCCACTGCTTTGTTGCCTCGTCGTGGAGTAGAAGCCGGTCCAGAAGCCACTTGTTGGTCTCATTTTTCATAGACGATGCCCCCACGAGCTCCCGCGCCGTAATTAGAGGCACCGCTCCCCCACCGCTTCCCTCAGGCCATTCTACGTACTTGGCTTCTTTTTCAAGTAGAAAAGGGCCAGAGATGGCGCTGAGGATGCATCAGCGGGGTAGCCTTAAAGTAAACAAAAGCTGATTTTCCGTCAAGGCACAATATTCATGACCCGTACGGTACAAGGGCCTGCGCCAGTTGAGCATACGCACCGGAACCGAGCTCTGTGGTGAAAGCGAAAGCATACCAGCACCAGCTGGAGGAGTTGAGGAGTCATGAGCATGATCTTCTACAACTTTCTCTTTGTTGTTCTTCAACCGATTTAGATTCTGCATATCGTCTGAGAATGCTGCGAATCCATGGAGCACACGCACACGATTTGGACCCCAGCGCGGGGCGTTCAGGGCGGCCGTCCGCTGCAGTGCTTGCGCCAATCGGATCTGGGGCTCGACCGCCAAGACCTTACTCCGCAGGCCAGCTGCAAGGGCGGCAAACATCCCCAGGGTTTAGAGAAGGAGGAGCTGAAAACAATTGAAATCTACTTCTCACCCTACGCATTGCTGCCCATTCATCCTAAGAAAGGAATGCTTAGGCAGAAATGACGGGTAGAAATGAATCGTATTGAGCCTTAAACATTGCTCCCCACGTCGATCGTGAGACACCACGGTTCATCATTTTCCAGACCAGTAGAACCTCCATACTTAGCGCAAGCGCTAGTTTTTCACTGACTATGGCTGGTTCAGTGAGTTCTTCCCCTTTTCATCCCTCCTATTACATTTTCCCCTTTAAGAACTCAAAGGAGGGAAATCCACTCAGCATTTTGAGCATAGTCCACACCGGACGATAGTGAGAAAAGTGAATAGTAGCCTGTAGCCTTAACTACATACCCGGTTGCACAGGGCAAGAGGACGGACGCTAATACCTCCCGGACGTGGGGATCCAAGTCGAACTCGCCACCTGAGGTCCAGCTACTGCATCGGTTCGCGTGGTAGTAGAGATTGCACGACTTCGGGACCGTCTCCATGACCAAGCGGCATGGCGGGAACGGAAACAACTTAGGACATTCGTAAGACAACGGATAGAACACTGACTTCTTCATTTCTGCCTCAACTTGATCGCTTTTTTTCTGCTCGAACTTCATCTTCGGAGGTGTAGTAGTTTTGCGACGATCAACCTGTGGCTGCTGTGCCGATGAAGACCCCTGTTGTGCCTGCTGTGCTTCTGACTGTTGTATTGTTGCTAAAGAACCTGCTGCTCCCGCACTAAAACCTGCTTTTCCGGCACTAGTAAAAAACGCTGCGTCATGCCCCTCAGCTGCAGCCAGCTGCCCTCTCATCTCCTCCTCGGAAAAAGTTGGGTCTTTTGACACTAACAATCTGACCACATCCTCGTGCGCGGTTTGATACTCACCTCCAGGTCCAGACGCAGGATATTGGGCCTGATATTCCACCGCTCCAGGTCCAGCAGCTTCGCCAGTCATGCTGGCTCCTATAAGAGACCAGAACCACGTATTATAGGTATACCAGCACAAGAAATGCTGGACCACCAGCCAGCAAGAAGAAGTCCGAAAAATAAACGCCATCATCTTTCTAGAAGTACTATAAGAAGATGAATAAAATAAGAATGTCGCTCAAAGATCAACTTTGAATGCAGAACTCTTCTGTGGCAACCGAAGGCTCATATTACCCGCCTCGAGAGACGCAGTTAGAACTCGAATGCAGCAGCTCTAGTCTAGCTGTTACGAGACGCGGTCGGAAGTTGACGAGTGATGTCTCCTAGTCAGTAATGGCCTTATTCTCATTCCGTTTCTCGGTCGTGTCGTATCTCTCATCCTGCTCACCCGCTTTCAGTAATATGTGAAATAGTGATTACAAGGTGTGCCCCAGATGTAAGAGTATACTATGAAATTGGGTCAGAAAACAGGGAGACCAGTGGCTCTGACCTCACGAAGATATAAGAGCTTTTGACTCAATCAACTAGCGTAGGCGGCAGCACGTGCACTTCGAAGCAGGGCAATATTCATACTATAATCTTGTGCATCTTCCAGTTCCACTCAGCTTTTTCTCCAGCTAGCATACCATAGTCGTAGCGAGTAAGAACCCGATGATCCTGACCTTGACGGGGAAGTTGAGCAACGAGAATCTCTTCGAGAGGCACCTATGAATACACATTTTCTTTTTCCGAGAGACGACGATTACACACGTTCTTTTATTGGGTGGTAGAGGTAGGGTTTTAAAATGCCAATAGTCATCCGACAGAGGCAGCGGATAGAGCACACGAAAACGCTGGGCATCCTCTAGACCAGGTGACACGGCCCATCGCTGACACGAAGAGATAGACCATCCGCCAGGCTTTTCTTTCTCTACAACTCTTTACTCACTTCATTTTCCATTTCGCGTTATCTATTTCGTCGTTACTCTTTAGTAACACATGGAATGCGGGTCATGATGAATCTGAAAAATTGGAATAATTGAAATACATTCATTAAATTGCAAACGATTGCCGCGATATCGATGACTTTATTATTCGGAATTGCGATATCGATGTTAGCTGGAATCTTTACGTTGAATAAATGTGAGTGAAGATTACGTTAGACAGATAATGCTTTGATGGGTCGTTACTTATGATCATCGTAATGAGAAAGGACAGAGAGTATGTGAGAAAAAGATGCGGATGATTCGTGGTAAATTACGGATCTCCACCTCGATTTCATGTATTCAGAGGGAGAGCAGCATGACATTTTGACTATTTGGAAACCGGATCGATCGAAAAAACAAACATTCGTTAATTTCTCTCTACATTTAATTTCAAATACTCTCCGAAAAATTACCATAGTTTACGAAATCAGATTAAAAAGAATACGACACAGTCATTGATAAGTAGGTCACGTATTTCTATTTCACAGTTGCTTACATTAGTTGCTGCATGGGATAAGCCTAAGAGTGTGGAGGTGAAAACTAACCGGTTGTTTTACTTATTGCTTTGAGCGTCGCAGGACCTAAACCTTCACCTAAAAGGTGAAAGCCAGTCAAGATTTGCAGCACACCTCTACGAGAAAATAAGGGGGAAACAAGAACATCCTGCTATGGGAGGAGGTTAATTACATAAGATTCCAGATCGTTGCACTTAATGTATCTATAAGAAGCGTCTAGTTGCTTACATTAATTATACAGTTACATCATGTTGACGAAACACACACTGGCGCCTAAAAATGTGATCAATCCACCACAGCTCTCATTTGTGAAGAAGGTACTAGATACTAAAACTTTTCTAAATCTTTGATTCATTGATTTGATCTTACTAACTTTGTGAATCTGTATCTATGATTTGATCTTTATCAAACGGTCATTCTTACGAAGAGTCTTCTACTACAGTAGCTAGATGTTGACACGACTATCTTCTTCTACTTCTTCTGTACAGGAGTAAGTACAGAAGTCCTCGTTTACTTGTCACCGGAATATCGCACCGCAATTAGAGGAGCATCACCAAGGACGAAGGAATCGCCTCGCTTGGCTATTCTTCCTGAGTCCTGACCTTGCTTTCCAAGGTCCGTACCTTTGGCCTTTCCTTTCGAGTCCAGATTCCCCTTGATTTTTGTCATCCTCTGCTGCTTGTCTGCAGAAGTCAGCGTAGCTGTTAGAGGTTTTCGTATCGTGGTTATCAAAAGCAACCTCCTGGATGACCTCGTTTTCCTTGGATAAATAGACACATCAGCACGGCGTCTATATTAAGGGTTAGGCGTGTTCAAACCGCAGGAGAGGAAATGAGACTTGCATACTTACTCAATATTGAGAGCTTGTCCTTAACATCAGATCCCCAGGGCCAGTTTTCTGCTTTGCATTCTGCACGACAACGCTCGAAGTCGAATTGTGATCTTGTTCTTGCTCCTGTTCCTGTTTATCAAAGAGCCTGGCACGCTTACGATTTGAATCGAGAGAATCGCGATCTGCTGGCTCAGCATCTCCGGCAATTTCTTGTTCTGCAGAGGCGCGATCTTCTCCTTCACTTGTTTTAGTTTTGTTCTTATCTAGTTGTAGTAATGACCCACGCGGCTGGCGAGTTGGAGTTACTTTTTCGCGCAATTTTTGCACGTAGTCGTAGACCTGGTCTGGTGCGATCTTCTTCTTGCATTTTTCAACAAAGGCCTGCGAAGCACGGAGCCTCCGTTGAGTGAGGGCCGAAGAAAGACGGTTGGACATGCGCAGCCTTTCTGACAACGGCCACTGTGCAGGTGGCTCGGGCGCCGCAGACGGCTCCAAACTATGCGGCTCGAGAGCGTGAGACTGGGAAGGCGCCTCGGATGACGGCTCGGATCGGCCGGAGCTGATACCAGCAGACTGCGAACTTGGCTCGTGATCAACATGATCTTGTTCCTCTTCCCCAGCAAAAAGACCTTGTTCATCATGTTTTTCTTCATGCGTTTGATGCTCCACGAGCACAACGGAGCCCTCTCCTGCTAGACCACCTGCGACTCGCTGCGGTGACACAAGAGCGGGTCTTTCTAGAATCAGTGGCTCACGCTTACTACCAAAATTGATGTTTCTATCCTCGCGATAATGATGTTGTTGACTATCCACAAACTCGGCTGTAGGGTCCTCTCGATAATGCTGAGCTTCATGGTCGCGATCCCCTTCCCTCCTTTCCGTGACGTTCATTCTCGTTCCCTCAACTTCGACATGGACATCAACGTTCTTTCTTTTTGTCTGCTCTTTGTCCCGCGGGCTCCTGGGAGAAGGTCGAGCCCTCTTGGCGTTAACATCGGGAGATCGCTGCCGCGCTTGCTCGTAGTACTTCCGGAGAGCCGCGGTTGGCGTCTTGTGGTGCAACAACGTTCGTCCACTCAACATCTTTCTTGTAGTATTGTCTTCTGGAGGAGGAACATCTTCGGGAGATGAAATTGCTGTAACTTCTCGTGGTCGACGAGGACGGGCATCGTCCGTATCAATTTCTTCACTAGGTGCGACATCACGGCTTCTTGTATTCTCAGGAGGTGGACGAGCTCGCTCAGATTTATAAAGACCTCCAGGTGGCTGATGCAATGGAGTCCGACTCACACTGCGAACCTCGCGCCCTTTTTTTTGACCAGCATTAACTGGAGTCATCTCCATCCTTGCTTCGGCGGAAGCGCCGCCTCGTCCGGAGGTTGTAGGCAGATTCTCGTTTTTATGGAAGGTATCTTGTCCGTTCTTTGCCCTAGGAGAAGATGAAGGATCGCCTCCATTCTGCTCTCGGGGAGAAGAAGTTCTTTTCATCCTACGCCAAGAATAGTCCGCTTGCTGCTGCTCCTGCTCTTGTATAGCAGCTTCTTTAGAAGACTCATCATTTTCCTGCTCTTCTATGACTTTCTTAGTGGAAAGAGCCAACAACTTGGCTTCTTCAAGACCACGAGGCTCAAATGTGTCGCTCACGTGCTGTTGCCCCATCTTCTTGTTTTCTTGCTCATCTATTATGCCTCCTATGGGAATGCGCGGGATCACTGGAGGTCCTCCTCGTGGTGTCTCCGTCTCATTCTCGACCAAATGAAGGGCTTTTTCCAGCGAAGCCTCGTCGTCCTCCTCTTCGTCAATAATGCCTAAAAGAGAAGAAGGATCTGCATTTCCTGGAGCTTGGTGCGAAGCACTGTATCCCTTTTCTTGCGTCATTGTTGTAGTGCTGCCTTCCGAGTCCTGCTCTTGCTCTCCGAATCGTTTCGCGTTGTCGACGTCCTCACGAACAGGGTCCTCGAGCTCAGCCGCTTCTAGTGGTGCAACGACTTGTTGTTGTAGTTTGCCGTTTGTCGTGTCTGTTTCTCCGAGACTAGGCGAAGCACTCTTGCCGTCTTTTTCTTGTTCTCGACTGGGTCTAGGGGCACTCGTACTGACGAATCTATCATCTTGTTCACCTGCTGTGTTTGGAGAACCGATCCTCTTGGCGCGAGCCTGATGACGCGCACGCCTGTGAAGGTCTTTCAGCAAGCTCTTTCTCATTCTCCTGAGTCTGCTATCGGCGTCACCAGCATCTTCACCTTCAGGTCCCTGTCCACCGCCACGACCAAAGGTACTCACATAATTTTCCTTGTTTTAGAGACAGTGCTTCTATTCATCTCGGTCCCCTCAGCATCTTGGTACGTCACCAACACGATCTCCCCTTATACTTACTTTGCTTGAAGGGAAGATAAGTTGTTGCTCGGGATAAACCTAATTTAGTCGAGGTGAAAACTAACCGGTTGTCTTACTTAGGGAGGGAAGATAAGTCTACGAGTAGAGGGGAAGATAAGTCTACGAGTAGAGGGAAAACTAACCGGGTCACGATCTCCCTTAGATTATTTTGTAAGAAGTATACTTATATTCCATGGAGGAACCATAATTGTGCGTGGCCGCAAGGTACAAGCCATCCGCTATTTCCCCACTCAATTCCTCCAACATGCCTAACAGATTCAGCGCCTCTTCTGGGTAGATGTTTTCGAATGCCTGAACTATGTCCCACAAGTCTAGGTTATCGATCGGGATGCGTGTCCTCTCGATGCCCCTCAAGTTTTGTGCCGCGAAAGCCAATATCGCGCGATCCCGAAGAAGTTCTTCTTCATCTCTATCTCGCTGTGGAAGAGTATCGGACAGGAGTTCGAGCTGCCGTCGCGCCTGGGCAGCGAAACTACAGTACCGCACACCAGGGGGGACAATGCACACGTCGTCGAGAGACGAAAACTCGGAGTCTAAAGCTGAGTCCATGCCCGATTTCGAGAACAGGCCAGAACTGCTGGACGACGAACTCGAAGATGAAGAAGATGACGAAGAAGAAGTTGTCGTGGCCTCACCACCTAGAAGTCGTGGAGATACAACTACAGCACCAGCAGTTCCTTGTTGAGCTGACGACTTGTTTCTAGGAACTTCTGATGTCGTACTACTAATCATTCCACCTTCTAAGATGTTTTTCTTGCTGTGCGACTCCTCGTCATGATCGTCGTTTCCGCGACTTTGTTGGAAGTCTCTTGCATAGTCCTGGTCTTTGAAGAAGCGCGCGTATTCTTTCAAAGGGAGGAACTCAGAATGATTGTCGTGGAACAGTTCGCCTCTACGCAGCAGGATTTTGACCAAATTCATGACAAAGACGACACAAATTCGCTTGCGGATCACGCGCTGAGTCGCTTTGGTATCGATTCCCGACAAAAAAGCGGGATCGCAAATCACCTCTCGATTGTGTTCCACTATGTGCGCAAACATGCGCCGCCACCATTTTTCAAAAGGTGCCTGCACAAACCTGCGACCATTTTTCTTCAAGGACGAGGAAACTGCTGCCCGTCCTCCACTGGTAATATCGCCTTTATTGCTACTCATGCTGCTGCTGTCAGGATGTTGCGAAGGAGCTGACGACGTTGGCACGCTAGTATCATCTTCATGGGACGAGTCGCTGTTTTCTATACCTCTCGCGCCATCTCGCTCATCCCGAGCAAGCTGTCTCGAAAAGTTGTTACGCATCGCAGATCCAACCCTTGTCCTCTGCTGGTTCTGCATCTGCTTGAGGAAGTCTCGCCTACCCCTTTCTAAGTGCCGTGCCATCAAGAATTCTTGGCGCTTTCGCTCTTCGAGAGGATCGCGTCGGACGCTCAATGCTGGAGAACTACTTCCGCCAGCAACAGGAGAGCCGCTTCCTCCGCGACTCCGACTTCTATTGTTCATGTTCATTACAACCGCCGCAGGCGGCGCAGCATCTTTATTATTGGTCGCCAAGGTCGAATCAGAGACCGCATGGTTCGCGAAGCTACCAGAGGAAGAAGTCGCCTTCTTTTTAGTGCCGGATTCCGGAGTGGTACCGGTTTTAGGAGTAGGCGACAGTGCGCTAGACGAACGACCTCTGCGAGACCTAGATGAACTGCGTCGTCTGCTCCTGGACTTCCTGCTCGTCGTCGCGCTTGGACTTCCTGCTAGCGACTTTCTGCTTCTACGCCTCGATATACTCCTTCTACGAGTCGAGTTTGGGGATGCCGCAGCCCGACTTCCTCGTGGTAATTTTTGTTCAACAAGAGCACTAGAGCTAGGAGAAGCTTCATCTACAACAACTTTGTCACTCGGAGATGGACCACTTGCTTCACCCTCAGGCTTGCTCCGCCTCCGAAATTTTCTACTGTCATTTATATCTTTACTACTCCTGCGCTCAGAAGATGACGCGCTAGAAGTCCTTGAAGCTCTTGCTTTATTCGTCTTACTACCCTTCCTCTTTTTACTACTTCTACCACTAGAAGAGCCGCCTGATGCCCCCAGATAATAGAGAAAAACTTCTCTGCTTTCGTTGTTAAGAGGAGCCCATTTTCTTGGAGGCCGTACACCGACGAAATAGAACTCTGACTCGCGCGCCCGATCAACAAAGGGAAAAGCCGCTTCGTCCGAGTACATCAGTGCAACTTGTTCTTTCGCATCCTCTACTGGAAAAGCCTCCCTTCTATTTGCTCTACTTAAAGCAGGTCGTACTTCACCATTGTCTCTTGAATCTAGGAAAAACTTGTCTACCTGCGCCCAACCATCTTCTTCTTCACCAGGCGCCTCATCCTTGCCCTCGCTCTTCCTGCCTTTCCTTACGAAACTTTCTCCCACAAGACTTTCTCCATCCTTTTCTGCTTCCCCTTCTCCTGCAGGACTGTGCTTCCTAGAACAAATGTGTCCGACCATTCTACTTCTTCTGCTACGTCTCTTTGTGGACCTATCCCCTCTGCCGGCAAGGTTAACCGTCTGGTTCGGAGAATGGTTCGGAGAGCGAAAGAGAGGAGGAATGTCGCCAATCAAATTGTCTAGCGCTAGCTCTCCGTCAAATGGCCGATCGCGACGTGGGACCCGCAGAGCATACTCATTCATGTCCACGACAACTTCATCGTCTACCTCCTCTTCATGATCAGCACGAACACCTCCACCACGACCACCTCCACCTCGGCCTCCATCTGCGATCCCTTCTTCGCCGCTCGTTGATGCTGTGCCTACTCGTTGACTTTGTATATTAGTAAAACGAAAATGTAGGCTTTTTTTTTGGACTACTCTCGTATCCCTAATAGCTGCCGCAGACCATTACTCGTCATACTCAAGAGTCTCACCATAAGTACTTACTTACTACTTCTAGGCACTCACTGATGTCGATCCACTCATTGCAACCATTTTTGAGCCAAGAACTGCATTCAATGTTTGAGTACTTATATATATTCCAGGGCTCAAGGCTAGAGGCCCCCCCCTGATCTAGGGAGGCGAGGGCGCGGCCTCTAGCCCCGGACCCTTTTTTCGGAGGACCGCTAGGCGGGAAGGCCACCAACAGCCCACCCCCGGCCCCGCGCGGCTTCTTGCGTGTACCCTAAAGATCGGGAGCGCGTCCCTCCCTTCTGTCTGTTCCTTTTGCCATTCTCTTCGGCCACTGCTGTGCTGCACCACCGCTCCATCTACAGGAGGGGCCTCCCTCCCTGGAACATATATGAGGAACAACGATTAGTATTTTTCTTATTTAGGAGCTCAACATATATGATTATGTTGAGTACATAGTCACATTCTTTTCATCATACCTCCTGGTCCCGCTGCAGCAGACATGGCTCTGTCATCATTGAGATGAGGATGCTGCTGTTGCACCTCCACGAAGTGAGTCGATTCGCCTTCGTGGTTCGCCAGCTTTGGCCTCTTTTTTCCTCTGTCTAGGACCGACACCACAACCTGCTCTCCATCGATATGGAATATGTGATGTTTTTTCGATTTCGAGTTAGCAGTACTAGACTGGCCCGCAGTACTGGAGGTTAAGGATGCTGCCAGTCGATGATCTCCTGCATCTGCATGAAGAGACTGCTTTCTCGATGACCTTTCAGGCGTTGAAGACTTCACTTTTGGAGCTGTTGAGAGTGAGACACTCCAGTTTTTAGAGCCAGCAGTTAAAGACCGCACAACTATCGGAGCCCCATCATCAGAAACAGCTCTTGATTCAAAATTTTCATCATCTTCGTGTGCCCTACGCTCACCTGACGAGGATGATTTGCTCGATGTTGCCTTGGATGAAGAGACAGACAACTTCGGAGATGAAGACTTGGAAGTAGATGAAGAGGAGTTCAACAGGAATCCTCCTGTACTTTCGACTACTTTCTCAACGAAGCGACGCGCTTCATTCGCCACTTCCTCCTTCATCGGATGCGCATGCGCTACCTTCGTAGCAAGGTGAAAACCATGGTCCACACTGGTAATATGCTCTGCTTCCCCAAATTGCAAAGTCGATGCACGATCATTAGAAGCTGCTGAAGTCGTGACAACCTCTTGCAAGTGGTCTATGTATGTGTCCGACATCTTCGAGGAAGTAGCGGAACTGCGAAGCAGGTGGTATCCAGTTGGTTGCTTCATTTGGTCAGAATCAGGATTCACCTCGTCCGCAGCAGGAAGATTGAGATTCCCGTGCCCTTGTTCTCCTTCTTCTAACATTAAAATCTCTGAGTCCACAAATACGTGAATGGCACTAGTTGGCCTAGTTCCTCCTTCAACGACAACCGGAGACGAGCCTGCATTTACGCCTTCTATTTCTTCTGATGCCAATCCTTCTTCTCTTTGCTGTCCTCCGGCATCGAGGTCCTCTCTTTCACTTTGCTGTCCTCCTCCAAGAAGAATTTCGATTTCTTCTTCGTCTCTTCGACCGGCTTCCATCTCAGCACTGTCCCCTAATTCCTCTTCAATTGCGCGTATCTCTGGCGATCCCACGAACTCTTGAGTATTATTAACCGCTTGGATATCCTGCTCTGACGCTCCCAGGCTTCTCGTGTGGTCCTCTCCACCTGCACGAGGCGTCGCACGACAAGGCGTGAGCTCTGACGAAGAAGATGATAATTCAAAAACTTTCTTCTCTGCTGCATCAACATCCACTTCTGCCTGCTTATCTTCTATTTGTTCGCCTTTGCTGAAAGTGGCAGCTAGTTCTCGAATTTGGGGCAAACGCTTTCGCAATTGCTGCCAGTGCTGACGCAATCTTTCTTCTCGGGCCACCGCAGCCTCCAGGCTAGCCACAGTAGCTCGAACCTGCGCCAAGCGCTCTGATGTTGACCCCCGCTCCTTCGTCAGGCTGCCAGGAGAACGGCGTTTAGTTCGGCTTCGCTTTCTCCCGGGAACAACAGAACTACTGCCTGTCGTTGTAGTCCGTCTACCAGCACTTGATGTTCGAGCAGCACTTGATGTACTTTTTCGATTCCGTGTCACAGATGATGTTCTCCTAGCAGCTCTGGAAAATGTCCTCGTGCTGGTACCTTTAATAGTCTTACCCGAAGCCGAAGTCGTACTTCTCCTGGACTTCTTTCTACTTGACGTGGTAGCTGCACTCTTAAATTCGTTTCCTGCTTCTATAATTGCTACTTGAGTTGTACTAGAGGCTAACTGGTGTGCGGCTACATCATGCTCCGCTTCCTGCTCCTGGTCTTTCCCGTGCTCCACTTCTTGATGCCTTGACGCTCTTAGCTCCTGTTCTTGCTTCTTTTGAGTGGTCTCTTCTACAACTACGACGTCACCATCACGGTCGCCGGGCGCTTCTTTCTCACGTCGCTGCTCCGAATCTACTGCCGAAGCTGGCACATGGGTGGAACCCTCCTTTCGGGGAGATCTCAAGGGTGGCCAGAACTCTGGCACAACAGGCTCTGGCACAACAACAGGCTCTGGTTGCGTAACAACAGGCTCTGGTGACGTAACAACAGGTGCTGGCTCTCCTACCAATGGGTTGTTCGTCATGATGGGTTGTTCGTCATCGCCAACAGAACTTCTTTTTCTTGTAGCAAGGGTAGTGGAAGAAGCTCCACCAGGTTCTTCAAGAGGAGCTTCCTCGTCGATGCTATCGCTCTCTTCTTCCTCCTGCTCCAGCCTTTGCTGGTAGTGACGCACCCTTGCGAGCTTGCGACGATGGACTGTGGTGCGCTGCCTTGAGCGTGAGAGAGCTTGATCTAGCAGTGCCAGTTTTCGTAGTCGGGCATCATCTGCGGCCACAGACGCAAGGCGGCGCAAATACGACTCGACATCTTCAAGATCAGTAGTTACCTCCTCAACATGATCATCTTCTTCGTCTTGATCCCTCTCCATGCGATCGGCCCCTCTTGCTCCTCCTGCTGCCTGGAGGAAACCGCCTGCGCCGCTACTAATAGAAGCTCCAACGTGAACTCCTGAGTCGCTCTCACTTCTACCAAGAATATCGGCTCCGGAAAGCATTCGCAAGTATTCAATCACCGACACAACAGCATGAATGGTGTCTATTCCATCTAGGCAGACCATCACGGCTATCCCTCTATTTCCCTTAAAAAAGTGTAGTCTTAAGGGGAACCTCGATGGTCTGATAGATGCAAAAAATATCATCCATAAACAGGCGCGAGGAGATGCAAACGACGGGCGTCCTGCTTATCGTGATCGCCACTCTGATCGAGCCGCGAATTAGGGCTGCGATGGAATATGCACATGCCACATTCTACCAACCTCAATGCTACTATTCCCATAGCTATTCGATATTCATATTCGACCTGCATCCCTGAACTGTATCGGCATGGGGATATAATAACTCAGTCATTTTCTTTTCGTCACGGCTGTCCTGCCTCAACAACAAAGATCTGTGAGTTAGAGTAATTAAAACTATACCCTTAATCAAATGCTGATGTGCGCCACGCGCAAAGAGTGCTGCGGCTTTCACCCGCTCCGCCTGTTGGCTTACGAAGAAATCGTTTTTCCTATAACTCTTCGAAGACGCTTCATCCAGGAGAAGACCACTTGTTCGTGTTGTCCATGAGGGTAAGAACTTGTTACTGCTAGTACGGCCTCCACTGCTACGTCCATGACGCGAAGAGTTCACGACTTCATCTGCCGCAGAAGAGGCACGACCACCACTCCTAGTAGTTCTTGTACTGCCACCACGACTAGCTGCACCATTCATACTCTTATTGTAATCGTCATAGGCAGGTTGCTGGATAGAATCTGCAAAGGAGCAATCGTTAGAGCTACCGCGTTAGCGTCCCGGAGTGCATCCTTGGCCATTTTTTCAAGTAGAAAAAGACACAAGGATTACTATTAATTAGGAATTTAAAGGTCAGAGAAAATATCAAGGAGCTTGATGTCAAGGACATGCTTGAGCGGTAGCCTTAAAATCGTCTGCGTCGTCCACGCCGTCAGCACGTTCGAAATCTCGTTTTCTCGCACAAGAAGTGTTGGTAGCAACTTTCCTCCTCATCTCGGGACCCACCGCACGCTGCAGCCACCTTGTCAAGTTGCCGCGTCCCAAAATCGTTCGGACTTAGATAAATAAGCTCGAAGCAAGAACTTCACACTTCTTCCCTTCAACATTGTGAAGCAGAAAGAAAAGAAGTGCATCGAAATTATATACTTACTCTCTACACTAGCTCAAAATACTTCACTTCTAACTTTCATTTCCTCGGAATCCTAAGAAGGAAGCAGAAGAAAGTGTGACCGTGCTTGAGAATGATAATTAGAATTGTATCGTTCGAGCCTTAACTGACCATGCGTGCTGTCTCTGGATACTCTAAACCCGAGATAACATTCTGCTTGCGCTTGCGATAGCTTATGGACACATGCCCGTCAGGGTCCTGGACACCTCTGAAATCGTCACCATCCTCCAAAAGAGAACTAGTACCTCCACGATCATTACCTAACCCTAAGGTCCTCCTTGTTCTAAAAGAACGGTTACCTCTCGTCTGGACGACCGCACCAGAAGACGAAGCTTCTGCTTCGTTATCGACCAGGAGAGGATCATTATGGCCTGGCGAGTTCTCTTCGGCGTCAACATCGTCATCCATCTGAAAATCTTCCAACGCGTCTTCTTCGTCTAGGTAATTTCCTTCTCCAGCGCCGATATTTTTTAGAGCTCGCGACCCTAAAATTCCATCTTGGGATGACACATGATCCTGGGCCTCTTATTTCCACCTTGATTTGATATCAGGAGAAAGCCTCTTCTGTCCCCAGGATGTTGTCTCGGAAGAATAATAAAGCCTTAAGATAGAAGGATTGGAGTGTCCTAGTATCGCTCGGTTGCGACTCTGAATTTTCTTGCCCTTGTTGTACTTCTCGGCATCCTTTCTGCTGGAAGGACTTTTGCTTGTTGGGCTCATATCGAGCAATGCTTCGGCGTGCGTGTCTAAGGAGCTGTGCAAGCGCGCATACTCTGCGTCGGTGTAGCCGAACCTTGCGATAGTTAAAGCTTAAGCAATAATTTGTCTTGCTTACTAAGTCACAGAAATTACTATTGATTAGGACTTGTAAAAGAGTCAAGGTGTAAAGAGTGCCTTTTTCTGACATAAGAACAACAAGGACGAGAACATCAACGAACGAGAGGGCAGGACGTGTCAGGAAAAGAAGATATGGAACCTGTCTGAGTGAGGCCTCAGAGTTGGGCGATGTCAATGGTCCCTGTCTGAGTGAGTCCCTCTTCATTTTCCCCCTTAGTCGTTTCTCCCCCCTTTATAAATGCTCACATGTACTATAATTGATCTCAGTATATTCCATCTTGTACAGGGATAGTCGTGATTTGTTGCGAATAGACACTAGGAACGATAATTAGGGATAGTAGTGATAAAGAACTACTTAGCCTTAAGATACAGCGTTGCTTTTCTCGGTCCTGGAGTTGCCGTTTTTCTGAGACGAATGCTGAGAAGTTCCGCAGTGACCGTTCATACACTTCAGACACGCTTTCACCACAAACTTTGTTGAAACGCTGTGCGTAAAACATACCCTGCAGCTGCTCTAAAATAGCTACATCCGCATCGAAAATAGCATTACAGTCTGCGATCGATAGTGATTAGAAGTAAGGGAGACCCATCCGGAGCAGCATCTTGGGTCCCCTTTTCGCCTTAACAACGGGACCAAAATGCTGGGGAAGATGGATTTCTTGTAGCCTTAAAGTGAAGAAGATGAAAAGTTCAGCTTTGAATCGTTCGCGAGTCGTGCAGAGATGTTGGAAGAAGATGCTCCTGAAGTCGTCGTAGTACTAGAAGTGGCTCCTTTATTTTTCAACGTCAGGGAATGACGATTACTGCTTCTGTGGTCTAGTACTCCTCTCCTGAAATCACAACAAGAAACCCAAAAAGCGTGCAAATTGGACAGCGTTTGCAACGCAGCACGCATTTTTTGTCGCAGTAAGTCTCGGTACGAGCTAGAAGATGAGGCAACGGAGTTCTGGCCTTCGGAATGATTTAGAACTTGCAGAAATTCATCTTGTTGAGCATCTTCTCAGTGCTCACTTTCCCTTTAAAGGCGAGACTGAGTAGATGTTACGGAACAAGACGGATTTCCTCCTCAACCAGAAGTCATAAATTATGATGAACATGATCTTCAACATCGTCCTGCTGATCTTCACTTTTGTCTTGATTTGGCTTCGTGTGGTGAGGTGTCAGGAGCTGCGCGAAAAAGCGAAGGGCGTTGACCACGGCGCGCCTGGGCCCAGAAGATTCCGCGTGCCAATGAAAGAGAAAGTCTACGGGGTCCCGGTCATTGATGCCTTCCAAAAGAAGATAACGGCGAAGAATCTGGATTTTCTCCACGATCTCCTCGTCTTCTGGGAATTCAGATTGGGTGGGTTGTTTCTCTTCATCTTCTCGCTTCTCTTCAAGAACTTCTGCTGAGAATTTTGTAAACTTTTTCCGTCCGTCATTCATCTTAGCCTTATTGTTCTTGGAAAGTAGAGTCCTGGACTCATTTTTGGAAAGACCTTTTTCGTCTTCTTGCAGGACCACGTGCAAATTAGGGGGCGATGTGCAAGCGAATTCCAAAAGGAGGCAAGCATCGTCTCCAAGACTGAGCCACCACCGATAGGCATTAAAAGTTCTCAACTTGGCCACTGTATCTATTCTGCTTCCATCAGCTCCAGAATGAGTCGTAGTAGCAGTAGTAGTTGTAGCAGTAGTATTCTGATCTTTAAAGTTGCTCTCGTGGTAGTCCTCGGCAACTGAGAAGAAGTCTAAATTTCTACTGCTACCAAGCATAGAAGTTGCATTTGCTAGAAGAGCTTCGCGGAAAGTTTTCGCGGAAGCATTTCTTGCAAAATACTCAACGATAACAGAGGGAGGCGAGGCTTGTTCTTTTACGACCTGGTGACGTTCATCACGGGGACGTTGCTGTAGTTCGCCACGAAGTAGAAGATGTGCATCCTCTTCTGTCTTCATACGTGCTTCTGTCGTGACCAAACAGAGGAGCTGGAGTAGCTTGGTCTGTCTGAGGGCGATCTCAGGATCCGGGTCGCACAAAAAGCGACTTCTTCGTAACTCCATGGCCCGCAAACCGAAAACCAGACGTCTCACTTTGGACCGAATGGTTTCGAACCTGGTGAGCAAACGCGCACGCTCAACATTCGCGCGGGCTTTTGCCGCATGCTTTTGCAGCTGATCCAAGGCGTCCAAATCTCTGTCCCGCATCTCGAGTAGCGCACCCTGCGACATCAGCTCCCTCGGTAGAACTTGAGAGCTTCGCAACGGCGACACCTTGTTGAAGTCGCGTCGCCGTGTCGCCGTCGTGGTCTCGTCACCCGTCGTGGTCTCAGGACGTCCTCTCGTCACAGCACCAACATCATCGTCGTCCGCTCTTCTTCCAGGCGATGCGAAAACATCTTCAGTTCTTTCAGTTTCAGTTTGTGCAGCATCTCCATGTACATGTGCATCTGCATCTAGGCGATCTAGATAATCTAGAGCGCGACGATCTTCTACAACACCTCGAAGATGAGGGGGCTCCACACCCTGCTGTTCACTGCACTCCTCGAATAGTGCCGCTTTTAGAACTGAGCGAAATCCTCCATCGGCAGCAGCATCTTGGGCCTCCTTTTCCCTTTAAAAACGGGACCAAGATGCCTCTGAAAATGGGAGATTTCTTGTAGCCCTAACGTTTGAATGGCATCTAGGAACTCCTGAATCACAACTTCATCCTCCAGAATGGGTGGGGCTTGTACCACATGTTGTGCCACATGTTGCGTCTTGCTGCCTAAAGCTGAACTTCGCACTGCACCGATCTTTGCGTCTCGCTTAGCGCGAATAGAAGAAACGCGACGGAATTTGGCCGCCCCTGGAGACGCACCGAGGACCTCCGACATTCCCGGACGCGCCGGGCGGACGCGCGGCCCGTCTACGGACTGGAATGCTGGAGGAGCAGGAGCACTGGAGGAAAAAGCTGCGGATGTCGCCGGGAAGACCACGGCGCCAGATGGCGAGGGACGTGTTGACATTTTCTTGAACACGCCACCAGCTGTATTGTTGTTTTTGTGACTGCTAGAGAAAGACGAGTTCTTGTTTGAGAAACCCCCAAGAATATGGGCATCACTCCTGGGCACCGACGGCAAAACTTCCTGGGAAGAGTGGACCCATTCGATCATTTCCTCCTCTATGTTGTTCGGGTAATCCAAATCCGTACCATAATCCAAATCCCCACCACGACCCACTGCAAGAAGGTCTTCTGTTTCACCTTCTGCATGCGCAGGTTGCGAGCTGCTCATCATGGCGTCGTGGGTTTGGCTCAACACTGCCAGAAAGCGGTCGTAGAGATGCCGAACTTTGGGTGACGAATCGCGAAACTCGATCCCCAAATCCTCCAACAACCTTTTTACCCTATCCAATTCAAAGTCTCGTTTGCCTTCTCTCTTGTCCTGCGATCCTAGGCCTTCACTCCGTGGTCCTGCTCTTGCTCCTCGTGGGGACCAAATATTTTTACCCATATTTACAACACGTGAAGAGAACGAACGAAAATCCATCTCCTCATAGAGGTCCAAAAGCGACATCACGCTTCTTCGGTACAGAGTCTTATGCGGCTTGATTCGTGACGAGGCACCTCCAGATGAAGAAAAGATACTAGGACTTACTCCTTCGACGTCTTCCTCTTGCTCTTGGTCCACCCTTTCATCATCCCTCTTCCTTTTCCTCTTCGTCCCTCCTGGCAAGGAAGTGCAGTCCGCGAGCTCTACCAAAATGGATGCAAGTCTTGATCCAGACCATATCTTATTCTCATCTCTCTTGTAGCTGTCCTGTCTAGTTGTGCCGCCACTACTGGAACGAGTACGACTGGAGGCCCCGAGCAAGAGAAACTGCAACTTTCGCAAAACAGCACACAACATGCCACGATTTAACAAAGCCTTGTCGCATAGTGCTTCTATCAATTTGCACATCATCTCAACGTCGTCATTTTTTTCACCTATTTCTTCTTGCTCTTCAACAAGAAGGTCGCCTTCCTCTCCCCTAGAAGCTTTGTTCTTTTTTTCTTTTGCTCTTCTTCTAGTACTTTTCCTCGTCAGGGTTTCTTGCCCAAGATGCGCGTCTTTTTCTCCTTTGCCGTCATCCAAACTCAACATCTTCATTCGCTGGGCTTCAAGTCGATCGCCATTGCCTTGCTGAAAATACTGGACCCTGAATGGTGCTGCTACACTGTCACCCATTTGTAGCTCCTGGTAGAGCCTGTGAAGAGCGAAACTCCGTGTTCGAAGACTTCCTTCACCTTCGGGACCTGCAAGATAATCTTGTCCGAAAAAATTCACAAAAGCTTCGTAATCTTCACGTTGTTGTGCTGATGCCGAGTTCTTTATTAAGCTAGAAAGCTTCCTCCTCCTATCATTTAGGCCATCACGATCGCCTCGAAACCTTCCGCTGGTATCCAATGGGAAGCCGCAGACAAAGCGCCAAACCAACGGCGCCGCTTCAACCTCTGCCGACCGAATTACGCCTATGTGGTCGGACACAGCAAATCCGGACCGGATACCCGAAGATAGACTCCGATCCGCTGGTGTAGTCTTCGGCAGCATCTGCAACGTGGTTGTCCCACTCGATGCCATAATACCGCTGCCCTGCGTACGCATAGCAGCAGGGGTATTTTTAAGCTTTTCAATTTTTTTCACAAGCGGCGCTGGAGGTGTCGTGTTCGTCTCAGCAGGAGCGCCCTGCTCTCCCTCAGTATTGACCTCCTTCGAGCGGTGCTCTGCTACTGCAAGTAGCTCACCTTCTAGCTCTTCTTCACTTCGTGCTGCTTCCTCACCTTTTAGGTCTTCTTCACTTCGTGCTGGTACCGCTGGCAGATCACCTTCTTCTAGGGCTTCTTCTCTTTGCCCGCTTCCTGCCGAGGCGACGTCGACCGCACCAGGACCACTATAATAAAACAATGCAGCACGATCGCCGTGTGCGGGGGAGGGCGGCGATGCTCTATTTAGTGAAGATAGCGCACGTCGTACTGGAGAAAAAGCAAGCGTTTCTTGATGTCCCTGATGGTCTTCCTCTTGCTCTCTGCGTGCGCATGCCGCTGTTGTTATTTTGAGACTACCTCCATCATTTATGCTGGTGGCATTTCTTGGCGATGACGAATAACTCTGCACAGGAGAAGACTTCTGGACGACAAGAACTGTACCAGTTGTTATAGAAGAAGACGAGGACATCTCTTCCTCCGTCTTGTCAATATTTGTGTCACCAAAATTGACAGGATTTGTATCAGAAGACGTATTTGTGTCAAAATTGGCAGGAGTGCCAGAAAACGACATCTTCACCATCTTGTCGATATTCGTCTCCCTGCCGATGAGGTTGTTCACTCGCTTCAGTGACTTCATCCAGCTTTTTACGCGCGTTGCTCCCCGTCGGAGTGTTCCACCAGCATTCTTGGGCAAAACGACGCCTCCACCTGACAGCTTTGTACTAACTTGCGCCGCGGACCACGACGACGTACTAGTAATATAATTCCTTGTAGTATTATAAATCCTTGTAGCAACCTCGTGCTCGTTCTCCTCCGATGTATAAGAAATAGTATTATTCTTTTTGATCTCCGTCTTCTTTTGAGTTGCGAGGCGGTCCTTCTCCTTTGTGCCAAGTGCGGGCTGCCATGGCTTTCTTGCTGAGACGTGCAAAGGTCTCAGCTCGTCTTCAGCCTGGCCAGACAAGGAAGAGCCAGGACTAGCCTCTCTAGGAGGGACGCCACTTCTGCTCCATCTTGTGGACTCCTTGCGAATATTGTGAGCCATTCTTTAACAGGTTCTTCTAACCAGCTAACTCATTAGACAATGAAAAGTAGTCTTCCACAACTAGATAGTCTTGTTCTGGCTGTGCCTAGTGTAATCGGAAGGAGAATTCTGGAGCAGGAACTTAAGACGCAATGCAATGAAGGAAAACTGCTAACCCTATAGTTCTTGAGGTAGATGGCCATGTTCATGAGCACGGTCTTTTTATCATGAAGGGAAGTATGATAAGGTTGTAAATCCTCCAAGGAAACAAGAACTAACCGGTTGCTTCAAATGAGAGTGAATTTTGAGAGAGGGAGAGGGGACAACCAGGAACGAAGATGAGTGTGAGTCGCTACACCGATGACAGTCAATTCGACAAACAGCAGACAGACCCGCGCGCTTCCTCTCTTCGCACATCTTGCGAAGTAGATCGTTGCACTTGTATTACTGATGACTCGATGAATCCATTGTTCGTCAGATAATTCTTCTTGCCCAATATTTCTATTTCCCTCACGTAGTTGTATTACTACAGAGTCAGCATCTGAGACAGCGCCTCGTCCTCTCATCAGACTCAGTCCTTCAAAAGGTTTTTGACTTAGGTCTTGGACTCATGCACAGCATTATACTCATTCCTTCAATTTTTTCAATTTCAAAGTCTTCGCCCAAAGGGCCAGCGCACAAGCTGGGGTGGACGCGGAGAAGTCTTACATTTCACGGACGATGCACCGGCCCGGCATATACCCGAGACGGCGCCAGTGCACTGACTAGCGCAAGATGAAGAGGATCTCTAGATTTATTATACGAAATCACAAATAACAGGCGAAGGGAATAGGAGACTTTATCATGACTCTTCCCCGATGTTATCTTCCTCGATGTGGCATGAGGATAAACTTTTCTGCTCGCTTTTTCACCGACGAGGGACGCCTGCTAAGGAACACTTGTGCTGGTTGTGTGGCTCTTGCAGTTTCTCAGGAGTAGTCGCGAACCTCCGAGGTACTGACAACCTGACTCCTCCTCCTGAGTGATTTTTTTCAAGGTTCCTCTTTCTACGAAGCTAGAAAAGATGTCAACATCGATCAATCAGTGTTCGCGCTGATTCAGACGGAGCGACTCGTCGCTCCTGGTGCAGCTGCAACATGAGAAAATAGCACTTCTTCATGTGCCAGAAAATAGCACCTCTTCTACCCAGTGCTTGGGCCCCATCTCCGTTAGGTCTGACATCAGACATACGAATGGCTTGGTTGGCACTGGCTAAATTCTCATAGTAAGTGGCTAGCAACACTGGAGACATATCTTATACCTTCGCGCCACCTCTTTCGTTCGTTAGATATGTCTACGTTCTAGATCTCGAAAAGTGAACCTTCGTTATCTATTTTCACTTATAAATGAGTCATATAAGTAGTTGAACAAAATTTAAAAAATCGATCATGATTATCTGAAGAAAGTGGTCTGCCGATCTTTCTCTGATACGCACTATGGCGCTCCTCTTGCGAGGCAGACTTTTTGAACGGGCTTGCCAAGTCTTAGAAGTGCCTTCTGCAGATCAGTCAAGCAATCAACTGGACGCGGCCAGCTGACGAGCCGCGGCGCTGGATAGCGGAGGAGCTAAAACAGACCCAGGGCCAACTCTGGACTGTGCAAGCACGCTACGCGCCAATCAACTGTATGCGGCCGTCTAACGAGCAGCGGTGCTGGATCAATGAATCAAGTCGGGTGGTCTCCCTGCTTCTCACCCCGGTCCTCAGTCCGGCTTTTTTTTTTCGTTAGGACTAGAGGCTGCCTCCCTTTTAGCCACTTAATTTAGTCGATTGATCACTTACAGACCTTTTGTTTTCCATAGTCGATTAATCCGGCTTTTTTTTTCCATAGGAAGATGAGGACTATACGCGGCCGCCCTTTTAAGCAATCAATTAGAACTTTTAACCAATTACATACAGGGGGAGCATAAGGCCGCACCTTCGGCCAGCAAGTCCACACCTATCGGGAGAGCCGCACACTCGACCCTTGTAGAACAACTAAGGCGCAACCCGACGCAGCGGGTCCCTAAAGCAAGGCAGCACACCTGCAAGGGTACTACACGCCGCAGAGCTGGCGGTTGATTTACTGGCTTACCTCCTACCGCATGCCTTGCACTTTCAGGAATCAACTACAACGACTAGACCACACTAAATCAGATAAGCAGGCATAAACTAAACCTAGGCGCAGAGACCGGAAGTAAATAATAAGGCCTTTTTGGGGACCTCGATCAGTGAGGCCACATGTCTCGCCGGTCATCTACAGCGCGGAGCTAGACCTTTGAGTGAGACGGCTTGATGAAAGAGTGCGTAAGTACAATAGACGAAGAGAAACTACTTCTACAATAGGAGCAATTATAGCACTATGACAACATACCTTAACGTAACAGATCGGAGCCCCTGCTTCACGTGGAAAATGCAAGAGCTCTCGCAAGCTGCACCGCTGATAACAGTATGGCCGCACACTATTACGTTAGGTTAGGTGTGGGCCTACCAGGAAAACTGGCAGACATCTCGCAGAACTATTACGTTCGTTTCAGCAGCTACTTTATCATCTAGTTGCACCTCGACGAGTACGTGTACGAGCCCTATCCACCCCTAAACGATGAAGAGAGTCTCGCACCACTAGCACATGACATAGCACAGTACTACTGATCTGAGTGGCGGCATGAGCATTCTAGCACTCAGTAGTACGACTAGGTCTGGATACTTGTTCATCTCGTCCATATAGAAGGCTTTATCGTCTACTCGCAAAAGGCAAATTCGATGATCATGCTCCTTAATTATCAAAATATTCTGAACTCAAGATCCACTTCATTCGTTTCACATGTTGATTTCAAAAAAGTGAGGAGTTCCCTCATATTACAAGATTTTCTCTTATTTCTACTTCTATTTCTTCTAAGTTATTCAATTAAGCTACAGCTAGTACATCTAGGAACTATCATTTCTTCGAAATCGAAAAATCTGTTGGAAAAAAGTCGTAGCCAGTCTCTGTGCATAATTTTCAAAAGTGTCCTTCTTTTAACTTTGTAACGCAACTACTGCTTCATCATCATCACGACTTCTTCTTCAAGGCCTGAGGTGATGTCCCTCCGGACGACTGAAGAAAAAGTAATACACTGCACACGCCTACGGCTTAAAACAAGAAGCGTCAAGAACAAAGAAAGTGCAAATTCAAGGTAATGCGCTGCAGGTCCTCACCACATACAGGTGAAAGGAGTGCCATCATCGATTTTGCTCATCGATTCTGACCGCATACTCGCAAAAGGAGTGGCATCACCGATTTTGAGCCGCCCCCTTCGGCCCTATCGACGACCGCGAAGATACCTAAGTGCCAGATACCTACAGAGCTAGACATGGCAGAGGAGCTTCGACACATGATGTTGAATGCTACACAAAAAACAAAGTCGAAAAATAGGTATCTATCAGGGTGCGCCGTGGGTTCTTGATTCTCCTCAATACACGCTTATAGTGAAAGCGATTGCTTGCCTCAGGAAGCACGAATCGAAAGAGAAAACAAGAGTTTTTACGCATGATAGTTAGCTTTCTCAAAATTAAGTCGCGATGCGAGTGATGAAATCTTCATGAAAAAGTTAGTAGTTACTATGGCGTGGACTTCTGTTCCTGTTTTTTTTCGATTTGCTAACTATCGACGAAGAACTATCTACCTATAAAAAGTCAATCGGAAAAAAGTGTTCGCCTAGCAACATGCACGATGAGCGGCTCGCTGTTTCTTTTCTTGAGTTGTATTACGAGCACATACAACCAGGCGACGAGTTCTCGGCGCACAACGTCTTATTCTGGACACATTACATAGTAACTTGATTAGATGCTTAGTCAAAGCGTCTACCTTCTTGCACGGTCGTGCGCCGCTCTTTTTTGCCAAGACGAGGACCGCCCAAAGTGCGTGCTACTTTCACTTGATGCTGGTATCGGCGACTTTTTAGTAATATCTTGGAACAATAAGTATCATCTTTTTCCCGTTTTATGCGAAATTATTGCTATCGTCATCACAAGTCGTTAGAATAATTCTGGATGTGAAAGTGTGTCTTTTCATGATCTTATGCTTCGTTTTTTAGTCCTCGACAGCGTCGTCCGTCGTGCGTTTAGTTCATATCCTTTTGTATTTGAAAAAATTAAGATGGCAACCGCGAAAAGCTCCTTAGCGCTGAAACCAATGTATGAGTCGCGTTTTTCAATGTAAATACCCTGAAGATGGGGACTAAAGTTGGTGTGCGCAGAGGGCACGGATCTTCAACAATTGTCGCCCTCCTCTGATGCTATTCGGTGGAACAAGGTATCTCATCTGAAAAAAACAAAGCAGCAAAACAAATGAAATGCAAACCAAAGCGCTCCTCGTGGAGACTCTCCTTGCCCCAGCACTTCCTGCTCAATTCTATCCGAGTCGTATAAGATCGCTTGTCTTCTACGTAAGACGAACCCCATAGTCACCATGTTTCTGAGGATGCTTGAATGATGAACTACGTAAGTTAGCACTGCTCAACATAATTACCATTATCTCTATACATATCAAATTAATACCTCCACCGGAGAAAACACCCGTTAAGCCTCCTCTATTTTCTTGTGCAAGTCTTCTCATTGTAACAAAGAAATACAAATAGTCCGATCAGTGACGAACGGACTCAACCTGTCCTCGATCTCGAGTTCCTACAGGTCTTGTTTCTACTCCCACCCCTAGTAGTCTTTCTACTCACACCCCTCTTCCTCCTCAACCTAGCAGAACCTTGTTCATGTGAAATGATCCAGAAGAACAAGAGTTCTCCGTCTCCTCCTATATTCCATTATCATTCTAGTCCTGTCTTTACACCTTATTTTCGTCCGCCGCCTCCTGCAGCTGCGGCGGGGCAGCGGCTGCGCCGTCCGCTTGCGCAGCACCTCCACCAGCCACCTCTTGACCCGGAGCGATCACCAGGAAGTACACCGCCGCTCCGATAGCAGCGCAGCCGACCAGGACGCCGATGATGATACCGGCAATGGCACCGCCGCCCAGGCCATCATCCGACGAAGACAAAGATTAGAGCACCGCAAAACAATTCATTTCTTGGTTTCATTTTCTCAGAATTTCAAGAAGAAAAAAGAGAAAAATGGCGTGTAGAAATGAATTTATTGCCAATTCTTGTAGAGCTGCCTTAAGAAGAGGAGGAACCGCCGGTGCCCGGGCCGACCACCCTGAAGGCCGGAGTTCCCTTCACGGCGACGCCACTCAGCTTGATGACAGACGACACACCAGACTGTGCGAACGAGGTGTCCAGCGCAGTCTTCAGCGCGGAGGCGAAGGTGAGCGACGACGCGCTGCCTTCCGTCAACTTCGATGTGAGCGAGTCGCTGAAGCCAGCCGCGCCGGTCAAGGTTAGAGCTGGCTCTCCATCTTTCAGCTCTTTCAGCTGCAAGCATGATCCTTGAGCAATTATAGATCTGGGTGAGTTCGTGTTGCATTCCCTTTTGATACTTCTCCCCCATACAAGAATTCATCTGCAAGGATCATGCAGTCAAAGTAGATGAATCTTACTATACTTTATACGTCATGGTATTAGGAGCCTTAACATGGTAGCGGGGATGTAAATCTGGTACTTCACATTCACGGTTTTCTGCTGCTGCAGCTTGCGGTTCACGGCAGGCTTCGCCGCCGTGTCCAAGCCGGTCATCGACAACGCACGGCGCAGCCTGGCCTCGATGCTGATCTCCTCGATGTCCACATTGGTTTCGTTCACGCCGGCAGCGGCGGCCACGCCCTTCTTCACCGGTGCGGAGATCAACTGCGCGAGCTTGGCCGGATCCGAGCTCAAGTTAGAAGACCTTGCCTATTATATTCATCTTGGATATTCATCTTTATTGACGCGTCTTCCTTCCCTTAGAGAAAAGGCAGTCAAAGATGAAGATGCTTCTTAGGTAGATTTGAATTACTTAGACTGTAAGCCTTAATCAAACTGTCTGGAAGGTCGAACGCGAGCGCGAGTCTCGACTTGACCACCGTTCCCGCGGCACGTGCGCTGTTATCCACGGGTCCGGGAGTGGTCGTGGACGTTGCGGCAACACCCGCAAGGGCAGTACCACCAAGCAAAGCCGCAGTCGCAGACACCTTCATTCAAAATAGATGCGGGAGGTGGAATACAGAGATAGACAGAATCATCACCTTCATTCAAGATAGACGTGGGAATACCTAGCGATACACCTTCACTCAAGATAGATGTGGGAATACCTAGCAGCTAGACACCTTCACTCAAGATAGATGTGGGAATACATAGATAGAAGGATAGGAATTGGTTCGCCTCCGGAGCGATGAGCATTCACGAAGAATTTGCTGCAATTGAATTCGAATTTGGTAGATTCGAATTTGGTAGAAGATTGTTCTTGATGTGGGATAAATGATCGATATCTATTTTGTTAATAAAAATACTCGGGTTTTGCTACTCACGTCTAAGATCCATGACCTAGAACCATGAACTTTTCGTCATGGCCATGTTGTTAATCTCCACTAAGAAACTGTGACTATATTTCATCTATTTCTCTATTTCATCTATGATCTCGCTGAATAAAAATGGCCATGTCATGTCATGTTCCCTTTTTGTCCGTTCTAACTAACGGTGACGAGGCCTTTCAGTCTTAGAAGAACAAGGGTTAATATCATCGATAGATACAAACATATCTTCATTTTGGCTGAGAAGAAACAATACCTTCTGCAAACTGGCAGCCAGCGCGGGGCAGGCCGCAGTGCCAACATCGCTCGTGGCAGCAGCGGCATCGTTGGCGACCGATGCGGGACACACATAGACGCCAGACTTCGTAACGGTCATGCAAATTTTGGTGCCGCTCTTCTTGATTGACGTCGTGGTTACACCGGCCGCGTCCGTCGCCAGTGAGTACTGTGTGTTGTTATCATAATCTATTAGCGCTTTTTGTTCCTCTTCAATACAAATTGATAGTTTGCTAAGTAAACCCTAGTAAATGCACAAATAGAAGCACGTCATACTCATATCTAAATGTCCCACCTATCATGTCTACTTACAGAAGATAAAGTCCAGTTATACTTAGACAGAACAAGTCATCTTCTAGTTATACTACTTACAGAAGTCGAGTTTCCAGTTCCACTTGTTGAGTAGTACCACGTAGCTGCTGCTGGTCGCTCCGGTGCGGACCGCGACAAAGGCATTCGGGTAGTTGGTAGTGTCCTTCTTAATTGCGGAATCTTCATTAAGGCAAAGCTCTGCGACTTTGACGGGCAAAGTTCCAGCCGGCTGCGCAAGCTGGACGCACTTTCCGGTGAGCTGGCCGACCAACTTACCAGCAGCATTTTTCACCTGGTATAGGTATGATGGATGTGCAGTTCTGTTACATGTATTCTTGTCAGTAGGAACTAAGAGTATCCGAACAACAAACGTATAATGTTATTTTTACACTAAAAAATCATACGAGTTTCATTGTAGCATCTTGGAAGACTTGAATATTGAACTGCTGTTTGACATTCACCCTGCAGCTACAAACTAAAGCTGAAGAGTATAAGTCCGACGTTCGTGCATACTCGTATTTTTTGAGCTTAGTGCTCCTCTTAAAACATGAGTTGAAGGTGTTCACCATCATCTGCGAGCCTCATTATAAGAAATACCTTCGAGTAGCAGCCTGCATCGTTGACGGTGGCGCCTGCCGCTTGCAAGTAGCGCAACTCCTCATTGATGGAATCCATGGTCAGCGGGCCCTTTGCCTGGAGACGGCGGCGGGAGTCGTCACCTTCGTCGGTAACACGTTCCACCGGGGCGATCTCGAGTTCCGCCCTGATGATCTGGTTCACAAAATCTTCCTCCAACAAGCTCGAGTTCGAGGAGCCTCCGGAAGGCCCAGAATTATCATTAGCGCTAGTTTTTTACTATCCCTGGAGGTCGTTGAGTGGCTTGGAAACCTTTTCCTCCCTCCTTTTCGTTCCCCTGTAATAACGATCTGTCAAGGGACGAGACTCACTGACACCACACTCAGCATCAACGAACATCATCCTCCACGACAACATCCATCGGAAGCGGATAGCGAAAAACTAGCCTTAAGATCAGTCGCGTTGAAGGATTGCGAAGAGAACTTGCATCCAGCTTCTTCGTCCGAGCCCAAGGAGTTGGACTCAGCCGTGGTGTAGATGTCCTTCTTGTCCAACTCTTGTTCCGGAGACACCAGCTCCGTGTCAGCAGCATCAAGGTGACGCAAAATTAGAACTCAAAAGGGAGTAGCTCAGTACTTTTGAAGAATTCATCTTCTTTTCCATCAAGATCTGCTTCCCCCGCTTTTCTTGTTCTCGAAAACAGTAGTTCACAGAAGATGGGCCTCCAGCCCAAAGTAAAAAAAGATAAATTAACAGATAATTTGCCTTAACAAAAGACTGGACCCGGCACTGCGGTCGACGCACACGGAGGCCATGGAAGTTTGAAGACCTGCCAATCGGCCGTAGTAGCACATCATCGCCTGATTCTCCGACGCGGCTGCAAGCTTTTGCTTCACCAGACGCATCTTCTGCATGATCGTCTGCTTGTCCGGCACCATGCGCAACTCATTCACGGCTTCGTCAGACTGTGGTCGTAGTTGATGGATAGTATGGTAGGTTGCCCCGATCAGTATTCTGAAACTGTCGACGGGACTTCTAAGATCAGGAGACTTCATGGATCAGATATCGATATGTAGTAATTGATGAATTTAAAAATAAAACAATACTAGATGTAGTTTTTCACTTAGATGAATTCCTGCAACTACAGGTGACCACAGGATCATGAGATGAACCATAATAGAGGTGGATGAAGCATAATAAATGTAAAGTGATAATCCGATGAGAGGGCCTATGATGAGTAGTAGTAGTAGTGGTGTGCCCAATCTTGGGGTGTAGAAGATTGTCTAATTAGCAAGTGAAGAATATACTTTGAATGAGTAACGTGTTAAGCGTGAAGAATATACTTTGAATGAGTAACGTGTTAAGCGTGAGACAAGTGCCAGAAGAGTTACGGCTAGTGACTTTGATGAATGAGTCCTCTAATAATAATCAAAAGTGGTTCCCCAGATGTATGTTATGAGTATTAAATGAAGTAGAGTGGTACATTGCGGAGCTTCCACTCGAGACCAGTGACGTTTTTCAAGGAGGTTGCCTTGTACTGGTTGTTCGCAAACTTGTTAACCGACTTAAATTGCCCGCCGCACCTCTCGCATTCCGTTTCCGAGCGACCGCTGGTGCTGATGCCTGGATGAATCAAAAGAATTTTCATAATGTTGGTTTAGCAGACCTAACTAGGAAAAACAAAACCCATTAGGTCATAATCATAATCATCTTCGTAGTCAACAAACATGAAAATAAAAACATCATGACAAACCTTCGTACGACGATCTGGGGCCAAGCTGAAGTTCTTTTGCAAGTCCATCAAATTCAAAATGCTGTATGACCATGTGCAGATCAGATATAAATAATAATGATGAGAGTCTAGACCGAAGTTAAACTTGTAAAAAAATGAGTCCTCTGCAGACTTCTAGATTTAAATGACATAAGTGATGTAGTAGTACCTCCGACAGTGGTGGACGAGCCAACGCAGATCTCCTTGGCTTCACAAGTGGCTTTGTCCTGTCCTGTCGCGATCCACGTACCGGTGCAGGTTTCCTGCGTCTTAGTGTAATCCATGCACATACCTATGTAATACCATGATGTGAGTGTGAGGTCAGAATAGAACCTAGCATACCTATGTATCACGATGTGAGAGTGAGGTTAGGGATACTTCGCATCGGGTTCCGCAAGGATACGTTATGGCGGAAGACGTAGAAGATTGTGATGGAGAAACTACCTCCTAGCTCATAGATCTGTATACAGATATCATTCAGTTTAATATCCAGCTTCGTTGATGTAGTTCTACATATGAATGGAAATCAAATATCCAGCCTAGTTCAACGAATGAAACCGTTCTACTTACGGAAATGGAAGAAAAAACAGTTGGTGAGTAGTACCGGCAATGTAGGGGATCAAAGGATCCGAAACGACACCCGTGCAGGAGTTAATCGCGACGCGGTACAATTCCCCATCAGCAGTGTTAGCGTGTACTACGATGCATCTCGGCCTCTTCATTTTGGCCCCCTCATGTAATACCTTGCATTTCAGGAGAATACATAGGGTAAAAGGGTACTACCAAGATGCCGAGAGAGATGGAGAAAAGCTGACCATAACATTGCATGGGTTCATCGGGTCCGGATTGGTCACCTCCATGGCGCACACATGATCAAACCAGTGACTCTTAGTCCACTTCGTGCCAAGCGGCAAGCAGTCCTCCATTTCCTCGTCCGTCGAAGCAGCGACCGTGGTGTCAGCAGTTGTGTTCAGCCACAGATTCTGCGGCGGCGCCATGATGGCCTTCGGAGGATACGCCGGGTAGATCGACTCACCTTGAAGATGTTTCATAAGTTCTTCTTGTAGTTATGATGTAGAGAATCAGACATCAATCAAGAACATGTTAGTGGTCGTGGAGCCCTAAATCATACTAAAAGTCATGTTCTTTGGTACATGCAACCGCAGAAGGTAGGACACCACAGATGAGATTCTGATTCACTAACATCAGTAAGCAAATTTTTCTAGAGTTTTGGATAAATATGATCATGCTTTATCACTAGTACACCTACAAATAAATCGTTGGCAGCAGCCAGTAAGAGGTAGGTACCCTCTTACACCTAGATCATAAGATAAATCGAGTATAAGTACAGTACCCTCTTCTTCCATGGCATCGGGGTCGACGAAGCCGGTGCCTGCACTCATGAGAGCGGTGTCCTGGTTGCAAACTCCCGCCGCCTCGCATTGGGCCTTGTCTTTGCACTTCGTTGCCTCGGAGGGGCGGCATTTCAGCACTTGCGACATGATCGTCATCGGGGCCGCGAAGCTGCCCTCCGCGACGGTCGGCGCCGCGCAGTTCTCCACGTCGACGTTGTCTTCGCAGGTCATGATCGACCACTTTCCGGTGCAGTCCTCCGTACTCTTGTTCGGGTCGTAGCAGAGGCCTGCCTTGGTGCTGTTCGCCACATTCGGGTAGTACTTCAGCGGCGACTTGCACTTGCTCTTCTTGTTCTTAAAGGTCGACATTCGTTGGTCACTGATTCTGACCGCAAAGGGCCCCATGCCTCTCCCTTTGTTTTCCCTTCATTTTCCCCTGTTCTCTCACGGAGGCCCCTCTTCGATCTCAGTGACCCCAATCTAAATGGTGACCAATGAAAGTTGAGCCGTAATGTTCACTGTCTGCACGCACGCTTCGAACACGCTGGCGGTATCCCAGTCCGGCTCGCATCCGGCGCAGTTGAACGCTGGCTCCCCGCTGGCCGTGAAGCATTCCTTGTTCGCGGCGCACTGCTCCTTCGTGATACCAATCACGCGCTCGCCGTCGATCTCGCAGTAGGCACCGCCGCCAGCGCTGCAGTCCGTGGCCGAGTTGAACTTTTCGGGGAAGAACTGCTTTCCCTGCAGGAAGGAACCGCCTGCACTTGCGCAGGCAGTCTTCAAGTTGGTCAGGTCTGTGACCGTCATAGGGGCCATTCCCAAATCCGCGTGGGCATCTGCTTCGCTCTCTTTGAAGAACGGGGAAACCTGCATGGAGTGCTTCACAGTGCACATGCCCTCGCCGGTGGGTCCAGCTCCGATCAGGTACTCCGACTCATATTTCTCTGGATCGGACCCGACGTTCATCGCGGTCGCCTTGGCGGAGCACAAGTCCTCCGGGTCGTCGCCGTCTGCAACGGTCATGTTCGAGAAGATGCACTGATCGAAGGAGCACGCGCGCGCCCCGTCCTCGATCATCAGCGAGGTGGCGCCGGTCATGATCGAGGAGACCCACTTGCCGGCAGGGTAGTTGGCTTCCACACCCAGCATGGTGCACAAATTCGGGTCCGTCACCAGCTCGAAGTCGAATGGCCAGAAGTAGGCAGTCCCGTTCAGGGTCACTTTGTTGTCGATGAAGGTCATCGTCTCCCCATCCACCGTCTCGGTCTCGCTCACTAACGCCGCGAACGGCAACTCCGTTTCGGAGAAGCTCGGAATGCAGCGCTCTTCCTGGTACATCACTTCCCCCATGGCGTTAGTTAGACCTTGACCATACGAGGACCTAGCTATATTTACATTCATAATTATGAAGTTGAAAAGTTGCATCTTTGCCGCATTTTCTTCTTTCCCTTTTAGTATTCATTTTGAAGCTAAAGGGCCGCGGGTCAAAAAAGATGCTTCATCTTAGAGGATGAACTACGGTACTATTATGCCCTAAGTTAGGCTCCATGAAGGGCACCTCCAGACGCCAGCCGACGGGGCAGCCACTCTCGGTGGGCGGCACCTTGCACGTGTACTGCTTCTTCGGGTTCAGGTTGGTCATGCACTCACTCAGGCACGCCGTCGAGTCTGTGACGCTCGGCTGGGCACACGTGTACACGGTCTTCTGCACTGGTGGCGCGATTCCCGCGAAGTCGAGTTCCGCGGACTCGGTGGGATTCTCTTCCAGCGCAAGCAGCGTCTTCAAATCTTCGGTGAAGGTCCCGGTGAAGGTCAGGTTCGACGAGGCGTCGATCTCTTTGCAGTTCGCATCGGTGAGCTCCCAAGCGATCGGCACACTCAGAGTGTCGTACTCCGGCCCGAAGAAGAACCCATAGTCCGCGAAAAATGAAGAGGAAGAAGAAGAAGAAGAAGAACTAGTACAAAATCAAGGAACACACAAACTGGAACACATTTACGGTTCTTGGACTACCTAGTACTTCTACTAGAATATAAAAAAATTCCTACAACTATATCATGAAGCGTCGACTTAAAAACTCTAACTGTTGTAGCTCGTCTAGAAGGTGGTAACTGCTTTAAGTGTACTTTGTAACAGCGAGTAGAACATTGTGACAGCTACGACTCCTCTTGGCGTCTATCTTTCTATGCAAAATAGATTTAGATATGCACGAGAACTAGAATCTATTTAAAACACTGTACAAGTAGAATACTCATGATTTACTTGTTGGTCCACCTCCCATAAGAAAGTGTCGATCTCGTCCTTGTAGCCGAGCATCTTGACGCTGGACTGACGGCATTGCGCGTTTTGGGACTTCGACGGAAAGCCGTCGACGGCGCCGCCCTTGTCGAAGCAGAACTTGTCGCCCGGAAGCAGGTCCATGCACTCGTCCGAGGTCAAGGTGTTTCCCGCTGGCGCCCAGTTGCATTTCTTCTGCGCGACGCACTTAGTGGCGCAATCCTCCTCAGAGCTGCACGTACCCAGGACATTGCGGACGAAGAAGTCGTTGGCGTTGTACATCCAGCCGGTCGGTCCCTCGCAGGTTTGGATCATGTCGTCCGGCTTCACCAGCTTCTCCGCGATCGTCGCAACCGGCGCGTTCGCATCGGCTCCGGCGCCGTACAGCTCGGACAAGATCGCCCAAGCCGTGGACAGGGAACTCTCATCGTCGAAACGATCCTTCAGGCACTGAGACAACGCTAGCGAAGCCTCCTCCGGTGCGGTCAATGCGCAGAAGTACCTGCGAACAAACAAAGATAATAAATTTATTACAAGTAGGTGCGGTGAATGCGCAGAAGTACCTGTGAACAAACAAAGATGAATCTCCTCTGATTATTTGTTGATTGGAGGGAAAAAAGTCGAAGGAAAAAGAAAGCCGTGAGTATTCAGACACTTTTTACAGCTATAATTTATTTCCTCTCACTTTTTCTACTTGCTAACTCAAAAAAGTAGCTGCAACGTCTAGTACTGCTTGCCCTTGGTGGTGAAGGGGCCCTTGTTGGTCGGGCTGCCGGACGTGAAGCACGACTTGAACTGTTTCGGGGGCTTAGCGTCCTTGCTGCCGCTCCCGGTGGACTTCTTCTTCGCCTTTACCTTCTTGCAGACACCGGAGTAGCAGTCACTGGAAGTAGAGCAGGTCTGGATACTCTTGCGGACTGAGGATTCTGCGGTGATCTCACCCGACTTCAGCATCTCTTCCATCGGGTCGTTACCTGGTCGTTTATCATGATTGATCTAAAAAAAAAAAAGGGGTTGGTACAATTATGTCAAAAATAATCATCTATATGGATGCTAACATCATGTACATGATAATCATAATGATAATTCATTGACCAAATAAAACTAACAAATGGTATCAATTACCGAAGACTGCGGCGTAGCAGCACTCCGCAGCTGTTTCGAGCGCCTTCAGCCTCTTTTCCTTGGCTGCTGCATCCTTTCCGAAGCACTGACTGGGTTGCTGGACGATCTGCGCCACAGATTTTCCGACCTCGATACCTGTGAAAAAACATTAAGAAAGTGTATAGATTGAGACTTGCCTAGTCTATTGTCCCACCTGAAAAATACCAAAAACATTTATACGCACCTTTTCGATAAACTGAAATAACCGAGTAGCCGAGATAACAATATCAGAAACTCGGTAGTTCTTGTAATTGTTACTCGCTTTAAGCTCTCAGTTTTCGAGTAGGAAAACAAATCTTTTACCGTCAAGCACCCTGTCGCCAGCGTACTTACAGCTGGCGCCGAAGGCCGTCTCGTCAACGGCTGCGGACTTGACCAACATCTGAATATCGCGCTCCGCGCAGCAAGCGGTGGACTGAGTTTCGATGTTGCAGCAAGGATCCTTGCACCACGGGTGCGTGGTGTGGAACTTGCAGTAGTCCTCGAAACTCTGCGACTCGGAGCACAAAATCGGCTCCGTCTTCCTGCATTAGGGGTTGCAAGTACTTAGTTGACCTCTGTAGTTATTGTTGCCCTGTTCATCAAATGTTGCGGTGTTCATGATATATATGCAACTACATCAGTTAAATAGCTCGCGTATCTTGATCTTCTATGGCTTTCCTCCTTGAAGAAGGAGCCATAGACTCGTCTATGTTGCTTCCTAGAAAAACGATGTCAACTTCCAGAAGCCTTAAGTGCACGCGGTGGACTTGATGGTCAACTGCTCGTAGCCTTCCGCGAGACCCGCGTTCACCAGAGCGGCGCAGCCTGCCCAAGAGTCACGCCCCTCAAAAGCGCTGATCGCATTCAGGTTGGTCTCCATCGTGCCAGTCTGCATCTGCGTCAACACGGTTTCCAGTTCCTGGCGCGTCGTCTTCATCTGGGCCAGGGGGCACTGCGGCTCCGCCGGCAGTGCCGGAAGCTCGTCCGAAAACATTAGAAGAGCAAGAGCAAAAGCCAGAAGTAGACTAGTAAGAATAAAAGTTGAGCTTGTGCTTCAGTCCTCTGAGGACTATTTTAAGTACTTGGTGGAGGATGGATAGACCTAGCTTATCAGGGAAAAGCTAACCGGTTGTACTTTCTGCATGATGTTGTTTACACTCATATGAGTCTACCATCAGATCATAAGAACATTGGCTGACCGGCAGAGTTGTACAGACCCTTCACGCGAGCGAGGCAGTTTCCTGCCTTGATTAGAGGTTTTTACGGGATTTTTACATTCCTCGGAACCTCATCCACCACCCTGGCTTCTTTTCTACTAGGAAAAGGACCAAGGGGATCATGGTACAGTGAGGAATGTAATCCAGAAGAAACCCTTAACTTGAAGTTGGACGGAAGGCCTGCGGTGAAGCTCTTGTCCTCGACCATAGTGCGCAGGTTGAACATTTTCGTGGGCAGCACAAACGGCACGCGGCGCGTGTCCATGCCCGTTTCCATTGCCTGGCGCCGTGGCGACTTGGCACGGACGACGCCGTGCGCACGCTGGCACTCGGGAAAGTTCAAGGGCGTTTCCACAATTGCCGTGATGGAGCCACGAAAACAGGTCTTGGCCTTCTTGGCCGCCAAGCGACGGCGTGCCGCCGCTGCGCTGCTTCCGCTCTTCAAGACCCTCTTAAACGATTCCACCGCGCGGATCTCCGTTGTCACCTCTGCGAGGAGACGCCGATCACTATCGCCTTGGGCAGCACCATCACCGGAAGGTGGCCCACTGCCACTGGCCGGGTCGCCTCCGCCTCCGCCTTCGCCACCTGCTGCTTCCTCGTCGGCTTCCATGTCGCCCATGAGACCGTCCCAGGCAAGTTCCTGCTTCCCCTCCAGCTTCATCTGCAGAATTAGAGCAACCCTAAACCCTAAACAAAAGGGGGAAGAACAAAGAAGATGCTTCTTTTTAAGTTCCACCTTTTAAAAAATAAGGGGTAAAAGGTTCAAGGTTCTAGTTCCTTCTCCTTATAAGAAAGAGAAAGTAGATCTTAATGTTCGTGAAAAAATGGACGAAAAATTTTTCCAGACTATATTTAGTCAAAACCTGTGTAAGTCAGCATCGTTGCGAAACACTACGACGCCGCGCGGCAGTCTGCACTGAAAACTGTGCGAGATGGTATTGTATTTTTGTATTGTATAATTGTACAAGCAAATAAGTAAATGTATAAGCAAATATTAAAACCAAGGCCTTAAGAGAAGCTTGTAGTTGGTTTGCCCCGTCTTGCCGCCGATCTCGATCATGTGAAACACCTGCGCTCCGGTCGAGTCTACCGCTTCCACCAAGACGGAGTCGCCCGTGTCGGTCCCCGGAATGCGGCCCGTGGCGCCCTCCAGCGCAGTGATGATGTCCAGGGCGATCGCCTCCTCCGGCACCTGGGGTGCAAAAGCGGAAAGGCAGCTCCAAGCAACGCCGTCGACCGACTTGATCTTGAGATACTCCGTGGTGCCATTGTGCGCCGCGATCGCGGTGCCTGTCACGTTGTTCCACGTGTAACCAACACCGAGGCGCGCGTAGAATTCCTCACCGTACATGCACTTGGACTTGAAACCCGTCGAGCTGTCGTTGCGCGGACGCGCCTCGGCGTCCGTGAAGACGGTGTACTTGGTGTAGGGATCGTGGTTCTGTCCGATCGGGAACAGGCTCTCGGCGGTTGGCGACAAGAAGGAGAACATGCTAGCAACCGTTAGAGTCTCCAGAAATTGCATTCTTCAGACCATTCCTGACTCCTTTCTTAGTTCCGAAAGGGTCAGGGATGTTAGTGCAGGATGCAATCTGGAAAGAACCCTTAAAACCACGTCGCTGCTGAACGGTGCAATGGGAATGGCCATTTCCGTCGGCCCCATGGGTGGATCCAGAACAATGGCATTGTTCAGCTGCTCATCGTCCGAAGCGTCAATGAACGCGGCCGGAATCACGAAGAACCCGCTGGTTGCCTGATCAAACACGAATCTATTGCCGGCTGCGGCTGCATCGAAGCCGTCCGGAGCATCGGATGGCAACGTAAAGCCGTAGTTGCCGTTGACAATCGCCCAGGTGAGCGTTTCCGCCAACAGCGTCGTCAATTCCTCGTCCGTGAGGGCGTCGAAATCCAAGGACGAGCCACTGCTTCCGGAGCCACCATCGCCAGAGCCGGAGCCACTGTCGCCATCGGAGCCGGAGCCCGGGCCGGTGGGTGCCACGCCAGCACCATCTCCACCGGAGCCACCATCTCCACCGGAGCCGGAGCCACCATCTCCACCGGAGCCGGAGCCGCCATCTCCACCGGAGCCGGGGGTTGGTAGAACTGAGTTGCCGCCGCCGGAGCCGGGGGTTGGTAGAACTGAGTTGCCGCCGCCTCCGGCGGCGACGGCTGCCAGAACTGCCTGGCCCGCCTCCTCTGCGCCAGCAGCACCCGCGACAATCATAGCAGCCCACGAGACCCCAGTATCCGAAAGGTCGAGCCCCAGACCAGTCGCGAAAGTCGCGATGGGCTCATTGACAGCCCCCGAACTATCCACAATGCAGTGGGCATCACCACCCACCGAGCCGTCTGGATTCATAGCACCAACCACGGCGTTGATCGTATTGAACATTGTAGTTGAGTCGAGTCCAGAGAAGTCTGCCGTACCCGTGATATTCTTGCACTGGTTCCAGATGGCGAGACCCTGGTCCAGAGAAACCTTGGCCAACATTAGCGCGACTAGCTTTTCGCTATCCCTGGCTGAGTGAGATCCCCTTTTTCATCCCGCCCCGTGGTTTATTCCATCTAAAAAATTAGTAAATCACGGGCAGGGACGAGGACTTGTGGTCCACTCAGGAGCATAGAAGTCCACTCAGGCCCATCGATAGAGAAAAACTAGCCTTAACAGAATTGCGTCTGTGACTTGGGCCTTGTATAGGTTATCGTCGCTGAGCGTGAACGTCGTCAGATGCCTCTTGGACTTGTTCTTGCTGTTGTTGGGCTTGTTCTTGAGCTGACTGTTCTTCAGCTGGCGCCTCTGCGAAACCTTCTTCACCTGCTTCATGTTCAGTTGTCGCTTCAAGTACTTGTCTTTCAGGGCCCGTCGCCCAGCCTTGAACAGCGCTTTCTTGTCCGCCTTCGCGATGAAGTCCGAGAGAAGACGGCGGCTCTGCGCTGCCCCCAATGCCGCTTTCGCCGCCTTGCACGTCTTGCGATCGATGATCTGCTCCATCGGCAACGCCTCAGGAGCACCCTGAAGTGCGCGTACCTCGGACTCCGCCAGAAGCTGTCGCATTTTAGACGCGCCCTCTTCGGTGTGGACGAACAGTTCTTCGTAGGCCTGCTTGCTCGAATATCCGCCAAAAGCGCCCTTCGCGGCAGCCAGCATCTCCGAGCGCGCTTTGCGTCCTGCGGGATGTCTTTTGCGTCCGCCGAAGATGTTAGAGGAGCTACCTGAGACTATTACAAAAAAACTATGAAATAAAATATGAGTCTTTTGAAAACACCTTTTGATAGAAGATAAGGACTGAACTACAACATATGAAATCATGTATAAGGATTGTGATTGAAAATATTAAGGATCGTTGCAGCCTTAAAGATGGTGCGCAGGTTGTGCTTACCCTTGAACTGTTGCAGCTTGCGCTCCTTGCGGGCCGTCAGCTCATCCATCAAAAAACGAAGAGGCTCCTTCTTGTACTCAGCAAGCAAATTGAGCGCCATCACTTTTTCGGAAGCCAGCCGTTTCTCCTGCCGAGCAGCCTTACGCCCCACCCGGTTCACCGAGGCACCTGGAGTAGGAGTAGTAGTAGTAGCACATCGTCATTATTACAAGGAACTTAATACCTCATCAGTATTTATAAATTTAGATACTTAGTCCAGCAAGTAGAATCGTCATTTTCTTGTTCATCTTGATCATTTACTGGAGCTAGCTAGAAGATGCAGAACGAAGAGAGCTAATTTTAGTACCAGCATTTTCTCCCTCGAGAAGCATGCGAGGAGATGGCGAAGCACCAGATCCACCAGATTCGGGAGAAGGTCCAGAAGTAGTCGCGCACTTCTGTGCCGCATTTGGGTCGGTAGAAGTTGTGTTTGGCGGTTGAACGCAGCCACACTGCTTGATCTCAATGGAGACCTTTCCGAAGGTTTCCAGAATCGTGTATGCCGAGGGACCGTACTCCCTCCACAGATCCGCGTATTTTCCCAACTGCTTTCCGCTCGGCTGGGTCGGGTCCGGCTTCGTTCCCAAAATGCCGGAATCTTTCAGCCCTCCCTTCTTGTAGTCCTTGCCGTACATGCAGCGCATTTCACTGTTCTTCCCAGATCCGACCTGCATCTGGGCGACAAACGCAGCAGGCGCCCCCCCCTGCTGCATCTCCTCCACCATTAGCTGCGTGAAGTCGTCTTAGAGCTCCTCACCTAAATTCATCTTCTTGAAGAGACAATGTTGCATCTTTAAGTTTGTTTTGAGGGACTAACGTAAGTCGGAATAACGAGCTAAAAACAAACCGGTTTTTCCCCTTGAAAACGCGTCCACGTCTTCAAAGGAGGTCAATTTCATTCATTCATTCATCCATTCATTTACCTGGTCTGGAGGTATCTTTTGACCTAGATCAAAAGGTTTCTTTGCTCCTTGTACCGTTTAATTATACTTCCAAAAGGCGTCTTTTTTTCCCCCCCTCCCTTCACTTATTCTTCGATCTTTCTGAACTCGCGGCTCAAGATGCCTTAATCGTCAGAGCGCCACAGGAACTGAATTCCGTACATCGTGTCGCCACCTTTGAAGCCGGCAACCGTATCCACATCCGGACAGCAGACCGTCGGGCCTGGCGGTGCCAAAACTTAGAGGAGGCACAGGTATGCCTTGATCAACATGTTCGCTTAGTTACAACCCCGTTCGTTATGCCTTTCCCGTCCCTTGAGAAAGGTAGACGGGTCTCACTCTCTTGGGGTTCTCTTGGTATTCTGTTCGCTGTTGCTAGGTTCAAACTTGTCCAAGTCAGAGACGAAGACGATATCATCGGAAGAATCTGTGGTCCCCGTTCTTCGTTATATGCCTTTCCCCTTCCCGCCCCTTGAGAACAAGGGCAAAACATCAAACGGTTGTAACGGGAAGAACACCTAGTAAAACCTGTGTATAGCCTTAAATAACGTTGCCGAATTCGAGGTCTCCGCCCGGAAAACAGCCGCCGCCGCCCGTTTGGTACTGCTGGCCCATCAAGGAAAATCCTGCAGTCAGCGGGCTCGTCGTGTCGGTAACCGGATTCGAGAAGGAGCAATGAAAGGGGACTTCTGGTCGTTGTGAGGGTGAAATAAATGAGCAATAGTGGTCACGCTGGAGACTTCTACTCCATGGTCTTGTGTATAACATCATAACAACTGGAGGTGATGTTCACCACGGTTGCGTCCGCGCCTGTGTTGTCCGTGCCGGCAATCAAATCCGTTTCCGCGATCGCCCCAAGAAAGTGCTGCACCGTGACGCCGCGGGTGAGAGAGGTCCCGGCGGGGCAGGCCGGCTTGTACACGTAGATTAGAGCTTCAAGATGCTTCAAGATGTAGTGTACCAGCCCGCGTAATATCCACAGGGATTACTTAAATAGACCACCCGGCTTACGTGGGAAAATAAGTTTCAATACAAATCCACAGGGATTACTTAAATAGACCACCCGGCTTATGTGGGAAAATAAGTTTCAATACAATACAATACAATTAATCTCGCTTTTTTTTTTGTATCGTGAGCGAGTTCCGATAAATCAAAACCTACCTGCGTATTTTGCAAGCGAGTTCCGATAAGTCAAAACCTGCCTACATATTTTCCGCGTAGCTACCGGCGTAGGGGGGAGTTCTCGCTTTTTTTTTGTATCGTGAGCGAGTTCCAAAGTACAGTGAAGACTGTCTTAAGGGTTAATTAAAGTCATTGTCTAATAAAAAGAAGCCTTAAGTAGATCTCCTCCGGACTTTGCACCTGCAGTACGTCGAATTGGATCATCTCGTAGAGGGCCTTCTTGTCGGACCCCGGGCCCCACTCCTCGATGCGCTCCGCAACCGACTGCGGGTACACGGTCACTGTGTTCTCATTCACCTGGCCCTGGACGCCGCCCGGCGCCAGGAAAAGGCTGACGAGACTCAGCTTCTTGTTCAACATCTTGTAGTAACTAGTTTGATAGAAGATCCTTGTGACAGAAATCAATTCTAACGTCGTGATTGTACGTACAACTCTGTTGTTGAATATCTAATAGTACAGTAGGTACTTCTCGTTTTTATATTGTTCAAATACGCGACTTAGGAGCTAGAACGAAGATGAGACAAGCAAGTTACTCCGCAACTTGAGCTCTAATACTTTAATATTATCCTGCTTCGTCAACAGAAGACTGACAAATAATAGATTTCCGCTTATATACTTCGAGAGATGTTGACGATATCACTTCTTAGTTTGAAAATAATTCGACTTCTCGTCTCTTTCTTTCCTTAAAACTGAGTGCTAGCTTACTTACAAGTAAGTAAAGAGAATCCGTAGTCGCCGTGCACCTCTGGCGGAAACACACGCGATCACTAGAGAGGAAAACGTAATGAGCTGCCGACTAGTTTTGTAAATGACGTATTTAGAATACTAGCTTCAACATCAAGTGTTGCCTTGTTTGTAAACAAAGTTGGCTTACCCACAAAAGGAGTCGCCACACAAGGAGTCGTCACCCTAAGCGTTGGATTCGAAACTTTGAGTGAGGAGGAAATCAAAATCGGTGAGGAGAAAATCAAAATCGGTGAGGAGGAAATCAAAATCGGTGGAGGATGATGATGATGAGGCAGAAGTTTTTGTTTGCAATGATAATGAACAATTTTTACATGAAATCAGTCGAAAGTCAGCAGGAGCATTTTCTCTCAGTGAGTCGGTTTTTTCTTTGTTTTTCGAAGATCAGTATCGTCTCTCTCTCTCCCTCGTCTCTGTACTACGACGACGATCATATTTCCACGACATCAAACATCAGGGCTTCTTAGTCTATAATTTTTACAAAGATTGTGCAGTCTACGACTAGCTGAAAATAATTGAGCGAGGGCTTCAAGATATCCATCTTAGCCAGCATCTTGGGTCAGTTTCTAAACGAAAAATGGGCACCAAGATGCTCCACAAGACGAATTTGTTCCAGCTCTAAATTCATATTTAATGCCAACAAGGTCGCTCTCTCATCCCTCGTTTGATGCTCAACAGATGCCACGTATTCTCTTCGACGAAAGAAACGATATCAAACACTCTTTCTCAAGTATCAAAATTTCACACACAGATTTTTTCTCCAGTGAAATGTACCTTCTTCTGATATTAAGCACGACGAAACAGAGATAATACCACGCTAGAGTTAGGATTTTCTCGACAATTCTCTTGTTCGTCGAAGTCGACTAATAGCATGCTCAAGTTCTTCAATCCATCAAGAGACTGCCTGAGATCTTCAAGTTCTTGAATGATTAATAATATGCCCAGTATTGAATGTAGGTACGGCTGTTGATGAGCATGGTATATTAGTGCAAATCATGCGTCCCTAGCATGTATCTGTATGTATACTAGTTTTCGCGTTAATACAACGCATCTAGACCACCAAAATGACCTCCGAGATGAAATCGTAACGCTTTCTCATCTTGTATTCCAAACCAAATAGCAGTAAATGCTTGAGTTTCCATCATATGCTGTTCATATTGAGTTGATTTCAGGCATCTTCACAGTCCAAATGAAGCACAAATTGAGAATGTTGAAAATTTTGCTACTCAAAAGTCCAGACTTTTTCGTTTTTATCTAAATTCTCCTCAATTCTCATCCTGAAACACGTCAGGCAACTCATACTGATCCTTAATATACCTCTACGTCTCACCAATTCCACATATTGACACATTTGACATCAATCGAAAAGATCTTGAAGTAGTGAAAACATTGCTAGTAAACAATGGCACATCAGGAAATGAATTTGAATTAAAACGAAATAAAATCAGAAATTCTTGGATATACCACATCAAACTTGAATTTGAACTCTTTCTTGATCCAAATTCCTCTTAGTGGGGCCGTCCTCTTGGTCAAGCCGCCACTCTCAGTCGTCTATCACAATCACTTGTGCACGACTGAAATAATCCCGCCGCGTCGAGGGAAATGCGTCGATTTTCTGCTACAGAATTAAGGCCTTAACACTACTTCTGAAACGTCGTGTGTCCGGTAGTTCGAGGCCACCGCATGGGCGTGTGATCGCAAATTGCCTTTTGCCACCCCCTTCTTGCCTATCGCGCCTCTGCACATTCTTATCGGCACTGGGGGCAGTGTAGTTTGCTTGTGCATGTTCCTCTGCTTCGCGTATTTCATCTTCCTCGATATTGATTTTTTTTGGCTTGCACTCACGATTCGGGACAAGCTGTCGTGGCTATTTCCCCATCTGCTGTTCCTTATATTAACCTCCATAACCGCACCAGACACTTGATAAGGTGCAACGCCAGGGCGCATGATCCTCGCAGGCACGTGCAAGATCCTAGCCAGCTCATGTGCTGCTCTCTGACACTCCAGACACTGCTCTGCCGCTCTCCGACTGCATGGCATGCGTGCACTTCAAACAAGCAAGCATTGAACTACGAGAGCGTTCTGCTAAGAGAGAAACGCGACTATTGTTCTCAACACTGCTCACTTAAATTCCAGTTCTTCGAGCTACACACAGCACATGCAGGTCAGATCGGATCCCACTTAGCTCAATGTTCTTGTGGCCTCAAATGATTCTACTAGCCTACGGGCGGGACAAAACGGATCTGAACAAGTTCATACCGCGAAGCGAGTTCAGCTTTCCTTTCTCTGCAGCCCTTTTCTCATCTCTCTCCTCTTTCGGTCATCTGTAATCATAACGGTACAGCAAACTACTTACCTGCTTATTGATGATCTTCGATCAAGCTCGATCAGAAACGATCTGATGAATAACAAGAAGAACAAGTACTCGTCTATACCACTTGAAAGTACTTAAAAGTCACCTTTCACTGGAGGCCCGCTCGTGTCCAAAAGTGTAAAAATCAACTCTTTTGAAATCATTTTTTTGCGATTTTTTTTGTGAGGATGCGGTGAGACGGGAGTTTTTCTCACGACCGCCTAATTGGCACTGTGTTGTGTATGCCATGCGCGTGTCCCTGCCGCGGTTCTATTATTTTTATTTTTTGCGTTAGGACTATATGCCACCGCCCTTTCAAACAATTAATTAACATGTTCAACTATGGTCATCCAAGTTACATACTGGGGGCGCATAAGACCGTACATTCGGCCACAGGTCTACGTTTATCGGAGGACCCGTACATTCGACCCCTGTAGAACAACGAAGAGACATTATTACGTTAAAGTTATGGAATAGCCATCTTTTCAGTAACGACTGGGCGGGCACCAGGCTAGGATCCAGGATCAAAAATGACTTCACCACACAACCTTACACCCACAGTCGGCGCTCGAACATGGTTGTACTAAGGGAGTTTAAACATGGTACTAACACACAGTTTATTTCGTTTGCATTCATTCATTTCTACATACATTTTCAACAGTCAATAAATTAGCGTCAGTGATGGCTATGACAAGCATAGTAGCATTGCTGATCAAGGTACGAAAAAAAGGAAAAAACTTTTCCTACGATTTGGGATAGGATAGGATAGGACGCCGTCGCCGACTCATCACGCAAGGTGTCGAGGCGACTCAGGCCAAGCGCCCCAAGGAGGAAGTGTTAGTAGCGCCCCGATTTTCATCAATCCTTATAATTACATTTTGATAATGAAAGGTAACTACAACTACAGACAATGGAGGCACATAGACCACAGAACACGGCTTTAAGCGGTTAGGGTCTGGAATAAAATTGCGATAGACGACGTCCTCGTGTTTTGCTGGCAGCACACACTTCAGGCGAGCCCTGTGACTATACTACATCATGGCTCAGCCTGGTGTAATTCCTAAAAAAAAACACACAAACAAACAAACAAACAAACAAGGATACTTTTTCTTATCATGTAATGATTGTCAAAGACAGAAAATGATAATTATTACTTGCTCCTACTAGAACTCGCTCTCCCTTTTTATAATACACCTCATTCCAGAGACACTCCGCTTGCATCCTCATGAAACAGAGGCCCAGCTACATCCTCGTCATAACTTTTCGAGCTCCTGCTTGGTGTTCTTCTCTCACTTGTCAAGCTCCGTGTGGAGCGCTTTCATGAGATTCGATCCCTCAACGCCGGACATCGTGGCGTGACAGAGTTAGCGCTCACCCTAATCCATCTCGAAAAGCGTCCCGCTTCCCTTTTCTCCGTGAAAGTCCAAAGGGGGATGCTTCAGAAGATGAATTAGGGTAAGCCTTAACACAGCGTCATTGCGAGGAAAGCCTTGCCTTGCTCGTCCAGCTTGCCCACGCCCATGATGCCGAGAGTTAGAGAGACAGAGGATCCTAGGAGCAGTAAAATGACAACTACACTACTCCCAGACGAGGAGGATGAAGAGATCTATCCATAATGAAGCAAGCTGAAAGAATTCTTGGTCTACTACTTGGCAAGTAGATGGGCAGCCGCAGAAGATATAGCAAGAAAAGACCCTTAATAGTCTACGTGCTACTACACTTCGCAACTGATTAGCATGCACAAGCTGTTGTATACTACTTCACAAGTACAACCAGTGGTATGAATTCCATTTCAGATATGCATGAAGTAAATGTTGGTGAATTTGTAGGCAGCGCAGTAGGTTGTAAAAAAAGGTAATGTCTTTCTGGTTAGGGAAAGTTAGGCTAGGTTATGAATACTGCACAATGCTTCTCATGTGTGTGTATAACCACCTAAGAGACATTATTACATGGAAGTTATGGGGTCACCAGCGTCTGTGTCTGACGAAGATTTTCACTATATAATACAGTGCGGCCATAAGGTTGTGCCTTTTGGCAGGACCGGAATGACCACGTCCGTTGCATCTTTACCCATGCTGGAGACGGTAAAGCACACCTCATCTAAGTTTTGATCCTCAGCGGGCAACTTCGCTCCTGCTGCGGCCATCCTGGAAGAGTAGATTCATTTCTTCAGGTCGTGCTTCATTTAAGAGGATGAACGTCTTCAACCCATGGTTTAAGAGGAGCACTAAGCTAAAAAAAAGAATAGAAGTTGTTGCTTGCAATTAGGATTGGATAGGATAGGATAGGATAGGATAGGATAGGATAGGCTAGGACAGAATCGAATAGAATAGAGTAGAATAGAATAGAGTAGGATCAAGATCATGGGACCCATCTATAAAATATCAGATGGGCGAACTATTGCGGAGTATCAAACAGTATTCAACTTAATGTTGAGAAGATCCTAGAGGAGTACCTTTTGACATCAGCCATGACATCTGCGTAGGACTTGCTCGTTACGTCCTTTACCACTGCCGTGCGAAGCTGGCCTTCATTAGAGGGCCAATCTAGAAACAACTCCTTCCGTGTCTTCCACTGCGAGAAGCTAACTTTGTTGCTCACAACAGCACTTGCCTTTCACAAACTTTGTTGGACTACCAAAGGAACGAAGGATCATTGTGAAAGTGCTACTTAGTGTGTGTTTGTTTTCATCTTTTAAGCAACAACACACAGCACTGCAGATCGATACTAGATGGCCATCATGGTCATGCGTCTCATGCCTAACGTTCCTCAGGTGTCAAGTCCGAGACAAAGCTTATGCAGAGAACCAGAGATATAGTAGTAGTCTAGTAGTAGTGTACCCAATGAGTAGTAGTGTACCCAATCAGTAGCAGTGTACCCAAACAGAGATATAGTACAGTAAGTAGTAGTAGTAGTAGTAGTAGTGTACTTTTCTACCCGTTGACTATACAACGCTGTACTACAACGCTGTACCTTTTCTTTCTCCTCAGAACATAACATTGACATCTATGGCGCATCCGATGTTCACCTTCGGGAAGAGCTTCATTTCCGTTCGGTCCTTGCTCAGCTTGATATTCATCTCCGCATTGCTGGCGGCGGTGCCTAACGCCTTGATCAACACCGCGACCGGCGAGACCCCACTATCCTTTGCCTTCTGCACGACCTTACTCTGCCTTAGAACACGACACTATCTACTCTTTGACGCTCATCGTGGTCCGCACATCTGGTGCGAACATCACGATGAACATGTTACATAGAACTTATGGAATAAGCAATTCATGCCATGTGTGTGTCCCTGCCGCGGTTCAACATAACCACCACCTGTGAGACATTAATATTACATAGAACTTATGGAATAAGCAACTCATGATCTAGGAGTCAAGTCGACATATTCTTAGGTTAGGTTAGGTTGGGGCCTACCATCCGACGTGGCAGACTTGAAAAGTCACACGACTCATTGCTGTATATTCTACTTCTTAACTTGAAGTCTACACGGTCAAGGAGGTTGAAGCAGTTCGTGTCTCGATCTCCAACGGACATTCCCTTTGCCATCGCCACCTGGTATCTCGAGAGTTTCTTTCGCTCAGGTTTGTGCTTAGAAGGGCATGTAAAAGGTGGCAGGAACCAGTTGTAGTAACTCGTTGCAGTAGCCCAGCCCTGAAATGAGCGATCGAAACGCTTCTCTCAACTTGTCTTTCACCTAAAAAACACGCAGTAGACTGGTGTTACTTCTCACATCAACGTTTAAAGGACTATTAGGACTAGTCACTAGGTGAAAATGTGAAATCAGTGGTAGCTTTGTTTGAAGGGATTAGGCACGAAGGAAAAGTGGCCGGTTAGTTTTCCTTATCTGAAATCAATAGCTGCATAACACTAGTGACGGCTTTCTTCTTCGATACGCTAGGCGCCGCTTCACTTGCTGCTGCTGGCGCACCTGCAGTTTGGACGCTGACCACTTCCGTTGCGTCGCCCTCCACGTTGATCTAGGAATTAGCGGTTTCCGGATAGATGTGCCTGACAAGACCACAAGAACTACCGTTCCAAGTCTTTCGACTGTTTCAAGATCACAAGAACTACCGTTCCAAGTTTTTCGACAAGAGTCAACGCACCAGCTGGGATGGTTTCATTCCTGACAAGCACTGTAGCAACGAACTAGCCTATTTGAAAAGGAAAACCCACGACTAGTATCTAAGTACTTAACTTTGCCTTGAGGGACCAGGTATTCCTTGATGACTCCAGCAACGGGACTGGTGATCTCGATTGTCGCTTTATCAGACTCGATTTCGCAGATCAGCTCGTCCGCTTTGACGCTGTCTTAGACAGGATAGGATAAAAGACGATAGGAGTGAGCTCCCTTAAGAGGAGATTCCTACTTCTTGTAGGTATGATAAGGTCATAATTCTTGTCGGTATGGAGGCCATGCAATCTCTTTAAATCTCTAGTAGTACTTCTTCTAGCATAATATCATTCGTTGTAGAGCCCTTACTAAGAAAGAAAGAAACCTGAAAAAAAGAAGATACTCTATAGATAGTACTCGGGGAGCAGCAGGGATCATTTACCTGAATCGGTAAATCATGGTCACTGTCCCTGATCAGTATTCAAATGGGATCCCTTACTTTCTTATACAATTTTTTAGCAGGTACGTAAGTACAAATATAAATATCAACATGCACTACATCAAACTAGTCGCGCTCGTGGTAAGAGAAGCCAAGGATTGGCTTATCAGGCTCGTTGAAGAGCATCCGTATGCAAAGGCTAGCTTAGGTTAGAAAAAGCCTATGCCAAAGTGGATAGACAGCAAAAATGGATACAGTAGTAGTGGAGGTGGTGGTAGTAGTAGTAGTAGTTAACCCACTCATGGGATACAGTCCAAAAGGGACATGCGGCAGCATAACTTTCGCCAACCTGCTTCACGTACTTGACATACACACCCTCTCCGTCCATAGGAGCCTTCACCATCTCAATAGGTCCGGAAGCTGAAGAGAGAAATGTCAAAATAGAAACGATTTTTGGGCAGATGAATCTTGTTCACATGCTCATGACCTACGGAGAGCGATCAGAAGAAAACGAAAGAGAGGGGAGATCTAGCCTAGAGAGGGGGGGAGAAGGAAGAACCAAGAAAAGTGCAAACGAGCCTGCCCCCTTGTGGACATAACTTTTACCTTATCTATTCTACTGTATGCTCTACGTACCATGTGCATGCTGCTAGGATCTTGAGCCATTTTCGTTGCTTAGTTTATCTGTTTTCAGTGCTTACCCCATCCTCATTATGATAGGAGCGCAATTCCTAGGCTAATCTGGTCCACAAATCGAAAAGCTCAATCTTACTCTTGAAGTGAAAACAAGTGGATTGCAAAGGATTCATCAGGAAATGAATTTCAAAAAGATAAGACAAAATCAAAAATTCTCGTTATTTCCTAAAAATTCAGAATTTGAAACTCAAAGAATCAAAGTTCTTTCATTTAGTAGCACTGAGAAGGTCCTATGTCAACTCATTATGCGAACCTAATACATATTAAAGTACAAATTGACAGACTACCTCCATTATATGAGACAAATGTTGCTAATGCATGAGATTTGATGCATGTGTTTACCCAAGTCTCGAAGTTATAAAGCAATTGCAACCAAAAGGGCTCGTCAGGAAATGAACTTGAATTAAACTGGTTAAAATCAGAATTTCTCACTTTGGCACTCAAAGTCCAAAGATTCAACAGGTGCAACAGAATCGGAAAACAACATGTTGGCCACTCTACTCCATGAGCAACCGCTGCAGAAAAAACAAAACACCCATCTCTATCCACAGTAGTTGTATCTGGCAAAATAAGCACTCGTGAAGGTGAAGCATGAACTATAACTACCAGCCGCTGCAGAGAAAAGTCATGAAGACAAATGTGAGGTATAAACAATACCAGATGACGAAGCAGATGCTGCTGGTGCATCTCCTCCTGCTGCGATCTTTGCGATCTCGGTCTTGTCGCCCTCCACGTTCATCTCAGTCCTTTCTTAGAAGATGATGCAATACTACCCTCAAGTGGCGGCATATCTCTAATGTAGTACACAACATCAAGACGCGGCATGATGTCGTACACAATACGCGGTTGATGTAGTACAGGTATGAGGCAGTACACAAGCAGGGGTATAGGACGAGAGGATTGATTGGTGGTCATCTACGAGAGGACTGATTGACACCAGTAGAAAAAAGTCGTTGCAGGGGTATGCTGAGTAAGATAATGTCTATACTGAGGATACGTAGACTCTTGATCTTTATTCACAATGTACTAATGGACTCTTGACATTACTTCACAACGCAGTCATGGAGATACTGAGCATACGTAGTAGTGGATCGAAAAGTCAGTGCCTTGTAATGACCAGAATACGAACGCTTTTCTACCGATAATCAGCAAAAAGAAGCCATAGTTTTCTTTTACCAAGAATTCCTGGATTACGCCGTCACACGGAGCCTGGATCTCGATCGTCGCCTTATCAGATTCAACCTGTAGTGTGTGACATAAGGTTGGTATTGGTATAGGGTCATGTCATGTCAGGATCCCTGGAGGGATTGGTCTATATACCAATGATAAGGGCAGATTACATACATACTCTATTGATCTTGAGCTTTTAGCTCAGTACTAGTCCTCCCTGTCATGTCTTCGCTTCGTGTTGCAGTCCTTGCTCGACTACCTAAGAAGCTGTAATATTACATAGAAGTTCTAGGAAACTAGCTTCTAAGCAACTTATTGTCAAGAAAAAGTGTACCTCGGCAATAACATCGTCCGCCTTCACTGTATCGCCCACATTCTTGATGAAGGTGACGTAGACCCCCTCGCCATCCATGGGCGCAAGGACCGTCTCCACTGCACCGCATGAGTTAGAGGCCACCCCAATAATGACGTAAATTAATTGGCGCACTTCAGGAGCCTACTTGGATTACCTACGTCAAAAGTAACACTCTGGCTGCAGCAGCCTGCACAGATCTTTGTCGTGCGAAATTCATTGCATTGTATTGTTTGAAGCCTTAATCGGAGAAGCGGCCGAGGCCGCTGGTGCTGGTGTTGGCGCGGCACCCGAAGTTGCCCGCTGGCTCTTCGTCTTAGACGAGAGGACTAAAATTCTCATGCGTGGACTTGAATCCTTTCATTCTCAGTCCTCTGCCTACATCTATAGGAGTAGTCGTAGTAGTGTGCCCAGTCTAGGGGTATACAATTACTGAGTCACAATTTGAGGACTCTCCCAACACAACGTCAAACAAATGCTACAAATACTACAAATTATGTGTTGCATCCACATTAATGCGTTGCATCCACATTAATGGCGCCAAAAGGGAAAGGAAAAAAAAAAGCAACTCTCGTTGCACTTGCGCCGCATTTCCTTCAATAGGAATGGGGTTGCAACTGGTTGTGTGTTCATGTTCATCGACCTTGTATAATGAAGATCGCACGAACGCCTTACCTCATGCGTAAAAAAGGAGCATAAGCCCAAAAAATATATGCACGAACTTATATATAAGTTCTATCGGCCTTGAGCGCCATAAGTTTCCGTTTGATCTGACTCAGATCCGGCACACCCTCGATAATTCCACGCGCCTTTAGGGTGCGGTAAATATCTTTCTCCTGGATCAAGGTGTCGCCCAAACCATACGGTACGTACGCATTGCCAACCGTACACTCCGAGAAGAAGAGGTCACTCGCATGTCTTAGAAGAAGAGGTCACTCCGAGAAGAAGAGGTCACTCGCATGTCTTAGGCGTGCTAGTGGTATCTATAATAGTGCTAGAGCAAGCTAGAAGGAGAGCTAATTAGGGTCTTTATGTACGTAGGGCATAGTAGCTGGAAGAACGTAGGGCATCGTGAGTTTAGGTCGGGCACATGCGTAGTAAAGGGCACTAGGAAGTAGGAACAAATACGAATATGTTCCACCAGACATGATCATAGACATATCTAACCAAGAGATCAGATATCCAAGCAGTAGACCTAGGTAGTGGTACTGCTTGTAGGCTTAGGCTTAGTGCATGTCCTGTAATTGCTTCGTGTTGCAGTCTCTACTCGACTGCCTACGATGCGTAGGCATAGTGCATGGCACTATTCCTTATTGATGATTCCTTTCGATATAAACCTTATTGATTCCTTTCGATATCAACTTTGATACGTTGGCATGGCATGAGTCTCACATAGTCCTACACATACTATCTAGAAGACTAAACAATATCCAAGGCACGTGCTCTAATAATGATGAGAGGACTAGCTTGTAGGTCGTAAAGTGAACTAACATCTGAACGAATAGGAGCAGAGGTGTGTTGAGGGAGATTTCCCTTGGTAGACCTGTCATTTTAGACGCTCGAATAGCAGTATGGCGAAAATTTGAGGTATCACAACATCGAAACCGAGGACACATGTGAGACAACTACCGACCTAATCTAATTATAATTATCTCATCTCGAATGTTAGACGCTCTAATAAGTCCGCATCTGCTTCTCTAGCAACTCCATCTGGTAGCGAATCTGTGCAGTTCTCTGAAGTCAATCAATCAATCAATTCTCTAAAGTCTACATCTTTTCGTAAATATCCGATCTGGTAGCGAATCTGTGCAATGATAGGGCCCAGCAGTGCCGAGTTCGGATTCGGATCCACGCACATTACTTCCGTATCAGTCCCCTTGCGCGCCAGGTTGTCCAGGTATTCGATCAGCGAATTAGGCGGCCGGTTCCAGTTGATCACTTACATTAGAAGGCATCTTAACCTAGCATTCCCCTCTTAAGATCAGTTACATTGGAATACAATAATAATTATAAGTCAGTTGTTCCCCAGATGTATGAGTAGCTTTAGTATGTTAGAAGACGAGTATTAGCACTTACATTAGAAGACGAATAAACCATTCATTGCATAGAAGACGAGTAAACCATTTTTCCTTCATTCACTTACGAGGTAGCGTCTCGGGGAAAATTTTTGAAAGGGGAAGGGGTGGGGGGTTGCATAAACAACAAAGGGTTTACTTTCACGCGTTCAGAGCTTTGTTGTTTCTTTTACCTACCTTGTTTTAAAGAAGACGAGTAAAGCTTAGACTCTAGACGACAAGATGGCATTAAGCGTCATCTGTACGAAGCCGCATGCTGTGCGCATGTAGTAATGTGTGTGAGTCATTACTTTCCATAGGATGACTGTTTCAACTTTTCGACCATGATTGAACCCTTTTCGTTTAATCGAAAAACTGAAATAACCGACTATCCCAGGAGAAAGTAATCTTCTCAGATACTCGGATATTTCAGTCAGCTACTCGGTTATTTTGAGTTCGAATACTTGGTACCCAATCCTACTGCATTTGCTTTAGTTCCCACAGTGAATACAAACTTGGAGTAGTTTGTTGAAACATAGATGGGCTTAGTCCTCTACACCCTCCACCGAATTCGAGGTTAAACACCATATGGAGTAAAGTGTTTTTAGCTGCATGTCCATATGGATTAAAAATAGTCGAGCAACATAACATCAATTCGCAGTCGAGGTTTTCCTGCGCCAAAACCTTGGCAATCATGCGGCAATCCGGACCCCATCCGATCACAACCAACTTCTTGCGAAAAATTAGCGGGGAAGTAGACTAAACTACTAGGCTTCACTAGTTGCGAAGGTGGAAAGAGAAGACAACTTCTGGGTGTCACTACAAAGAGAAACTAGTTGGAAAGACAACTACAAAGAGGAGACCATTTGCGACAATCCAACACTGGTTGGAAAAAGTAGTGAGGAAGACCAACTACAACACGCCTTCCCAGTCGAAAAATTGAAGAAAAGAAAAGTACCTACAGGCACTAGTCGGCAATTGTTCGTTGGTGTAAGACGAGCACGAGAGTTATTTCTAACGCAGAAACTAGCAGACTGAAATAAGACAGCTTTCCTGGCATACCAGCTGCAACTGATTTTGGCAAAAGAAACACTTCAGAGTCTACAAATACTACTACTACTACTTTCTTAAAGAGAGCGGCTGCTTCGTTCCTGGGATTTTGACGCGGAAAAAGTCGTTAACTCCGACATGCTTCTTTTCATCGGGAAGAGGAAGCTGCGCATGTTGGAGCTCACCCTTATCCATCCTGAGACGCATCCTGAATCCATTTTCCCCTTGAAAACGTCTCCAAGATGCTTCCGGAGATGGAATAGGAGAAGCCTTAAGGATGCAGCTGGCCGAAAGCCATGGTGGGTCCCACTCCGATAACCATGCGGCCCATATCGTGCAATCTGTTGACGATGTTTTGACGATGTTTTGCGTCTGAGCTGAATTGCACCTAATAGATTGATACTACTATATTGCTTTGGATGAACATCTGAAGAAACACACACACACAACCTCAAACAGTGAGCATTCATGATCAACAAACTACCGACATCAATACGGCCTCAGACGAGGGAAAAGTACCGGACCATCTCGGGCATGCATGCCGACAGAATATTCATATCGATCGGCAAACACATGATCGTATTCGCCTCGCCACCGAAGCTGTCTTATTAGATTCTTCTAATCTTTTACAAAAACGTCTTGAGAGAGTGAAATATCCTAAAGGAGCGGCTGCGTTTTTTTGAAGAGAGCGTACACATGAATTTATTCCAGTACGCATGAGTTGACTTTCTCCATTTCAGCCGCCTTGGATTGATTGATTGATTGATTGATTGATTGACGTGCCTCTTAACTGTAGTCTGGGGTGTTATGATGTTCACCCACACGCGCTAAGAACAAATCGCGTTCGACTTAGAGCTCACCCTAATCCATCGCGGGATTCATCTTGGACCTATTTCCCCCTTACGGGACAGGTCTAAGGTGCTTCAGAAGATGGATTAGGGTAAGCCTTAATCGACCTCGTCTCCTGTCTCCGGATCGATCACTTTCTCCTTCTCGCGAAAAGCGAGACTGCCACCATCAAAGCTTAGACTGCGCTTCTATTACTGGCGGAGTGAGTTGCTATCACACCTTGATCTATCACTTTGTTTCTCGTTGATTTCCCCTTTAAATCAATTGTAATTGTTTTGTTTCTCCTTGAATCTCGGAACCTTTTCCCCTGCGTTCGTCTATGTGAGCAAGAGGGCACCGCAGAGATGCTGAGAGAGGTGGAAACAAGCCGACCATAAAAAGAGGTAGATGTGATTTGCGTGCTCCCCAGAGTCGCAGTAACGGTAGGCAGCGTACTTGATATGGTCACGCGCGTGCTCGTTGAAAATCGTATGCGGGCCTGTAGTCGTGTGTTCACTTGCAATATATGTATAAAGTTCTGTGGAAAGACCATTGCTCTTCTACACGCTCAACGTCACTGCGCTAAACCGCATACAATTTGACTCTTACTTATTGATGTTTGGAATCTGTAATATCTTGATGATTACATCTCCGCCAAAGACCAAAAAAACTGCTCACCTTTGACGAAGACACGATTTCCAGGTGGCAGGACGGAGCGGTATGCAGCGCCGACTTGCACAACCTGCGCCTCCTGGGGCATGAAGCCGACGAACTTGTCGGCATGCTTTAGAGATATTAGTATCTTATAGCCTGTAAGCTACTACAAAACGTGCCAAAGAAGACGATGAATCTGTGAAAATCTTAAATGCTCTGGGCCGATAGCTTGCAACTCGCCGTAGACGCCGCCACGCGTGTCGTGCTTACCCTTGTGGTGATTCTCCTGATGCACGTATCGGCACGCTCGACCCTCCTCGTCAGCGATCTTCATCTGCTCATTGATCATAGTCTGTCATTAGAGACAATAGGTAGGGCAAAGTCATCATTGTTCGCCCCAAACGACCACACTAGGCTACCGGCGGGACAATGCATTTCCTGCGGTTGTCCGATTTACTACCGGCGGGACGATTCACCACCGGCGGGCCGAGCAGGTAGCGCCAAACCTACTTGAGGTACCCAAGTACTTGATCATTACTAGCTGAACGAATGGATTCTTGGAAAAACAACACTCAATTACATGGTAGAAAAAACCATGTCTCGAGTCAGGCAATCGCTAGCACAAACCTTTGTCGCTACGTATACATCCAAAGATCAAAACAAGAGCCGAAGAGCATACCCATAAAGATGAAGATGATATCTCTATATTGTTGGTCGAGCATATCTAACTAGAAAAAATATATATTCTTCCAAAAATACCATATTTGTCCTCACCGACTCCTATCGTGCCATAAGAGAAGATTTCACTACCCATACCGGCAAACTTCCTCTGACCTTTTCCCAGCAAGTAGTTAACATCAAGATCGATCGCTTGCCCGCTTTCCTTCTTCTTAGAACAGGACACAACATTTTTCATATCGTAGGCTATTTGGTTTCCCTTGAAGTTTTGAATTGCACGGATGGATGGCAAGCCTGGCATAGATGGGCGCCCTCCAAAGCCATTTTCGATAGTATCAGGAGTTCATTTGCAGCCTAGTGCAACGCAAAATTGTTAAAACACGACAGGGGCACGTCCGTATACTTTCACTTATAAGGGTTTACACGGTATTTGATAATTCGTTTGAAAGAATTGTGGCGTAACTTCAACCCTATAGACGCATGTAGACCCTCTAGACGCGTTCAAGAAATAGAGTGAGACTACACAGAGGAGACAGCCTTAATCTTGAGCACAGTGGTACTACCCGGCTGCGACAACTCCTTGCACTCGTCGCGGGTTAGAACCTTGCAACCGCGGATGGCAACCGAGGTCTGTCCCATGATAGCCTCCTCCGCTTTTTCCATTCGCCCGACCAGATCCGCACCCGTGAACCCCTCAGGTGCGGCCGCACACAGCTGATGTACCAGCAGATCCTTGTACCTGATGTCTTTCAAGCTTTTTAGAAAGGGATGAAATGCGATGACACTGATCGATGATGTACAGAGCAAGTACAGTTAGAAACTTTGACTAACGTTTTTAGTCTGTTTTTACTGAAAAATTACGTTAGTCTGTTTTTACTGAACAATTGGGAAATAAGTACTTGGTGAACTGATCGAGGAGCTGGTCCTCAGCTGCCGGATTCTGGTCCGAAGCGTGACCACCTGGCCTGAAGGGCCAACGCGAGATAACATAAGTCGGGCGGCCAGTCTCCATCACTTGGTCTGCTGCTTTGCTTAGAGCCAAAAACAGAACTGCGCATTTGGATTTTGGATTTGGAGATTTCAGAAAAAAGTTTTCTGGCCACCAAAAGGGGCACAGTACGTTTCGCAATCAACAAAGAGGAGGGAGACAACATGTAGTCAGAATCTAAATCCTGTAAATGCGTAGGTCTAAGTAGTTAGAATCATCCTCCTCCTGCAGGAACATGAGCCACAGTCGCCAGAGGATGGATCCTGATAGGGGTCGCGGCCGCAGAGCGTTCTCATCCCCTCTGTTGTTGAACTAGACAATACAGCCTCGCAGTGCTTGACAGATTAAGGGTAGGCTTTCGGCGTTTCTGCTACCGTTTGTTTTGCCTCTCCTTAGTGGGAAGAGCAAAGCAAACGCGGAACAGACACACCAAAACCCTACCTTTACACACAGGCGTGATGGCGATGCTCATTCTGGTGATTAATCTGGTGACTGCACGTTTCCAGCTTGAACCTTGCAAGCTTCGAATTGAAATCTTGCAAGGTTCGCGTTAAAACGCCGAATCCTCGAAAAAGTGGCTTTTTATCGCCTAGTAATTCAATTTAAATTCAAGTGAGTCGATGTTCATCTCATTCAATTTAGATGATTGGAGTTCGAAACTAGCAGTAACTTCTAGTAGTATGATTCTACTACTAGTATGGTTCTACTACTAGATTGGTTCTACTACTAGTATGATTCTACTGGAATGATGACTCTAGCAGTATGATTCTAGTAGTGGCATGATCCTAGCAGTATGATTCTAGGATCTTGGAGGTTTCGGATTGAAACGCCCAATCCTCGAAAAAATGGTTTTTTATCGCCTAGTAATCCAATTTAAATCAAAGTGAGTCCATGTTCATCTTTTTCAACTTAGATGATTGAAGTTCGAAACTCGTACTAACTTTTAGTAGTATGATTCTACTATAATGATTCTACTAGTATGATTCTACTATAATGATTCTACTAGTATGATTCTACTAGTATGATTCTACTAGTATGATTCTAATAGAATGCTGACTCTAATAGAATGCTGAAAAACACATACACTTCTGACCAAGAAAGTGTAAGTAGCTCTAGTATGCAAAACATAACTTCTTCATGGATTCGATTCCTCCCTTCATATCGTGGGCCCACGTGGTATAGCCAGGATCGATAAGCTTATCCCACATTTCGAAACGTCTCTCTTTAGACCTGGGCTAAGCCCTAAGCCCGTGAAGTAATCCCGAGAAAATCCTCAAACCAACCCTCATGGTGTCCCAATTAGTTCGACTAGCCTAACGGCGGGACAAAACAGTTGTGGAGGACTCAGTACAGCCCGAGCCTCTGGCACGGGTTAACTGTTCCTTAGCATATATTTCACGGGATTGATTCACGTGGAGGCAGGTTCTTTTCAGCCTTAATCTTTAGACACTGCCGCATTCCACGCCTTGCCGCTGCAATCAGCGGCTTGACGTCCAATACGCAAACTATCTGATATTTCTTGTAAGCTTCATGTCATATCATGTCATAGCATCTCTTTCTTCAGGAATTTTTTTCGTGTCCTACTGCCTACTTACACGCCCGGAAGTGCGTACTCACCTAGTTAATTGTTGGACGATGAACTCTTAAACTGTAAAGGTAAATAATCTGGTAGATCCTAAATGACAGAAAAAACTCTATGCATACTGAGACGATTTTACTTTTTCATTTCAGCATCTGCATCTAATCGAAAACCCGCTCGTTGAGGGGATAAAAGTACTGACATAGACTCAGAAATTAGACCGCATGGTTCTGACTTTTTCTATCGTTCACTTCGACAAGTAAGTATTATCATAATAGAAAACAACAAACTGTCAACATAATTTTTGGATTCGCTCCACCGCCGCATCACCCAAGTCTCCATAGCTTTGACCATAATCCAAACGCGCGCTAATGGCAGCATTATTCGAGTTGATCGAAAAAATGACTGGCATTTTGTACCCTCGCTCAGCGGCCTCCACGAAGTGTTGCAAAGCGTGCCTGCACATTTACATTATTTCAAAATAATAGCTATTTTTGGCTGGACAATTGTATCAAGCGGATTAGCCAATTGTATCAAGCGGATTAGCCAATTGTATCAAGCGGATTAGCCAATTGTATCAAGCGGATTAGCCAAAAATTGTATCAAGTGTATAATCTATGAAAAATTTACATCGCTCCGTCGGTGAAAAATCCGGTATCGCCAGTGTTGATCACCGTAACGGGTGCGTCCATACCCTCAACTCCCATGCAGTACAATTTTGCAGCTTGCAACTCCGTGTCTCGGCCAAGATCCGTGCTCCCTGCGCCAACTTTTAGAAGAAACAAATATGCTCAACACCTAGTGTTGTTGCTTCATAGAAGACTAAGGAGCTCTTCTCTCTCCTCTGTTGCTCCTAGTGATCCTCCTGATGACCCGCACACGTGTCACGCAGCTCGATATATGATTGCATCATAAAAAATCAGTTCCACCATCTAGGACTAGGAACTTTTCTTAAAATATGAGAGTCACCATCTAGGACTAGGAACTTTTCTTAAAATATGAGAGTCCGTGGGGTAAAATGTCCGGACCATCGGATTGAAGACTAGCGGGTCTTTCTTGCTTGGATCGAGCGCGTTTCCAGACCAGTACTGCAAATAGCCCTTAGAAGAGCTCAGGTTAGGTTAGGTGATGCATGTGGTAGATACATGATCTCCTCAACAGGCACTTATTTTTTAGCCCTGACACGTCTACCTTGCCCGAGTATTCATAGTACAAGTACAAGTAAACGCACTAGTAGTACGCTGCAGCTCAATGTGTCAGTACAGTTCCAAAAGCATGACCCTGATGCGCTTTTGTCGTTGCAAACATGCCTACGAGGATGCTTTCCGAGATTCTAGATCGACTAGGGAAACGCAGAGGCCATAAAAAACTGCTTTGCAATCAGTTCATGCACCTGCTCCGGCGTATACCCCAGACGAAACAACCTCAAAAAATTTGGGAATCCAGAAAGGATCCTAGTTTCGTCCATTTACTGTCTTCTGTTCGAGTGACTCCAACCTTCCTTTCAACTTGTTCCGCTGACTACTTTTTCTATCAACTTGTAGAGCCGTCTTCTATTTAATTGTAGTGGAGCCGTCGACCTAACCAGAAAAAAGACAGACCAGAGGAAGATAGAAAGGAGAAAAGGGTAACTATCAACAAGTATCCTGAAGTATCCTGCTAACTGCTAAAACTAATTAAGCGCCATCTTCTATAATCATTCTCAATAATACTTGTGGCCGTGGTGGAGCGGGAACTAGGAATCAAGATCGGGATTCTAAATTATTTTCCTCCCTGCAAAGAAAAAGTACTCTTCACTGATGATCGGTGTCCGATAATAGGTGATGATTTTCAGCGCTTGTTTGATATCGCAGTTTCGCTTCGCCATGATATGGTTGCCCAATCCTGCCCACACGATTAGAGTTTGAGTTAAGGACTCACTCATTCATTCATTTACCTAGCATGAGGTACAAGTTCCTCAGTCTTTCCTCACGGTGGAGAAAGTAGAATACAATTCATTGCTAAAGTTTGAATAATCAAATGCAAAGGTTTCTTCGTCTTCTTCGGTTCAATACTATCCTGAAATACCCAGAGGGATGTACTCACGTATTGAATATTTTAGTCATAGGAAGGTAGGAAGGGGTCAAATAATCTAGGAAGGATCTTCTTCGGTCTTGAAGAACCTACCCACTTTCTCCCGTAAGCATCCATCTTATTGAGCAAAGCCCTTTCTAGTAGTACACAAACGGCCTTAACATATGCGAATAGCAAGCAGCACCAAAGAGCGGGAGCCCAAAGCAACTCTTGTCGAAATGCGTGTGCACTGCTTTCGAAAACAGTACGTTGGATAATAAAGCGTGCTGTGCAGTTGAATCGAGAATGAAGATAATTGTTCAAGATCTATCTCAGGAACTCCTGTAATTAAATATCGAATGCAAGATCTTACATAGGGTCATGCTTCAAGCATTACTCTGCCTAACTTGCACACACAATCATGTTGCCTTTCTACATCTACTTAGACTTAGCATGCATGATCAAATCACTAAAACGCGGTTGTTTAGATTAGCACTAGGTTACACGAGGCTTAGGGTTCAGGCTATGAAGTGAGGCTAGAGCAGACGGCGGGGTAGGTCAGGTTAAGTAAGAGGCAGGTTAGCTTAGGTTAATATCTAGGATAGGATAGGAGGTGGCTCGCCGTCCACTGTTTGACCTGTATCCTCGAGCGAATATGTGCAGCCACAGAGGGGCTACCAATCATTATCCAAAGCTGTACACGATAACTATGTTATTGAGGTCATGAAAAGGTTAGGCTAGGTTATCTAAAGCTGTACACGATAACCACATTGTTGAGTTGATATTGTTACGGTCAGGTTTAGAGTTGTACAAGGTAAGCGTCTTTCTCTCCTTTGGACAGCACCGAGTCGAGTCCTGCCTGCTCTTTGTGCGAATCCAGGGAACCGAGCTCAGCCACCTCGCGCTTAATCTGGTCCAGCGTCTCCGTATAGAGCCCCACTGGCTGCATTAGCGTTGGGAGTAATCACTTTATTAACCACGGCATAACCTAGTCGCTGTAGAACTTCGTAGTAGTAGTCGTTTACCCATTCTCGGGGTAATTACAGCATCAGTTGAGGGGAGGGGAAAATACCAACAGAAACTCTGTTGATTCCTTTTAGACATGAGGGAGCGGGTGACACTTTTTCATTCCTGTAGCAGCCTGCTAGGAATCTGGAATACATGGCATTACCTCAACCTTCTATGGCATGGCACGAGTCTCACATAGTCTTACATGTACTATTCCGGACACTAAACAATAACCTTCTAATGCCCTTAGCATACTCATTCATTTATTCACTCATGCATCCATCGTACACATGCTAACTATGGTACCGTGTCGTTGTCAAGGGATGCATGCATAAAACACCATAGCACCACTAGCATACTAATGGGTTAGTTTCTCATCGTCCGAATTTGAAGGGACGACGAAGTTTTTACCTAGCCTAAGACACTGGGGATCGTGAGTCTGTCACAAGGAGGATGGACTCCTGATGATAATCTTTAGTTTCGAACTGAAACGCCGAATCCTCGAAAAAATGATTTTTTATGAACCATTAATTCATTTCAATTTCAAGTGAATCAATGTTCATCTCTTTCACTTTAGATAATTGGAGTTCGAAACTAGTAGTAACTTCTAGTAGTATGATTCTACTACTAGTATGGTTCTACCACTAGTATGATTCTACTGGAATGATGACTCTAGCAGTGTGATTCTAGTAGGGGCATGACCCTAGCAGTATGCACCTAGTAGTATGATTCTGGTAGTATGGTCCTAGTAGTATAATTCTGGTAGTATGGTCCTAGTAGTATGATTCTGGTAGTATGATTCTAGTATCATGAATTGATCCTAGTAGTATAATTCTGGTAGTATGGTCCTAGTAGTATGATTCTGGTAGTATGATTCTAGTAGTATAGTTCTAGTAGCATGATTCTAGTCGTATTGTTCTAGTACCTTGCAAGTTTCGAATTGAAACGCCCAATCCTCGAAAAAATGGTTTTTTATGAACCATTAATTCATTTTCATTTCAAGTGAATCAATGTTCATCTCTTTCGATTTAGGTGCTTGGAATTTGCAACTAGTGCTCTAGAATGAACGTGTTTTGTATATTTTCTAGTAGTAGATTGTAGTAGTATCATCCTGGTAGCATCATCCTACTAGTATGAGTCTAGTAGTATCGTATGATCCTAGTCGTATGATCCAAGTAGTTTGAGCCTAGTAATATTGAATGAGGCTCTCATAGTAGTATGATTCTAGTAGTGTGATCCTTGTAGTATCATCCTTCTAGTATCTAGTAGCGTAATTCTAGTGGTATGATTCTAGTAGCATGATTCTAGTGCTATCTACTAGTAGTATGATTCTAGTAGTAGTGTGATTCTAGTATTTTGATTATAATCTTGCCATGCTAAGCAGACAAAACCTAGTTCTTTGTCGACTAAGAAAGCTTCATTCGCCCCCTGAAATTGCCTTAATTTCCGAATATTCTTGATGAACTCGCTTTTTTCCAGAGAGGGGTGGTCGAACGTCTCGAAATCCGGCTTGAGGACGTTTTAGAGCTCACCCTAACCCATCCTGAAGATCATCCTGAGCTCTATTTCCACTTGAAAAAAAGACTCTCTAGAATGACTCCTCTGAAGATGGAACATTAGGAGAAGCCTTAACCGTTGTAGGCAAAATGACGCACTTGCACGGCCTTCGGCTGGCACGCGGCCGCCATCGGTCCAGCGGCCACAAACCGGCTACTGTTTTCTTAGAGCTCGTAGTGTGGTAAATTCAACAAGAGGAAAGGGAGGATGTCCTGAATTCCTTCGCAGTGTCCCATTGATTAGTTCTCCTAGTCTAATGGCGGAACAAAACAGTTCCATTTTGCCACCTACGTCAAAATGTATGCGTCTCTGGTAATGCTGGAGATGGAAAATTAGGGAAAGCCTTAACTTTGACATGCTCCACGCATGCTGCCCTGGGATAGAACAGCAGGCGAAAACATCTTCTTGAGACCGATCTGCGGCAGCGAACCGGATCAAAATTGCGGTCCCGAGATCTTCGGTCTACGAAAAAAATGCCAACCTTATTATCGTGAGAATCAAGCTAGCTTAGCTTGAGAAAAAATAAAAGTGAAAGATCGAGTTGGAAAATTAGAAACAGAAAGTTGAGCACATTCGACGAGGATAGGGATAGGATGTTTCTTACTCTTACTTAGTATAGTTGTACCAGAAAAATCGTTCAGGGGATACGAAAAAAAGTCGTGAGACAGTTCAATAAGTGAAGTGAAATCTACTCTGACGAAAAATAGGTCGCTATGAGGTGGAGCGAATTTTTCGAGTTGGATGAATCAGTTCTAAGAGCGGAAACTCGAAGGAAAATCAATCTGAGTGTCAACAAAGCTTTATAATCTTATTCATTGGGTGGTAGATACCAGATAGTACTCCAATCACTCAGCAGACTATACTCGAAGATCTGTTTGTAAAAAAGATGAAAAAAGTCGTGCTGCGAAAATCCAGATAGCTTCCAGCACGCCGCGTCGACTGTCAACTGTCGTCAACAAGGCCACTCTGTCATAATGTCTGGCTTGTTTACTGCCGATTTACTTTCCATCAGTCACCAAATGTACTTACTACTACTTGGAGGAAACGAGTCGGAGTCTAATCTCATATACTAAATTGCAACGGGCCTTAGGTGGCAAACAACTATGAAGAGTCAGAGAAGCCGGTCCATTTGGAAAGAAAGCCAAACCGTAAAAACATAGAGTGAGTGTTCAAACCTTTGCTTCTATTATATACATGGATTTTCAAGAATCTAGGACCATTTGTCTTCACCGTTCAGAAATGAGATCCGAAAACCTTTTTGCGCACATCGTATCCTCTGTTAGCCACCGTCTACAAATCTCCACTTCACACGTATTTCAGTTTTTGCGATAACTGACCTGTCTCCGCCTTTTTTTCCGCTCAACTTTTTTTCCGCTCAACTTTCTCTCTCTCTCTCCAATTGCCTAGCCTTGGCCTAAGGAGTTATTGTAGCCTCTCCATACAGGGATTGTTCTTCGCTTCCAACGTACACTCGCCTTTACCTCCTCCATCTCTCAGTCGCTTGTCTGCGGTCCAATTGACACCGCTTGTGATACAGAAACGGTCCCCAAGAGTGGGAATATAACCCCTCAGGACAACTGTCCTTTTCACTGCCTCCTATCACCAAAAATATTATTCTCCCATAACAGAAGACTGAAATGAGCTCTACTTCTCGAATCTGTGTTTTCTCACCGGCCACGACCGTAGCCTTATAATGTATTACGGTGAAAGATCCTTGTTGAATTTCAAAATTCAGAGCCCTGCTCTTCTGCCCCCAGTCCTTTCTTCTGGCCAGACAAGGGGACTGAATCCTCATGGTGTCCCATGTAGTACTTGGAGCCTATTGGCGGGACAAAACAGTTCCAGCAGTGTGTCAAAATAAATGACTCCAGTGATTTTGCGTAAAAGTCACCTCTGTAGTGATGAATGCCCTGTAGTTCTTCTTCCATTTCCAGAAGTCACACCCCTGATACTGATTTTCTCCTTCTCTCAGCACCAATTTCGATCCCTAGAAGTGGCAGCGCAGATTTTCTTCTTCTCTCGGCATAAATACCGGCATCCCTACTAACGCGGATGCTGACTTCGTTTTGCCTGGTCACTCAAGTGTTGGAAGCTTGAGTGGAATACGTTCATCCTTGGACTTCCCACGGGCATTGGCGACCCATTTTTCGGATCATCGTCGATCACTAAGTTAGACGAGGTGGATTGTGCGTGCAAGCAGCTGAGGGTCCATTCAACTGATGTGCCATGAACATGATCTTCTTGATGTGGTTAAAAGATGGACGTAAAAATTGTGCCTTAAGTATAACGTCATCACTACTTTTGGATGATGCTGTCCTGTTGTGTCCATGTTGCGCAGTCGCAGTTGCGGAGCTAGATGTAGAGGACATTGTCGTAGCTCCCGCTGTTATATACAACTGGTTGTTGTGGTGCTGTTTTTTTTAGAGCTATCGCGTCGCATCCTTTGAGTGACCATCCTTGGGCCCTTTTTCTAGTTGAAAAAGAGGCCCCCACGGATACTGCTAGCTGGGGATAAGAAGTCCTTTCTTGGTCGCGGCGACCAAGAGAGTACCCCCCCCAGCATTCAAAAACACAATGGAGGAAAACTACTCCAACCCTATAGTTCTGGAAGTGGATGGTTTAGTCATATCTGTGCCTATACTAGGTATTCGCCCTATAGTTCTGGAAGTGGATGGTTTAGTCATATCTGTGGCACTACTTTTACTAGGTTCTTGCCCTAATTCAACATCTTATCTGTTGAGGTAGCACTAGCGAAGGATGCGTTCTTCTTCATTTCTCGCATCGCTTTTTTTCGAGCTTTTTCTTCCTTTCGCAATTGTGCCTCCCGTCGCCCCTTCTCCAACAGTGCATCCACTTCTCTTTCCTGCTCTTCAATTGGAGAGTCTACTTTTTTATTTCTGTTCTAACGCGCTGCTTCTCTACTACGTCGCTACTTTTCTACTACGTCGCTACTTTTCTACTTGTCTACTTTTCTACTACGCTACTTCTGTTTCATGATGATGCTCCCCTATCTAGTTCTAACAGTTCCAGTTGGAGGTACACCTTTGTTACTTTGTAGCAAACTTCAGTCTCCCCTTGAATTCTTCTATGGAATCATCCTCTTGGTGCCTTTGTTTCCTCGCCTTTTATTCTTCTTTCTATGGGAACAACTACAACAAAAGGGTCGCGCCAGGAGGCACACAACTTCCTACCAAAGAGAAGCAAACTCTGTTTTTGTCGAAGGTCTACCTGATTTTACTACCAGAGAGATCATGCCGAGAAAGTAGATGGACACACGACAATATTTAGGTTGGAGGGAGATCAACATGCTGAGAAAGTAGATGGCCACACAACGACAACATTTTTTAATTTAGGTTGGAGGCCATAATTGTAACTGTCGCGCCAGACGGTTCTGCTCCTCACGCTGGCGGTCAAGCTCCCTCTTATTCAGAGCCTCCAGCCGTTGATTCTCACGCTCCTCCTCACTAGATGAAAGAAAGCTCGACAAAGAGCGGAGTACCTAGAGATAGTGCTCGCACAGAGAGCAGGACGTAGCCCTAGTAGTAAGCCCATAGGATGTAGCCCGCCTAGCAGCAAATCCTACAAAGAGGATGCAGCCCTACAAAGAGGACGTAGCCCTAGTAGTATACCCTTGTGCTAGTCAGAAGAAATTATGCTAGTGCAAGATTCGGTGCTGTTCTGCTCTCTCGTCTGTGCTACTCTGTCATTCTGTGCTAGTGCAAGACCAAGATTCTGTAGCTGTACTAGGATCAGAGAAATTTAAAGCATAACTCTGCTTGCCTGCTTAGGTATTCCTCTCGCGCTGCAGCTACATCCAGTTTTAGCTGCTCTTCCAGCTTCTCTTTCAGAGCCGCTTCCCTGGCTTCCAGCTCCGCCAAAATTAGCGCTTTTATAGAGTCTCAGAGTTTCTGCTCTCATAGTTTCTGCCTTCATACAAGTCGCAGAATCCAAGAAGAAAACTGAAAAATGAAGTAGAAGCCCATGGCCATTGATATGCTGATATAGAAGATAATCAACACTATCAGGAGCCTTAAGACAAAGTCAGGCCAACGACGACGACGCTCAAATTCCTCTTCGGCCAGCAACTGGACTCTGCGATCGACCTCGGCGTCCACCCAACGCTGCTCCTCCACTTGCCGCTCTGCACGGGCCATCACCTCCGAGGCTATCTTCTTTCGCTCCTCCTCAACTGAAGTATTAGCCCTGGCCGTTGAATGCTCCGAAGCATTCTGAATTAGAGCTACCACGTTCGCATCCCTGAGCCCATCCCCGAACCCTTTTCCCCTTGAAAAAGAGGCCACGGATGGTGCTGAGGATACTGTAGTGGTTGCCTTAACTGAACCGCGCTAGTCGACATCTTCTTCGTCCTTCTGTCATTATACTGGTTCGAGGAGTACTTCCGATGCTCAGACCGAGTGTTGTAAACATTAGAGCTAAGATGCTGGGCAGCTTTGACTGTAAAAAGAAAATCCTTATTAGTGTGGAATGCACTACAACTACAACAATGGTTTACTACTACTGCGCCATGTATTGCATGAAGGGATAGAGCTATAGTGAAGAGAATGTATTAATGGTTACTACTACAATGGTGCCTAGGTAATGGAGCTGCTCCTGGCCATCCTAGCTCTTGAGCTGGTCTAGTATTTTTCTATTCGGATCAATATTGTTGAGGCTAAAAATTCTATGAATGATCTTCCTGTCACGACAGTCGGGCCTTAATATAATACTTCCGTTCGCGGCTCCTGGTTGTTCTGTCATCGCGGCGCCCTCGACGTCGGTTTTTGGATTCGCTACTGCTTTCATGGTCAGAAGATGAGGCGCTGATTGGCGATACTGAGCCCCCACTGCGACCTCGTCGGTCGTTCCTCTCGTTTCTGCCCCTTCCTCTATGATTAGACCTCTATGAGAAGTATCTACTCAATATTTGGGCTGACGTGCGAATCGGCTGCTGGAAAGAAGAAATACTGGATACAGTAAATCTTGATTGATTGACTGATGTGCCTGGCAAGAGGTCATGTTTTGAGGATTTTTGCTTCCTCATTTTACTTCTTCATCAACGATGCATGTCCATCTCTTACTCCGCAGTTCCAGCACTTCTGTCTCAAAAATCTCAAATTATAGTACGTCTAACAAGAACTTAAGAAAAATCAGTACACGACCTGAGGACAGTGAAAAAGTTGCGCCGTACTATCTTCAGATGCGCTATCTTCAGATGCGGCCGCCCGTCTCTTCCGATGTTCCTCTCTGGTACCTCCAGTCCCTCTGCTCCTTTGAGCGTCTCGTTCCCTACTGCTCCTCTTCTGAGTCTTTTTTCTCGCTGGATCGTTGCTTTCTAGCGATCGCGATCGGGACCTGTCTCGGTCCCTGCGCGAAGGTTCTTCAGACTTCAAATCTGAGTAGTTTCGGCCACGGTTTTTGTATCCACGACCATGCTCTCGTCCCTCCCGGGTTTCTTCTTTGCTTTAGAGATGCAGACGAGGAAGAGGATGAGCAGGTACTACTAAATATGTAGGGTATAAAGATAAAAGTAGTTTCCCACAATATGAATTCCATGCCAGTCCCTGATTTGAGAACAAATTCAACTTCTTTCGAGGTCGTCACTCCTTCACCAGAGTGTAAGGGCGACTGCGAGTGCCTACTAAGTAACTTGTTACTGGAAGTATAACATTCGGGGATAAACTGATGTAGTTTACGTCAGACGACATAGAACAATCTACTTTACTGCTCAAAAACGTACTCCAACATAGCTTGTATACTCACGACGTCCACCGCCATGGTCGGTTCTTCTATAGTCGTCTCTTGAACGATGCTCCTGCTCTGACCCTCTGCGATAAAAGTTGCGGCTTCCTCCTCGGGAGGGATACTCATATAATTAGGGCCAGCCTCTACGCATCTCGGTTTCCCTCATCTCAACCCCGAGTAATAATTCATAGGAATGTGATACAGGGCAAAAAAGGCGACCAAGATGCCAAGAAAGATGCATAAAAGCTGACCATAATCATACTTCGGATTTTTACGATCATATCTCTCCGTTTCCACGTCACGACTTCGTCCATACTGATCTCGAGACCTCGTTGATCGGTCGTCTTCTCTAGTGCGCGTGGTAGGGGAGTGCCCTCCGTCTTTCTGCCTTGATCGTGACGTCTTTCTGCCGGTCCTCGTAGTGCTGCCATCATATTCCTCTGCTTCCCCTCGATCTTTGCCTCGATCTCTGGTCGTACTATGGTGCCTTCTAGTAGTACTGTGGTGCCTTCTAGTAGTACTGTGGTGCCTTCTAGTAGTACTATGGTGCCTTCTAGTAGTACTGTGGTGCCTTCTAGTAGTACTGTGGTGCCTTCTAGTAGTACTGTGGTGCCTTCTAGTAGTACTGTGGTGCCTTCTAGTAGTACTGTGGTGCCTTCTAGTAGTACTGTGGTGCCTTCTAGTAGTACTTCTATGATTCCCACCTGCCGTTCTGGAGTCCTCGCGGACAGGGCTGCCGTTCTGGAGTCTGCGTTCCGATTTTCTCGCTCGTTCCTGTCGAGGCGGAGAGCAATCCGACCTTGAGCTCGAACTGGAGACGTCACTTCCACCTCCCATTTGTTCTACACTCTATTAGATGTTGTAATGGATAGATGTTGTAAGCTGAAGAATCGTAGTTGGATGGGTCGTGTTGTATGCCTCTACTTCACTTAGTTGCAGTAAGTTGAAGAATCTTCTCGTACTACTACTCTTGTAGTTATTCACTACTTACTGCAAGAAGATGATGATGAAGGGTACTAGTACAAGATGTTGACGAGTAGGAATGAGAGACATAACACCACTCCTGCGAACCTCAGCCACACGTACTTTTAGGCCATGACTACTAAAGACGCTGAACCGTGTCGAGCCAGTGTTTCTGATCCATGTTGCCACGGATTGGGATACTATAATTTGATCTTCTGTATGTGACACTTGAAGAACCCACGTTGAAGAACCCACGTTGAGCACCGATCACAGACGAGAAACTTCTTCACATGTGAATTCATGAGACTGTCAACTCCATGAATAGAATACTAGAGAGTCACAGTCAACTTCATGAGCAGGATCTCGACTCCATCTTTTGATCCATCTTTTGGACCTGAATCCTGGAAACTGAGACTCCGCGATCTCGTCACCCTAACTCAGGCATGGTCAACCTGGACAAAGAACAAACCTTCGAAGATACCCAGCGGACATCTTCAGAGACCACAGTCGACGTGCCAACATTAGTTTGCAATTCAATCATTGAGTCTTCTTCTCGCAGGAGCTTAGAATAAGGCTGACAACGAACAGCGGCACTCCTAGAAAGATGAGAAGCCTTTTGTCTTTATTCTTAGTAGTCGTCTGAGTTGCGTTGAGGAATCTCCTAGACTTAGACGCTTAGACTTGTTGGGTGGGTGCATCTGGGATTGTTCTCGGGTGTGCGATGGTGAAGGTCTTGGAATGAGAAACAACGTCGATCGTCATAGTTATCCTTCACTGTATAATAGCATCAACATTCAAACACGATGTCGCTTAGAGAAGCCGCTTCCTCGAACAAGACTCTGCTTGTAGGCTCTCTGAAGCGTCCTCCACTCCTCGACAGAAGTAAGTCAGCATGTCCTTCAGAGTGCACGCATACGTTGCTCTCGTTCCTGATAACCTGCGTAGAGACTAGACCTGAGAGTGCGTCCCGTATAAGTACTTAGGCACAAACACCAGACGAGCAGAGCGGCCAACATATCACGAGATCACAAGATTCATAAGGAAAAGATCAGAAGATGAGATCTTTGCCTCAACATGTCGGAGTACATGGGAGCTTTCCTGTAGTCATTTCAGGAGCGCCAGAAAATGTGCTTCGCAAGGAGGACAGAGAAACGACCACGACGAGTCTCTGTTCGAGAGGGTACCACATTTGAGTTAATATGGTGCTGGTCGTGGGGGTGCAGCTTTGCTTTCTGCTGCCGCGTAGCTTGTCCCGCCTTGTTGTTGCGGTGTCAGGCCGCCCGGCGGCATCCCTCCTCCAGCCATTCCCATCATCTGCTGCATCATTTGCATCATCATGGCATCTTGAGGCATGCTTGGCTGAGGACTAGCACTTGAAGTTAGTTGAGGACTGGCACTTGCAGTATTATTAGACCTGGCCTATAAATCTATCTCGATCAGCGTCTTGGTGTCCTTTTTCCGTTCAAAATGGGGCCAAGATGCTGGGAAAGATGGATTTTTTCAAGCCTTAACATTAGTTTGTTCTTGATTACCACCTCCTTGATGTTCTGCTGCTCCTGAAGTGTGATGTTCCGTCGCGGTTCCCGAAGTCTGGTCGGAAGACTCTACTGCGGTTGGAACACCATGTTGAGGTAGTTGAGCACTAGGCGCACCGCTTCCAGCCGCGTCAACATTTGATGCTGATGCTGATGTCGAGGTTGCTGAAGTCGATGCTGTCTCAACAGCACCACCGTTCGGACTTGAGGCAGCTGCAGCAGTAGCGGATCCCCCTGTCGTAGCTGTTGAAGAGCTTGTTCCTAAGGAACCCATAAGTCCAGGCATCATCATTGACGGGAGCATGCCTGCTCCTGCTCCAGCACCTGCTCCAGCTCCAGCACCTGCGCCGCCCATCATCATCATTTGCATCATCATCATTTGCATCATAGGGTTATTCATCATCGCAGACATGTCGCCTGAGCCAGCTCCTCCTGTCGCCGTTGCTCCTCCTCCTGTCGCAGTTGTTGCTCCTGCACTTAGAGGTCGCGATCACATTACACTCAATCTTCAGAACTAACGCCTTCCTGTGTCTGCTTCTAGGATTGAGAAAAGAGCCAAGGAGGGTCTAATAGTGGGGAATGCACTATAAGTAATAAGATGAGCCTAGGTCGACTTTCTAAGATCAGTATTTCCATGGAGTGAAATTGTAGTGAGGACTTCATGGAAACGACCCTTAATGTAGTAGTAGCGTTCGCGGTAGTTGCCGCGGCAGCTGCTCCTGCGCTGTTATCTAACGCCTGCGCTGCCGAGCCGGAACTCGTTGTCGCGTCACCACTGCTCGCGTTGACCATGCCCGTCGGAAGCATGCCAGACATGGCTACCATCATCTCAGGTGACGACATCATCATCATCATAGGGTTCATCATGCTCCCAAACGGATCTGCTGAGGGCGTCATGCTCGTGGGATCGAACATCATCTGCGCTGGTCTGTTTGTGATTGAGTGATTCAGTCTGATTTTGTGATTCAGTGACTGATTGCCTATCTGACTAGTTTCTCTTGTTCGGTCGCTGACTATGCTGCGAGAGGTCTGAGAAGAAAAAAAAACAAGTACTTGTGCAGATCACGTTATAATTGCTGTAGTCGGTGTTTTTTCTTCTGGACAATGGAAAACAAGGATACTTACATGGTGGTCTTTCACTTTCTTCGAAAAACTGAAATAACCGAGGAACTACTTAAAATAAGCGAGATACTGAACAAGGAAGAGTGGCCTTGTCAAAGCTACCTCCCTTATTTCAGTCACTAACTCGGTTATTTTCAGTACAACCATAAATTTGTGGTAGCTAGAGCAGACCTCCCTGCGAAAAACACATTGATAAGCCTAAGCGGAGATATAGAAATAAAAGTGATAAGTACGCTGTTGCCGCACTTTTCGCTAGTGCGTCTTGCGCTTGCCTGCGGTCCTCGGCTGGCTTGCAGTCAATCCACTTCCCGTCTATCGCGTGCTGCTTTCTATTAGACCTCTATCAGATCCATCCCTGTGGAAATCCCTCAAGCATCTGCGTCAGTGTCTCCCTTGTATTGGGGCACATATGCTTGAGGGATCCCTATAGAAGAGATGGACGATTAGGGGAAGCCTTAACTCTATTTGCAATCACCATATTCAAAACTTCCATAGACTCGAAGGTGATAAACCCGTATCCCTTTCCTTCCCGCAAGTCCGCCTATAGGTGTTAAGCAGAAGTGGTTTGAAAAATAAAAACAAAGTTGACTTCTGTAGAACAACAATGGTTTGAAAAATACTAAAAAATTTTCGTGGCTTTTAGTGCTATAAAATCACGAAGTAGTTCTAATAGTAACTTGTTACTGAAGAATAAACAGTCTCAACATTTGCCGGACTTGAGAAGTAACAGGGCCTTTCGTTGTCTCTATTTCAGCAAAAGTATTGATTTGAGGGACTAGCCCTAGGAATAATGAGGGAAAACTTCTAATCGGTTAAATTGATAATAAACCTTAAACTTGTTCTACAGACAACATCAACCTCAAAAAGTACCCTCAAAACTCTGCCCCATTTCTCAAAGTAAGATCGGAATTTCTCCGCATGGCAGGTAGGTGGAAGTCCCCCCACGAAGATGCAAGCTGGTTTCGAGGGTGCTCTTATCGCGTTGGATCTAGTATTAGAGCGATCATCTTTCACCTACATCATCTTTCACCTACCTGTATGATCCCTCATGATATGACGTTCTTCTTATAAATCTACTGTATATACTTATCCGCTTAATCAGGGGAGTCCTGATATTCTCCTTCGGGGAAAATGGAGATGTTGCCTTCCTTAATAAGTCAAAGGATTCTATCTATTCATTGGGGGAATAGTACCGATACTTTTCACTGATCGATGCAGTCAATCATGAAGATGGATCCTATAGCCTTAACGCCATTTTGCTGATTTGCCTGCCACTGCGCGCTTTGCTGGCTCTGCTGGTTTAAGTTGAAGGCTGCTTGTGCGCGCTTCTCTGCAGGTTTCACATCCACAAGCTTACCATGTAAAGGATGCGATCTTGCGCAGTCTATCGCTCGCTTGGCCTCTTCTACCTCGCTAAAGGTGATAAACCTGGTGGAGACGTCGTCGTGGTATTGAGTTTTATTACTTAATGTTGTTACTAGCCCTTGCATTTCTTCTTGCGTAGTAGTGTCTCACACTAAAAGAGGAAACCTCCTCACAAGACACTACACCATCATCATCATCGTCGTTGTGTCTTAGACTTAGAGGATCATTCCCTACTACAACACAGAGCTTAAGTTTATATTTATAGCCCAAAAACAAAATAAAACTTAAGTACCCATATCCTTTTCCGTCTTTGAATTCTGCTTTGACTATGCGACCAAACTGTTCGAAGTGGCGGTCAAAATCTGCCTTGGTACAGGTTTGCGGAAGCCCTCCCGCAAAGACTTCTCTATCTTTGTCTCGCTGCTCAGCTCCACCAGGTTGTGCAAATGGGGCTCCCCCTCCCGGTTGCAGCTGCATCCCCTTTGCTCCTCCTCCAGGCATCCCTCCCATCCAATTACCCTTGCCCATTGCCCCAGGCATATTCGGCATATTTGGCATACCCATAGCGGGCATACCCATGGCAGGCATTCCTCCTGCCATCGAGCTTTTGCCCTTCTCCATTTGCATAAAGCTTGTCATCGGGAGACCACCGCCAAACATTTTCTCTACAATTTTTGAGTAGATCTACAATTCAAGTGACGACAGTCTAAACCAAGTACTCGTCAACGAAAGAAGAACGTCAAAAAACAAAATCACCACACTTATTTTTATGTGATCCAAATCTATTGTATCTGTACCCCAGGCACCAACTGAAGGAGTTAGCCCACGCACCAACCCAATTCACTAAAACCAGTTCTCACCTGCGCGTGCTATTGAGTGGTAGTAGACTGAGTAAGATCTTCTTGTATTCGCGATATTTTTCCAACTGGACCAGCTTCGTACCTCCTGATGGACGTAGTTTACGAAGTACTACAGGCATATTCATCTAGCACAACGTATCTAGGATAGGATTGGATTGGGTAGGATATGGTGCCTCAGCGTCACGGCCACAACATGTGACTACCGTCATATAGGATGGCGTTGATCTAACAGACGGTATAGAGCGGCAAGAAAATGTCAAATAGGACCTTTCAAGAAGCTGCGATGACCTTGCTTGCTGTTGCGCTGTTTGAATGAGCGTTCCCGTCTCCTACGCCTTCCTTTGTGGACCTCTATTATTGGTGTCGAATATTCATTTCAGAGACCTTGGCTTTCTTTGTGGACCTCTAAAATTGAAATTCAATTTCTGATGAAGCATACTGTCTGTTCCTGTTGTGAATCAATCTTCTAATTCAGATTCAAGGAACCAAAATCACAATTGGTGGAACACATTTGCTTTTGCCTGCTGCTCCCTCTTCGTCCTTGTGTTGATGTGAGTGCCCCTGACATGGCCGCTCGTGACCACCGTATACCCACGGGGTAGCTACAACACAAGCAAATGCAGAGGATCTAGGATAGGTTAGACCTATTATATTCTGATGATCACAAGGGATTAGGAGGTAAAACGCATACAAGTCAAGTGCAGATGTGTTTGAATTCGGACTGATCCCACAAGCAAATGCAGATGATCATAATGAACCACAAGAACAACTACAAAGAACAGAATCATAGGAAGAAAGGAAGCATCTTATCCTGAATTCGCTCACTTTGGTGCGGCACTTTGGTGCCAGTCATTCGGTGTGGTATTTTCGCTCTACCTGAAACTTTGGTGTCCAAAACGTGGGCTTCCCTTTCCAGGCAAGCTCATTCAAAAAATTATCTTAGGTCATTTTTAGTGTTCTTTTTCGTGAACTTTCGTTCTCGATCTAATTTTCTAGTGATCGCACTGACGCTAGTGATCGTTCGTGTGGCAATGTGTATCTTCGAGAAAGTTTCCAATTTCTTGCTGTGATGATGTCGAGGCTGTCTGACCTGAGCGAGGCATTTTTCCGTAATCATTCCTCTGGTAAATGATAAAAAGCGAACTATCGTTGTTGCTGCTACTCACTTCTACAGCAAAAAAACCTGTTTCGACTCGTGTACATATATTTTAGTACTCAAATACGACATTCACATTGATTAGTCTCGAGGCCAGCACTAGGAAGCTTCTTGCGTTGGCGAAGCCCTACAATTGAAATTATAAGGCCGATTCATTCCGATGAGGCCTGGCTCGTATTACATGCTCAGCCTCATTCGCAAGGAGCAGCTTCAGCCGAGTCGTGGGCTTAGCTCCATAACGCGGAAATCTTATCCATCATTCCTCTCCGCCCTCTCCCTCATCGTCGTCATCGTCTTAGGGGTTGAAACTTGACCTCCCTAGCTCGCATGGCTATGGCATTCGTATTTGAACAAGCCATAGCGATGCTCATAGAGAGGCCAACTTCCAACCCTTAATCGTCCGATCCAGCTAGGGACTCTTCCACGATAGCTACTACTCTCCTGTTGTACTCCCGTCTATTCTCTTAGAGCTTAGTAGCCGTAGGAACAACGGGAGCAGTAGTGGTAAGTTGGCAACCTATTGCAGTTGCAGCATGTGTGGTAGTGCTTGAGAGAATAACAAAGTGAATTAGGAAAGCTAATCAATGCTTGCTAACGTTGTGGAGGTTTCAGAGGGTCTTGGTAGATAAGGTTCAATAAATTGAATTTGCCTAGCATGAACCGAGGTGTTGCGCCCGCTGCTTCACCATCATCACGGTATCTAGTACTGATATCTACCGAAAGTGTGAAGATGGTAACTACTAACTGCGCTAAATTCCGAAAACCCTTAATTTTCATTCCATAACTGCGCAGCTTCGCTATTTGCGGGCGAGTTCGGATTTGGATCGGTCAGCAAACCTGCAATTTTACGCCAGAATGATAACGAAAAAACCCGAGGGCGAACGACGTGGACAGCTGTACCCTGGCCAACCATGAACAGCCCTAAGGAAGACCAGCTTCCGCGCCCGCCCTGAAGTTGCTGGCCCAGGTTGTGGCGTTGTTTTTGCGCGAGGTTTATGGCTTCCGCCTGCGCCTTCTGGCTCCGTAGCACCTCAGCAGTAGTGCGCCCCACGATGGGCGCGCCCGGTGGAGGCGCGTTGCGGTCAGCGCGGTGGTGGTGGTGGGTGCCCTTGGTTTTTCGCTGCTCGCTTTTGCCGCCGTTATTCACGGCACCCGCGTGAGGTGCGTGAAGCCAGTGCGTGGCATACCGCCGGCGGCAAGCACAGCCCGACGCTGCGAGGCGCTTTTAGCTCCAGCAAGCCCGTGCTCGACAGGTGCACGCAGTAAGCCAACGCAATGCCATGCCATGACCATCAAAAAAACCAGCACCATCACCACCGAGAAGCTTGGCACGGGGCGCCGGCTTGTGAGGGTAGTGCGAGCGCCAGATGCATCCTAACCCCGAGAAGGCCGGGCGATCCGAAGGCTGCGGCCTATTTGCAAGCAGCAGCACCCGCGAACCCGACCCATATGGACGGGACACCGGGGCCCAACCTTGCGGCAACGACACCAAGCAGCGCCCGCGAAAGTGTCCCGGGCCCCGGCTTCTTCGATCGCGGCGGCCTCAGATTGGAAAACTGCACCGCACGCGCTGCGGACATCAGCGGAGTTCTTCCTCTGCAGCTTCCCAGTGCTGCCGAAGGAAATCCAGACGGAGCTCGACACCCGACCAAAACGGCGGACCCAACTATGCCGAAGAAGATCGAAGACCGAAGAACATAAGACGACGGGCAGCCGAGGGCTGTGCATGTTGTTGCGCCGCCGGGTATCGTCGAGATGTGCACGACGCAAGTCGAAAGCCTCCAAAATTGGCGAGATGTCGCAAGGCTGTCACTGAAGCGCGCCACCGCGTGCGCCGTGCCCAAGAAACGGCACGCGCGCAGCAGGTCACGGCATGGCCCTGGCAGTACATTTCGAAAGGGCACGGCGTTGAGACCTAGCTGCGGACTTCTATTACTACCCCGCTCATTGGAAAGCGGGCGCGTAGATACAACCATAACCCACGGCAAATATTAGCACCACGCCCGCCCCACGTTTCCGCGGATTGTCCAGCCTGCCCAGAGTGGGGCCGTAGGGATCTAGCGGCGGCAATATTCCACGTGGGGGCCACAGATTGCGGACTTTGTCACTTCTGCGCTGGCTCGCTCGATGTGTCTCCTGTGTCTTCGGGGTCGGACGCTAGGCCGCCCGCGGTATGCCTACCACTGGCGACACGTAAACCCACAGCAGCAGGCGGCGCAGCAGAGTGCCGCAGGCTACTAACTAACACGCCCGCCGCGCACATCGAGTTCGAGAACGCCGCGCGCCTTCGCTTGGGCGGGGTGTGGTGTTTGGCACGCCATACCCCACAAAGGAAGAGCCACAAAGGAAGGCCCTGCCTGAAAAGGGCCTCGAACTGCTGGCCAGCTATGTGCCTGCGTGTCGTCTTGTGCGTGAATTCTGCGCGCCGCCTCAGCATAGACAAAGCCGCGCCGGGGTTACCGCCGTGGCGGTCTGCAGCAAGAACCCCCTGGGCAGTTCCCTGGCCATAGGCGAAGGCCACCACGGAAATGCCCACAGTGACACAGTCGCCGCCCCCTCCTTTAGTGGCAAAGCCGGACGCGCTGCACTTGGGTGGCGGCAAAGGTTCCCCCAAAGTGGCGCAGGTGCTACAAGGCTTCTCCCGTAGTGGCGCACTTTGTTGCCGCACTTCGGGCGTCTATCGGCGACGTGCTCCGCAGAAAGGTAGTCAGGCCATTCAGGCGGACACTTCGCATCTATATACGCGGCCGCTTTCTATTAAGAGACCCACTCTTGCACCTTGATCCCCTTCATCCATAACGCGTTTGCTCAAAGTAAATTGACAAAGAGTTATCTAGTACTTTGAATGCTTGTAAGTATCGCAGAAATATCGTAGATCGGACTCCACTGGTTTTGAAGGATATCGAGACATATTTCCCCACTAGAGTAGATGTTTGGATGAAACATCTTCGTCACGAAACGTATCTGGTGCAAGTGGTTAGTGATTGAATCATGTTCAGTGACTGAGATATTCAGTGATTGAAGATGTCCAGTGATTGATAGATTGGATGAAGATGTGTGTCAAACGGAAGATGGTCAGGGATTGAGTGAATTGATTGGAGGGCGTCTTAATGAGTGAGAATGCGCGGAAAATCCTACAACATCAGCAGCGTGAGCGTCCCATTTTGTACTACTGGCCTAACGGCGGGACAAAACAGGGCTCTAATAGTGGCGCAATCTCGTAAGCCATTGAATTTAAGAAGCGACTCTTCGAGGAAAGCAAAAGCGGTGCGTAATTTCTTTGCAAAGGAAGTAAAGGTGGAGCAGGCTTTGTTGAAAATTAAGCCCATGTGGAGGCTTTGTTGGAAATTATAAGTACATGTGGAGGCTTCGTTGGGAACTCCTCATTAAATGTCACGTTCAGGTGAAAAGCGCCGCCTTCCCAGGCTGTATCTTCAGGGCCAAATATGACCGCTGACCACAACATTAGAGTTCATCTTAGTACGACAAGGATGGCCCTTTGGCATATTTTGTTCACTGTGTGATCTCCAACGATGGTCCTTTCACCTCCCCTATGATGATTATGCTATCACTATGCAATCTACCAAGTCCCTTTGGGACGAGACCCCAAGGAACTACCTCGAAAGAATAACACCAACTTTATTTCGTACAGTGCAATAGTTAGTATGACTGTGATCTTCTATCTAGTAATTAGTATCCAATAGTTGAAGTTCTTCTAAAATTTTCTAGTAATTATAGTGATGATACGAATCTACTCGGCTATCTGCCTAAGATTTCCCTGACGAATTAATTCTAGTAATTATAGTAGGCAATAGTATTCTGTCCATAAGTTCATGATGTCATCTTCGACAGGTGCTGCACTAATCCCACTTGGTGGATCCGACTGCAGCTTCTTCAGGTCCCTTAGTAACCTCTTTCTTGCGACCGTCGTCATCTTGATCTTTGTTGTGCTGCAGATAAAAACCTTGTCTGCTACTGCAAATCATTGGCTTTCAGGCTACAACCAGTACTAGACCGCGCCCTTCTTCGTCTCCTGCAGGAAACTAGTACTTGAGCAACATGCTTCGATAGTCCTTGAGCAGCATGCTGCGAGAGATATGCCCTCCAACGAAATCCACGGGAAGAGGATTAAGGCTCGTTTATAACTACAGATCTGCCGTCAAATCCAAGGTCTTCGGCTACAAGAGTGCGCCTTGCGAATTCCACGACTTGTTCCACCACGTCAGAACTCGACTGAGATAGTCTTCCACTGAGGTCGTTTTCTTCCCCTGAGGTCGTTTTCCTCCCCTGAGGTCGTCTTCTTCCACTGCGGCAGCACGTTTGCTTTTCCGCGGGCGGCCCTGATGCAGCCAGAAACGCAAATGCTTTTGGTCGTCGTGGTAGATGCAGGCCTACGCTCCTAGTGATTCTCGATGGTCGTGTGAAAGCACAAGCAGTCTCGTTTCCTTCTATTACCGAAACCAGTCTCGTTTCCTTCCGCGCTCTGAAGATCCAAACTAGGATCGAACATGAAATTTTCTTCAGCGGTTTTGGTGTACTGCTAATGTCAGATGAGGAATCAATCTCACAAAAAAAAGGATTTCTTGTATTGAGTGATTGACTGTTTGGTCGATTAATTGATTCTGATTGGTTGATTAATCAGCATGCTGCTCGATTCAGGTCAACTCTTGCGCGAAAAACGGTCAGGAACGGTGATGAGATGGTTTAGCACCTGTTGGAGTAGTAGTACCGAAAACGCTAGACGCGTAAAGCGCCAAAAGTGTTCAGGTGTTCATAACTGTCTGATCTTCACGGAACATCAAGGAACAGAAAGGAGTCTCCATAACTGATCCATGAATAAGGAGCAACAAGGTGTCCTCTCGCTCAGATCAAGACCATTTTTTTGTAGCACGGAAAAGGTGATTGCTACGAGCAGCCCGCACACCTTTCCTCAAGAGCTAGGAGGTGAAGAAACAAGAAGAGAATGACGACGCAAGATGAGCATGAAAAAGAACACCAGGTTGTATTAAGAAATACTGCGACAGAAGAGTTGAGTCCCGTTGAGAGTTCCGACGTCGCCTCGCAGCTGGATTAGCCTTTTCATGGCTAGCAGGTTTGACAAGAGTACTACGATAACTTCTACACTGCAACAGTAGTACAATACTGCTTGTACATAGACATCAACAGTTTCTCTCGTAGAAGAGTCTCTCACACCCTATCGTGGTGTAACTGTACTACACCCTACACAGTGGGTACACTAGTAGTGTCCCAATCGTGGGGTATAAAGATGATCATATAGAAACATCAACTATAGTAAGCACTACAACGACCCAGTACCTGGTAGGCCTCGTCGGGCAGATAGGCCCGGGGGCGCCACCGCAGCTGCACCCGATGTACTATTGCTCTGGTGCATAGCAGTATTGATCCCCTTATAGTTCCCAGCTTGAGGGGAGGAAGAAAGACCGCCCGTTCGAGAGCCCGAACCCCCAATAATATCGTGCTGCGGGAGGTTGTAGAAGTTGTACATGGAGGTCGAGGAGGACGTCGCTGTGGAGGTGTCTCCTCCTCCCGCTTGAAGGTGCTGACGCTCCTGTGCTCCTGCGTACGGAAGGTCAACACGTTCGTGGCGACCACTAATCGAATTTCCGCCACTTCCGTCCCGACTATCGGAGCTGTACGTGGGCTCGCTCAAATAATACGACCCCGCAGAATTCTTGCGCGAATCTGCGTCATGATTATAGCCGTCTCGTGGCTGTCCTCTATATCGTCTAGGATCGCCTTGAAGATCTACCCTGGTGTCACCGTCTGCTCTCCTAGGGTGGTAGTTGTTGTTGTCCTGCGGAGGTAGAGGATGTTGCGCTGGTCCCCTCTTATACGATGGAGGGTCGCCATGAGGAGGATAGGGTCTCCCTCTGCTAGGCTGATTTGTTGATGTTGTCTGATGCGTTGCTGGCTCCCCTCGGCCAGTCTGATAGCTTCCGCCCTTCTCGTCGCCTCCGCCCACCCTTCTGCTCCGACTGTGGGCTTCTTCTAGATGCGGGCGACTTCGCGCAGTGTCCTCCTCTAGATACCTCTCCACCTCACTGTCGTTCCCGTATCCAATGAAAGAAGCATCCGGGTCTGAGCGGTTGTTGTAATGACCACGATCTCTAGAATCCAGACCCGGTGCTGAATACACGCCACCGCTGCGACTTCCTGGCGGCCCCTCACGTGCATGCGCGAGAACCCTTGTCTGAGAGTGAGGAGGAGCACCTCCTCTCTGTGACTGAGACTGAGAGTTCGGCGGATACTGAGGATTTTGATGTGCATGTACTGCCTGCGCATTATTATAGTCCAATCCTCGTCCACCTCGTGTCGCCGTTGGACTGCAATCCAAGCTTCGTCCACCTCGTGTCTGACTAGAATTAAAGGCCAGCAGTCAGTGGTCACTGATGCTGAAGGGAGAGAGCTTCCCCCTGACAGAGCTTCAGCTTCCCCCTTTTTCCACCCTTAGTTTTCCCCTGTTGTCTCAAGGGGTCTCCTCTTCCGCGTCAGTGACTCCAGTCTAAAAGGTGACGAAGGAAAGTTGAGCCTTAATAGAACTGCTGGAGGGATGTTCTTGCTGGTAATGCCCGCCGCCTCGTGTCTGACTGGAACTGCTGGAGGGATGTTCTTGCTGGTAATCAGGTAGATGCTGAGGCGGATAGTTAGGTAGGTACTGAGGTGGAGGACCGCGATCGTAGTCTTGGTCGAAAAACTCGGGAGGAACACGACCAAAATCACGACGCTGTTGTTCGGAAGATGACCACGAGGTACTTTTTCTGGGCATGGGCGAGTAGTTGCGGCCATCATGGCCATCGATATTACTAGCAGGAGGCTCTCTATGATCCTCAATCATGTTAGGATGATTACCCCTGTAAGAGCGGCCACCTCGACCCCCTTTACCTTTCACCATGTCATGTGGTTCCCTCTGATTGTAGTACTGCTGATCGCTTCGGGGATGTCCGTGATCTCGCGGCCGACGAAGGTCCTCTTCTTGTCGAGAATCTTGTCGCAACTCCTGATTCCTGTAGTCCATCGGTCCTCGATTATGCGAGTCGTCGTAGGACTGCGACGCAGAGGATGAAGGAGCCATCCCCCTCCTGCGAGAACCGGCCACAGAGGAGGTCGAATTACCAGGATTGTTGTCAACATAGTTGTAGTTTCCCCCACGGCTTCCAGGATTGTTGTCATAGTAGTGGTTTCCCCCACTATTCTCTCTCGTCATCTGGTTGTAGTTGTAGTCGCTACCTGTCGATAACTGGAAAGCTCCAGCACTTCCATAACTGGACGTAGAGGAGAGGAAGGTATCACAACTCCCAGGATTAGACATTTCACAACCCTTCTTCATTTCTTGCGTACTACATTTCTCCCAATTGTTCTACGAAGGATTGATTGATTGATTGATTGATTGATTGATTGACATCCCCAGTAGTACTCCTCGACTACGAAGGAGAAATCGCCTCTTTCGAAATGAATTATTTTGACGGACGCTCTTAACAGGATAGCCTGCTCTTGGATAACCAGCTCCACCCGCTCCTCGGTTATAATTCGACGCAGGACTGGATGATAACCTACTACCCTTCGAGCACACTCCGGAGTTCTGCGAACCAGGGTTCTGCGAACCAGGCTGGTCTGGGCTTCGAGCCTCTTTGTTCACCGGTGCGCGATTTTCTGCCGCTTTCACCTCAACGCGCTTTCCCTCGATCACATGCTCTCGCGCCTGCAGAACCTGGACAGTAGTAGTGGTAGTAGTTGTAGTAGTAGTGGTGTACCCAGACACAGGATAATTCGAAGTCTAAGTACTTGAGTGAATCAAAATTGTCAGCCTGGTAGGACGTTGCTCTTTGTTGAGGAAATCAAGTTTTTACACTATTTCTTCTCGAGTCTCTCTCGAAAATTAGTAAGAAAAAGTCCATTCATTTTTTTCTTGAAAATTAGTAAGAGAAAGACCTCTCTGTAGGGAGCCGTAAGGCCATCCAGTTATAGGTAAATAAGGTACTAAGCAATCTTCGTTCCTAATGAAGCTGTGTCTGAGCAGTACTTTAGAATAAACTCTCACAAGTAGGAGGAGCGCGTGAGCATTCTGCCTCTCGCACTTTCGACCGAGGTTGGATCACAACCGAGCAAAGGAACCATTGAAACGACAGATAACAATTCAAGTCGATCATTATCTTGCAAAGATCAGCTCGATTTGGATCCTTCCATAGGGCGGGAGTGCGCTAGGGAGAGTCGAGAGATTGCCCTAGTAGCACGAGGGTGGGAGAAAAAACCAGCCACACCATCATTATTCACTTCTTCAACGTATCTCTTATTGCTTATCTCGTAAACAATTAGTATTAAAATCATTATTATGTTGTTCTACACTATTATTGCTAAACTAGGAAAATTTAATACCGCATCCATGATTTCCCTGTTCTCAAATTTGATAAATCCGAAGCCCTTGTCCTTTTTGGTGTCGATATAGCGGATAGGGCCAAAACTTCGGAAATACGCTTCCACCGATTCCGCAGCTATTACGCCAATACCCCCAACAAATACCTCATTGGCCTCGTGCCCGCGATGTGGGTTCCTCATCTTAAAGTAATTCTCCATCGTGCCCTGAAGATGTTGAAAATTTTGGTGATATATTGCTTGAAGGGATAAGTCTACGAATAGAGGGAAAACTAGCCGCCTGTTTTACTTATGTGCTCTGAACGCCGCTGGACCTAAGCCCCAACCTTATAAAAAATCTAGATTTGCAGCACACTCTAGATTTGCAGAACACCTCTGAGAAAAAGGGAAAAAACTCTTAACAAGATCCCGCTATCGGAGGAGATGAAAGTTTTGATGATATAAAAATTTGTCATAGAAGAAAGGAAGTTTTGCCTATTGTCTAAGAGTGTCAGGATGCCTATTGTCTAAGAGTAACATGGAAGGGAGATTCAACTTGATCGTTTTGTAAGAGTACACCAGTCAACGTCTCTTACAATTACTAGATGTGAAACAACTACTGAAAGTGAAAATACTGAAAGTAGTTCTTGACTTTGCACTTGCAGTAGAGGTAAGTGACTTTGAAAGAACCAAGTGACTTTGAAAGAGCTAAGTGACTTTGAAAGAACTATAAGTCACTACTCTGTACCCGAGGTTTCGTAGAAGACCTACGTATAGCTGAAACTGATTTTGTTGTACTATTTTTCTAAACTACTAGATCAAATGTGTGAGAACTAGTCCTAGTATTTGTTGTACTATTTTTCTAGACTACAAGTTGATAAAATGTGTAAGTACTAGTCTTAGTATTTGTTGTACTATTTTTCTAAACTACTAGATCAAATGTGTAAGACTACAAGTTGATAAAATGTGTGAGAACTAGTCCTAGTATTTGTTGTACTATTTTTCTAGATTACTAGATCAAATGTGTAAGTACTAGTCTTAGTAGAAGTACATCCTGGATTCCACGGAAGAAGCTCTGCAGGAGGGTCAAATCCTGCTTGCTCGGATCTCGTACGCCTCGTGCTTCCACTGTGGTATAATGGATCCAGGCTGTACGAACCTCAGCATCCAGCTTTTGGCACAATTTCACGTGATCCACCAAGTCCTCCGTGTTTAATTTCTCCACGTCCATTGTCAAAAGTCGCTGCCGCAACGACATTCGCGCCTGAAGGTCATCGCATGTCGTGGTCGTGCGGATTGAGCAGGTGAGGACGAGTCGGGGGTGACAAGATTATTCAAATTGAAAACATAATCATATGCTGGTGGAGTCCTCAAGATCCTCGGAGGTGACAAGAATATTTAAACCAGTAAATGCAAATGTAATATGTTGACGAATGTCCTCCTAAATGATTTAGCATACTAAATTCATTGACGAGAGTTATGGTATGACGATGATGATGATGATGGTGATGATGATGGTGATGATGATGGTGATGATAGTCGGCTCGGATTGGACCTACGACTTCCCTGGTGTGAGCGACGATTTGGTAGCTGTACTTGTACATGTTGAATACCTGATATAACCGGGTCGAATCGTGGGCCAATGTTTCCACGTCTTCGAAGGGTTTCGGGCGGCGTTTCATTCCTCCTTGCCCCAGACACCTTTTTGTACCTGTGACGAGGAGAGTGAATGAGTGAACGAGTAGTAGTAGCAGTACTGTACCCAGTCGAGGGGTAAGTACAAAGTCCAGATGCAGTTTGTGGTTGGAATTCATCACGTGAATGATGTCGAACCACTAGTAACCCTGTACTAACTTGTGAAGTAAACGTAGAGGTAGAAGAAGTACAGGTCCTAGTAGATGCTTGTCCTGTGAGATCATAAAGGTTGTAATTCTACTAGTGGAGGTCGTATGTAAGAAAAACGAGCCTACTCCAAAAGAAAATACCTTCGTTGCGGAATCTGGTACAACATAGTCGTAGTAGTAAGAAAAGCAATCAAAAATACCTTTCCAAAATCCCGAAATGATGCTCCTGTCAACGCCCTCGTCATCGGAGAGTCGAGGCGCAGGCCGTTGGCCGCCCTCCTGTGGTCTCTGGTTATTATTCTGCATCATTGTTGATGATCCGTACGTGTTGTCTACTTCTTGCAGTTGTTGGTATTTTGTTCTGTTGACCAGCACCAAATGAACCAAACGGGATCAAGGTTCAAAGTGGTGGTCGCTTTAAATCAGTGCGCCGATGTAGCACGCCGATGTTGTTTAGTTCGTCGTACTTCTGAAGATTGATTGATTGATTTTACCTATTCGCGAGGTATAGCGGCTACCCTTTTTGTTTTTCCTTCTGCGAACGACGTAGAGAGATCTTGTTTCCTCTAGGTCCAAGAGCCAGTCGATGCGCCTCCAAAAGTTCGTCCTAGTTCTGAGGAGGACAGGAGGATAATGCTTTTGTCGTTCAATTCTTTCCTCAGGAAGCACAACTTCTTCTGAGGACACAAGAAGAAGACCGGTTCCTAGTTCCGATAGATTCCAAAAATGCTAGTGGAAGAGCTGTTAGACCTTGATGCTGACGAGTTTCTATAGCTGGGCGAGTTGCCTTGCGCCAAACCCGTTCACAATTCACGCAGGAGTGGAAACCTCCGAAGTCAATTGATTGACTGATTGATTGCTGTGCCTGGCAAGATGTGGCTTTTGGTGAAGATGTATACCTAACTGCTCAGGTAGTTGTTTATAAACTTTTCCTACGGTGGTCTGTTCAGCCGAGCTCGTTGTTGATGTACTACTACCTCACTTATTATTGCTTCTAGTGACAGGTTGTAGCGGGAGCAGAAGACGAGCTTGTAGAGCAGAAGATGCTGACGAGTTGTTTCTTGCTAAGCGACGTACGTCTTCCTCTAGAATGGAGAAGTAAACTTTTCCTCGAATGCGCGCAAAAGATCTGCGTTGTAACTGATTTTGAAGCGGTTTTGAACTCGAAACCGTAGCTCTACTACTTTGTAATATGTCGGAAGTACTACTTTGTTCAGGTCCACACGTCGTCCAGGAGCGTTGCGGTCACCTTCTAGGAAGCTTGTGCCACACACAGGAAAAGGCAGGAAAAGAGAAAGTAGTACTCTTTCCAACGAGTGTTCGTGTTTAGGAGCTCCTCGTGGTCAGTGGCCGGCTCTGACTCCATTCGGTCTCCTCCTCGTCGTCGATCGACAGAAGGTCACAAACAATGCAACCCATATACACGACTAACCCTCGACCTCCTCACCCGAAAAGATGATCCCTCTCCTAAAACGAACTTCGTCTATTGTTGGAGTTAAGTTTAAGTTCAAGGGCCTCACTCATGCCAGATTGCAAAGATTTAAATGTACAGCTGGTATCAACGCCTCAGTCTAAGTATACCAAATACAAGCTGCAGAATTAGAGTTAGAGTTAGAAGTTCTCTGGCTTGCGATCTTGCGGGGGCCATGGCTCCAGGAATGCTGGGCTTCGGAAGCAATGCAATGAACTATGACGCACCATACAACACTAAAAAAAGCGAGGGATTCTCACAATCCAAATGCAGGACCAAGACCACCGAGTGCGAGCAAAAAAAGCACCGCTTGTAGGCTACGCAAGACTGTCCTCGGGCACGGAAAAGATAGGAGTAAAATCGCAAATGTCGATATAGCTACGTGGAATGGAATGTCGCCCAGATTCAAACAATCTATTCAGAAAAAAACAACATATTAAGTAAGCGGGCAAACCCGAGTTATTGTACCAGCGGCTACTCCCCTATAGTAAAAGCCGTGTACATCAAGGCTACTTAGATGAACATTATCAGAAACTACGAGTTCTTTACTATACTTTCCACGTTGCCCTCAATCCAGAGTGACCCCAAGGAGTGGTGAAGGATACACAATAGTTAGAAGCTACGATTGGATCTACTACTGACAAGAAGACCATCTGAAATCAATTCAGTTCGTCGGCGGCAATCGTCTATTTCTTTTTATGGCTCTCGTCGCCGTGTTAGATTACACTAGGTTTTACGAAAAACTCACTAAACTTACTACGATGCGGATAACCGCATTGACTCTTCTTACGCCCGGGTAGAAACCAATCACAATGAGAAAAAAAAAACTGATGATGAGATAATCAGTCAACTACTCCTCATCAGAGATGGAGTCAGAGAGAATAGATTCAATATTTCTAACTTGCGGAGACAAGTAACTTGGAATACATACTGGCCGGCCCCTTTGAATAATAATCGATGAAAGAACGAACAGGCTGACGCGATGATTTCTTCAAACGACACTCTCACCTTCACTGTCAAAAGACAGCAAACGGTTGATAGTGATCGATGCAAAGAAGAAAATAGATGCCCTGTGGCTATCGACTTTAATTATCTCATAGCCACAAGGTGCTGATGATGATAATGTTGTTGATGATGATGGCTGTGCCTGATGGTGTGAATCTACTCGGCAATCTGCCTAAGATTTCCCTGGCGAGTTCTACCCGCTAGTCTGGCTTGTTGCTGGACCTAATGCAGAGCGCCAATCAATCCAAAAAAACCTTGTCGAACAAGTAACCACCGCAACCATTTTCGATTATAATGGTGCTTACGTAGTCCCAACTGCGGGTAGATGAAAACGACGACGGATAATTTGTAAGGAAATCAAGATTGAACAAATAAGGTAGAGCTAAGTCTCGTTTGTCTCTAAAATTCATAGGATAGGATAGGACTTGACTCGCCGTCCACAGCGGGGAACCTGTATACTCAAGCGAAAACCAAACTAGTACTGTATTATCAGAAATCTTTAGACGTTGTTCCTCTTATGAAAAACCTAATCCAGATGCAGCTAAGCCATCCGGGTAGGTTCATGGAAGTCTCCTGTTCCGGATCCGGTATTATACAAACCCTTTGAAATGATCATGAGTAACGAGTTATAGTAGTAGTTTTTTCTCAAGTCAACAAAATAACGGGAGGAGTCAGTCCAAGCAAGCAACACAGCAAAACAGATTCAGATTTTTACTTTTACACTGGTATGTTAATTCATTCATCAGAAACGAACTCCTACGGTACCTTTTCGCGTGTAGACTATCTTGTCGTAGAGATCTCACCTTCATCGTCGACGAAAGATGCATAAGACTGTAGCTCAAAAGGTTGAAATATCTGCATCTAGGAGGCACTTGATGAAGATACTCGATAGGACTAGAGAATTGGGAACTAGAGCAGATGTCGCATGATGAACACTGGTAATGCTAACTCTAAAATTGAGTGGTAATGCTGACTCTACCATTGACTGGTAGTGCTGACTGGAATATTGACATGCTGACTCTGTAAGACTCGAATGCCACGATGATATTTTAACGTACTTGCACCCATGCACCTTAGCAAGGTCTTAGGATAGGATAGGACTTGATTCGCCGTCCACAGTTTGAGCTGTATCCTCGGGCGAATGTGTGCAGCCACAGAGGGACTACCAATTCTTATATATCTTCAACTAATGGCTTCTGCTTTTATCACGCACCCCCTAGCCCATCTACTTGACCGCTTGACCGATAGCATTCATAACCAACCTGGCCGTAGATTCCTTGTTATGGCCTGCTGCAACTACCTCGTGTGCATATCATTTGTATACGAAACTTCTGTAAATTCGGATTTCGAGGACTAAAATTATTCTTCTTGATGAAGAGGTTGCTGTGAGAGACTCTTCCAAGTCTGTTGACAATTAGAAGTAGGTTAGCACTTAGTTACGCCATTCCAGGGCGATAAATCTTCCAAGGAAACAAGCATTAAATGATGATGATGATGATTGTACCTATTCTTGAGGTGTTAGGCTACTACTAGTTACAGTTATCTACACTCAAACCAAATAGCAATGGCATTTCAGTAACGCCGGATTTGATACCTCGAGAGCCAAAGAGATTTCAACAATCGGAATTATTGATTTACGAAGATCATGCTAAACATAAAAAACAATTGCGAGGGGTTAAAAGTCAAAGCAAATCTCGTCGGATTAAACAAATTATAGATACTTATAGGGTGAGCAATTTCTAAGAAGTAATTAGTCATTTGTTCCTAGCTAATGATGATATGGAGGGGTAAGAAAATTTCGAAAAAACGGTTTTTTGTTAGAGGGCACATGAGAAAATGTTTGAAAAGTGATTCAATGAGACTAGTGCACGAAGGACAAGCTCTCAGACAGCTATCAAACTTCTACACTTCGAAAATGCTCTCAATCACGATCAACGTGCTTTCTATTGTGTCTCCCTACGAACGTCCGACGAACAAGCTGCTTCAAGAAAATCAAAACCTCAGCTCTCCTCGTGGTCACCCGATAGACATCATTCCACCCCGATCAATCCCAACCTCCAACAGCAATTCCAACTTTGTCATATTTGGGTGAACCGCGGCATACATCAAGTGTCCCTCAAAACAGAGGCGTTCTTGCTCTCCTTGTCACGAATCATGGATGTACCCACTCCAGGGGTTTACACGTTATTTCCTCTCTACGTGCGAAGATAACGAACAAGAAGTACGAAGATAACGAACAAACTCTTAAGTGCGAATCTATCGGCGACGAAAGAACGAACAAACCCCTAAAACCTAGGTGCGTGCCACTTCGAAAAAACGCAAGTAATCACTTGTATGTTCCACGAGTATCTTATCAGTCTGAGTGTTGAAAAGAACAAAATCGCGAGAAAGAACCCTCCATACCTTTCTTGCGCTAGGAGCAAGGTAGAGGCAAGAGAGAGGAATGCCATCTTTTCAGATAGTGTAGGATAGAATATAGTGTTTCGCCGTCACGGTCACAAGATGTTCTCCATTCTTTCTTACAAGTTTCATCTATACCATTCATAACAGGAATGAGAAGCACACAAAGGTTTTTTCACAGACGCATGTGAGACGAGGTCATCTGATGCACTTTTCCGTAGTGCGCTAATCATCAGTTGAGCCACAGGTTTCGACTGTAAGAATACGAGGAGGTAGAGTAAGGGCTGTAGTGCTGGTTGTTGTCGAAGCGACCTACTAATCGAGCAAGATAACATTGATCATTATAGATGACTGACCACAGGGTATGTAGCTACATAGCTGATGAAAGAAGTCAAACTGTATAGTATCAACACATGAACCCGCATCGGTTGCGGCATAGAGGACATGAAAACGGCGCATCACGACCTGACGTCATTAACCTCTGAATGCAATCTCGATGAAATCGGTGTCCACAATCTAGATGCAAGAGTGCACGCGGCAGTGTCTTGCTTTCCTCCTTAGTCGTTTCATCAGTCCTGTTCGTGTCCTCAGTCCTGTTTGTAGTTTCCTCGGATGATATTGCCGTGTCACTAGTAGTGCTCCCAGCTTCTTCTGCTTTCGCTTCTTCACGAGACACCCCAGACACGAGTGGCTCTAGACATATCGCGCATTCTTCATTTTTTTCGACGGATTCTATTCGCCTATCCGCATGATCTCCGAGAACGACGGCTCTCAGCGTTGCGTCGCTTAGGGGGCCTCGTTCTTGCCTACTATCTGTTGTAGTGCTTCCCCCGCTTGCATGCTCTTCCTCGCAGTTTTTAGTGTGTGCTTAGTCTGGTACCATTGGTCTACTTATAATAGAGAGTGAGTCAGCGTTCTTAGTCGCTCTTGCGTTGCCCCTGTCTCAAAATTTCCTGATGTTTAGAAATTAAAGACCTAGACCTTTCATAGTAGCCATAACATCCGATGATCGAGTGGATGCAGTCGTTGAACGACTCCCAGCGCTTTCCGCATGTCCTCTCTCGGATCGTTTCTCAGCAGCCTGCAATTCATCACTAGCAGAAGATTGACGTTCTTGACGTTCCTGACGTTTATCTTCAGTTTCTGGCCACAAATTCGCTAAATTGATGCTGATCACATGCTCCAGTCGCTGATTGCCAGCAATGCGAGCGAAGGTCAACGCCGTCTCATACAAACGTCTACTGGACTTCGACGAATTCTCACCGCCTTCGCCCTTCTCCACCACATTCGCATAGTTCGTTAACAGAGTCGCGAAACTACTGCAGAGAGCCGGATCCCGCGTCACGCGAGCAATTTCCGCAGAATCTGCTTCCCCGAACCGGGCACCCTCTCGAACAAATCCTTGACGTTCCCAGACTCTGGCCGCCTCCTCAAATTTCAGTCGTGCTGCTGCATAGCGACCAGTCGCACTTGCACTAGACCCTGCGGAAGCACCAGGGCCACCACCACCGCTACTTCCGTGCCTCACAGAAGATGAAGATGGTGCCGCCACATTGTCGCCTCCCTCGTCGTCCTCTGCTGCAGAAGCGAGTGCGATGCCGTGGTTCGCGAGCGCCTGTGCCTGATGATGCCACCCAAGACCCTGCAAGCCGCGCTTTGAGAGCTCCACCGCCTGATTATAGTACACCTCTGCAGCATCCTGATCCCCTTGACCCATAGCAGCACTGCCCATTGCCGTAAGCGTATCGAAAACACATTCGAAATCGCTATGTTTATACGCTACCTGAATTTCAGTATTCTAATGGACATCCTAAACGTGGAGGTGTATGATTTCAATTACTGTCCTGCTAGCATGAACAAGGTATCCATCTGTATAGTTAGTGTGAAGAGCTCACCCATGCGACTTACATTTCTTTCCACACTGTACCTGCATAGTACCTTTCAACACATCAAAAGACTATTCACCGTGAATACCTTCTTCATCAAAAAAAAAGAACCTGCATGGCTTTCTGAAAGCACTTTTGGACGTCTTCTTGTGGGCAGCGGTTTTTATCCTTCGCCACCCCGAGAAGCCGCGCTGCGCGTCCCTGTAATTTGGAGTCGCTTTCGGCGAGGTCTAGAGCCTGTTGAAACACGTCGCACGCTTGCCGAAATTCTCGTCTCAGAAAATGCGTTCCGCCTTGCTTACAGAGCGCCTCCACAACCTTTTCCTCGTTGAATGAGGCTCCTCGTCCAGCGCCACTTGACGAACCTGTTGATGTACCTCTTTCGGATTCGCCGCGAGACAGTAAGAAGCCTCGCTTTGGGCGACCGCCCGCGTGTCCTGCCGCTGTCGGCGCTCCCCCGTCGTCGTCCGCACGACAGACCCACAGAAGGTTGTCCGCGAGCACGGAGAGTTGCCGCCCCGTGTCATCGAGAAGCATAACGCCGAAACGCTGCTGCTCTGCTCCGCTACTGCTGTCTGGCAATAGGATCAGGAGACCCAGCTTCTGATTCAGCTCTTCCCGTTTCTTAAGGTTTACCAACCGAACCTTGTCCCGCATCTTCCATCCACCGGGTGGACCTCTAGCTGCAGCGCAATCCTCTCTGGACACCTGCGGCTGCAGGCTAGATGGCGGAGGCATTGGAACTACCCTAGTACCGTCAGTAGTTGAGGGGCCAGAGGATACTGAAGTAGAAGATACTGCCCTCGGAGATGAGGCTGAAGTGGATGTTGATGGAGCAACATGATGATGTTGTTCACAGCCTTGTTCATTTTCCACCTCCTGCGGAGAGCTTTTATCATCTGCTTCTGCTGTGCCAACGTCGTCCTCTTCATCGTCCACTCCTGTATTTAGCGGAAGAGCTGGACTTTCCGCGTGGGCTGCCTGTTCTCCTAATATCAGCACGTGCGGCACATCAGTACTAGCTTCTGCTTCCGCAAGTGTCCTTTCACTCAGGACTGCTTCTTCGGGTATTGCGGCCGCTGTCCTCACGTCTTGCGGTCCTAAAATGTTCGAATTTTTAGCATCCGAACTTCCGACTTCGGTGTCTCTGTGGTCTGGCTCGTCGGCGTCTTCGTGTGTCTTTGGCAGAGAGGTTCGCTCTTCCTCGGTGTCTTCGTGTCCTTCCTCCGAGCATGCCGTAGACGCAGCACTCCCGGAATCATCCGATCGCCGCCGACACCGGCAGCGGGAAAATCTTTGACCCATTTTTGTTTTCACTTCTACTATATCTGCTACTAGGCAATTCAGTATCTCAAAAGCTCTTTACGATGAACAGCATCAATTAATATAAAATACTCTTACCGGAGTAGCGCCGAGAAGTGCACTACCCGGTCACTTCGGTATTCATCAAGAAAATCAAATGATTGCGTCCATCTACACACTAGAGTACTAGATGCTTTTCCTGAGAAGTCGATCGAAAAGCGCGCACGAACTTTCCAAAGTAGATGCGAAAGCAAATACTCAATGCTCTCGAGGCAACACTATCTCGCAGTGTAAAGTCTTCAATTACTGCAACAACCCTTCTTCTAGTAACTCGTGTTACAACAAGTAGAGGGCGTGGGTCGTTGAGGTCCAGCTTCTTCTTCTGCTCAATACTATGCTAGGTTCATTGGCGTGGAATCGACTACCAAATACCGATGATGGAACCGAGGTAGAATACTCCACCGAAAGAGTGAGCTGACCTCTCCGACAAGAAAATTGAAATTCGCTCCTTATACATGAGACCTGTCGGACTTCCCCACATCTAAGGTACATTGCGTTGCGACCGCACCACTCAGGCAGTTACACTTCTGTAGATCAATCGAAAGGACTACTTCAAGGCATTTTCACAAATCGTAGCCCTTTCTACAAAATTTTGTTTCCACCGCGTTCTTGTTTCCTCATGCATGTCTTTACTTGCGTCTCCCGTCTTCAACTTCATGTTGGAGGCAGAACAGCCTGGTTAAATGAAGCAGGCACGACGACGAGGCGGTGCATCCACGGTAGTTCGTGAACAGGAAAGATCTGCTCGTTCTGGATCGTGACGGTGTCATGTTCTCCTTTTTCTCTTGGTAGGTACTTCCCCCAAGGAGTTTATCCTACTACTACTGCTCGAGCACTCCGTCACAATCTAGTGCCCACAAAGTGACTGCTGCGTGCTGCCCCTATGAGATATCAGCTACCTACCTTGTTCTTTCCAGTGTGTAAAGGAGAAAAAAGGTTATGTTAAAGTTGTAAACCCTAGTTGTTCGTGATCATTTGATGTTCTTGAAAATAAACCTTACTACAGTACTTGGAAAAAAAAGCGAGAGTTACAGTGCTCGGTCCTATGCACACAGCCTACTATATTATAGCTTGTGAAAACTGATCTTCAAACAAGTTTTAAATGTATCTGCATATGCAAGAGGTTGTCTCTGATGTGACCTACCTGCGCTTTCTCTAAGATTTCCCTGAAGACGACTTCTAGAATCACGGTGCTCAATCAATCACACCCGCGCCTTTAGCTGCCGCAAAATCGCTCTGGGATGCTCCGAATAGTGGGAGGTCCTGAGCGACAAAAGCTGGACTCGGCAACGATGCGCACCGACTCTTTCCGCCACTAGTGATGTCTTAGAGAAATGACGATGGAGAAGAAGATTGTACAACTGATTCTTGTACCTATTAAACTACGAGAGGTTGCTTGATGTAGAGATGATGTTCATTTGATTGTGGAGGTTTGAGTTAAGTATAGCTAAGTTTCCACCTTGCTGTTCGAATCTTTCTCTCTGGCGTACTAAGCTGATTTCTAGACTCATAAATGTGATGCTTCGCTGCCCATCCTGCTGGCGTCTCAATCACGACAGAGGTTGCGCCGCCTGATGGACCGACACCTTAATATTGACATTGGTGTAAATCAAAATCTTGTTGTTCGTCGTGCCAGTCGTTACACCAACGCGATGTCAGTACTTTTGCGAGTGTGTTGTACTTGTAACCAGCAAAAATATCTGTATCAGCCACATCAAATAAATTTGTTCTCTCCAAAAATTCTCATATGATAAAAGCAACGGTCGTAAAAACCTGAGTTAGGAGGTGGAGAAAGGAAAGAAAGAGAAAAGTCAAGATCTCAATATAGTCCATATAATACCTGTCCAAGTCAAGATCTCAATATAGTCCACAAAGAAAGAGAAGAGTCAAGTCCATATAATACCTGTCAAGTCTTCGGATCTCGCGGTTTTCACGTCTACCACGCTGCCGTGTTTGTCACACCATATTAGGTCCAAATCGATTTCCGTATTCTTCATCCAGAAACTACGTCCCTGCATTGCATCCTGAATTAGAGGTCGTCTGAAAGTGTAGTTCATCGTATTTGTTCCCTGCATTTTTTTCGCCACGACGACGACGACGGACCAGACTGTTTAGTAATGCAGCGTCAACTTCTACTTCTAACTACTACCGGATATAGAAGAGATATAGCTCAGATAGGTGGACAAAGTTAAAAAATGGCCATAGCTGGGCCCACGTGAACATCATCCCGCTTTCCTCAGGTATGGAGTTTCTCCACATAAGCCCTTGCATGAAATGCGCTGATCGCGTTGACGGTGGTAGGATTGATGGATTGACTGACGTGCCTATTCTTGAGGTAAAGGAGCTATGTGTTTGGGTACGCAGAAGTTTACAGTTCGTTGACTCGTTTGATTTGTGATACTTCTTGCACGACAGAAGTATAACGGAAAATCAAAAAGAATAGTAGGAAAAAAGCGAAAAAAAGCCTACTGAAGGATCAAATCTATCGTAAATGAAAACTCATTTTATAACATCTTACCAAAATCCTGTGGCACTTCGACGTCTACGCGGACTTCCTCGCCATCGGCGTTTTCGAAAACAACGGTGCCATCAGACCGCAAAGGCCCCACAACCGGTTGTTTTGTCCTTTGTCGTAACGAGGACGACAGGAAATTCCGCTCTGCGGTGCAGCATCGCAGTAACGCAGTTACGAAGATCACATTCTTGGAAAACATCTTTCTTAACTAGATTGTCCTAAAGATAAAACTTTGGTCAACATTTGCTCTCCTGGTAACATTTTTATTTGCCTTTTCAAGTTCAAGTGCAAGGGCCTCACGATCACTGTTTATGATTTTCGATTACTTAAATAACCCCATTTAAATACTACTTAAATAACCCCATGCAGCCAGAATATATTCCTAGGGTTCAAACAAAAATATTTCTAGCATACAATGGCCGTATTGCAATTTAGTTTGGGCAGTCCATAATGAATCGTTTTGTTTCTTCATTCCGCACCACCTCACCCGACTAAAACGTTCGACCTCTTCTATGCTACTCGGTGAGTAGCGTGAAGGAAAGTTTATCTTACGTCACAGTCACAGAGAATGCATCTCATATAGTTTCCTTATCGCGACATGGAACTGTCCCCATTACCTGAGATGAGACTTGTATGCTGTACAGAATATTGCCCAATCATCAAATTTCCCGACAAGGTCTTTTTCCCTGATAGTGCATCGTATTCCTACAACTGCAAATACAACTGTCGACATACTTTATTTACATCTCCCATTAGCTGCGTACTTGCGAAAAATGAGCTCTGAAATATTCGTCCCTATTCTATTTTCCCGATGGATGTCACGAAATAAACTCTGGGTTTTCATCTTGATTAATTGGAAGTACGAGATTCGGTTTCTTTGCGGTTTCTTGAGTCAAATCAATATAAGAAAGAGAGAATAAACTGTCACAAAATCTACATCAATCCTCGGTTATTTCACAAGGAAGAGAAGAGTGGCTGAGGGAATAGAAAAGTTAAGTTTTCAAGTAAGGATGGACGTGGACAAGAAAATTTCATCTAGTAGCAATAGACATAGAGATGACGGCGCATCGTCATCTCATCTCTATCATGACGCAAAATGGCTCCTCCCCTCGGAGACAAAAATGTAACTTTGACTCATGAGAGCCAGGATATGACATGATCTACCAATTATTTCGATGGAGACCTACATTAACCAGAGGAGTTGCATCATTCCCATCATTGAGTCGTGGTCTAGCAAGTGGGTTAAGTCATCAAGTGTAAGGCGGGCACTTCTGCAATGTTGAGGATGAAATTTGTGCGACAATGTGAAGAATCCTGATAGGAGGGTTAGTAATATTGTGTCTGACGTGTCTGCGTCAGAAATGTAAAAGTTCAGGAGCAGTATATTCCGGGTTCCGGTTTCAATTTCGTGTGACCGCTTGACAAAGAAAGCGTCATCGCTGCGCCTCATAGATACCTGGGGAGTTTGTTTTCACATGTTTACAAAAGCTGAGGAAAAAACACGACCCCAGTGGGCGCGTCGACGCACTTAAGGGATCCGCCGAGGCACTTAAGGGACCCGCCGAGGCACTTAAGGGACCCGTCGAGGCACATAAGGGACCCGCCGAGGCACTTAAGGGACCCGCCGAGGCACTTAAGGGACCCGTCGAGGCACTTAAGCGAGCTTTCGCCGAAACACTTAAGCGAGGCTCAGGCGCAATACTTAAGCGAGGCTCAGGCGAAACACTTANAGGCGCAATACTTAAGCGAGGCTCAGGCGAAACACTTAAGCGAGGCTCAGGCGCAATACTTAAGCGAGGCTCAGGCGAAACACTTAAGCGAGGCTTAGGCGCAATACTTAAGCGAGGGGCATCCGAAGTACCTGAGCGAGGGGTTTCCGAAGCACTTTAGCGTGCCAGTACTAGTAAAAATCATATTCACATTCTTGAACAAAAACGGAGAAATTTTTCTTCATAACATCTACCACTAGACCCCTAGTATCCCTGAAGAGTAGAAAAGATATAGATTGTTTGAAGGGACTAAGTACCTTAGGATGGATCCGAGGAAAAAACTAACCGGTTGCTTTCATTTCAAACTGTGGTAGAGCCGACCTAACTAGAAAAAAGACAGACCAGAGGATTTTTAAAATGAAATAGAAAATATAAACAAGGATAGATATTACCTCTAATCACCCCCTGTCCGTCTCTACTTGACGCAACTTGTCAAATCGCGGCCCATCACACCCAGATTTGCTGTGCCAATGCGGATACTCTGAGCTTCGCGGCTTTTCGGTCGAGGCAAAAAGCTTCCCATTGCGTCACTAAAGGCTGGCTTTGCCCAGGTCTCGGACAACCTTGATGAAATTGAGAATGATCGTAGCCCTTTCCTATTGTGTTTCCTGTCGTCCTATTTCCTCGACTATTAAAAAAAGTCATAAACAGGAGAGAATCATGTTGTCTGGGAAGAACATCTTCTATGCATCGTCCGTCTACGCAAGGCACTCATGAGTAGTGCAAAGACATGTAAATTTAACAGTTAAGTTACCATGAAGGACATATCACCATGAGGAATGTAAATTTAAAAGTGAAAATCTAACTATTATACCAAATCGAAAACATGATATCTAAATCAGTTGTAGGAGTACTTGCTACCACGCAAAACATATACAACATCTGATAAATTGTAGGAGTACTTGAGACCCTTGGTCAGTGCAGTTCCCATAGCGGTATTCATGGGTTTCACTGGCTCGGCAAATTTCTGGGACAAGCTCGAGTCAAAGGTCGCCGTCACATTTCCCTTGGCGATTTTTATCTGGTTGCGGATGTGAAGAAGAATATTCACACCTATAATGATGTGAAGATTGAAAATATTGATCCTTTCCTAGGATGCTTCAGTTTATACAACTTCGCGAAAACAACGAGAAACTGAATAAGTAGACATGATGATAAGTGAACTGCGTACAACATCAGCACACTTATAGATTTAGAGTGAGGAAGACACATCAGTAGAAGGAAGATACTGACATCATGCCAATTTCAGTTCTCCACATCGAATAGATGTACCTTAGCAGCTTTCATGTCCAGGTCGATATCGTAGCCCCTTTCCGCCAGATCTACCACCGCAACGAAAAAGTGCTTCACCACGGATTTCACTAGATCTGTCTTGTAATAAGTTCCTGCGGCAATGGGTACCTCAATAGGTGGTTTTTGATTCTTTGAACAATTAGTGTGTGGTTTGGTCGGTCGTTGTAAAAATTTAGTACAACAGGTTTGGTGTGTGGGTAAGGACTAAGCTAAGGATATCCGAAACCACGAGGGGAACTCGCTGGTCGTGTTGGTGTTCTTTAGAAATGATTCAATTTCGAATCACGGGTGCGGTTTGCTTGTTGTCAAATTTGAATCGCAAGTTCAGGTTGTTGCGAATGATGAGCAAACGAAATCGAGGTTGGTTTGCTTGTTGTATTAAAAATGCCAACTTATCAATCAACAGGGAGGTCAAAAATACTTACCTCGTTCAGGAACTTCACTTTGCTCGGAATCGACTGGGCCGTTGTCAACGCTGTCCTGTCTAGTTCGAGCTTCTGTTTCGATGGCTTGTAGCTGACAGGATTGCAATGAAAAAATTGCTGTTGTCATCGTAGAACAGCATCTCTAGCCAGCTCTTTCGTCAATTGTTCGGGGTAGTTAGTACAGATGAACTACAACGACTTTGAATGATAGATCCAAAAGACAACTTCGAATGATATTACCATTTACAAACTTCGTCAGTAAACAAATATGTACTTTGGGCAAGCATTCGCAAGTTTCGCATGGGGAACGAAGCAGAGGACCTTGGCTACAAAGTCGGGTCCGTATTTTGAGTTGTACCACGATGGCGCAAAAGAAAATGAACCCAAGTTGTCGATGGAGACAGATTGCCTGAAAGTAGTTGTTGCATCCAGGAAATATTTCGTACTGAACTAACACTATCCTTCTCGGTGTACAAACACCTGCTCATATAGCTTATCTTCTCGAACTTCTTCTACCAAAATACTCTGGTAAGCCTTAGAACTCGACAAACGGTTTCTCTAAAAAAATGAATACCATAGAGCTTCTCCATCTAGAGCAATACCAAAATAAAAAGCATAAAAAAGCACATCTTTTTCATTGTACTCATTGCGCAGCATTTCGTCGAGTCGCGAAGTGAGTGCGTCGTAGATCATCTTCATCTGTCTTGTGGTATCGACCTTCTGGAGACCCTGGCTTGTCCGTTCCTGGCTCACATTGTGCGGACCGGGGTAACTCGCGGGATTCCCTAGCACGTGGGAGATCACCTGCGGTACGTTCACCACCATTTTTTATACTGTACTTCCCTCTTTGAATAAGTAGCAATGCTGGTGTACTACCCAATCGCGGGGTATAAGTGCTAAACTATTTTAATTAGCGTTGTTCTTCGTCTTTTTCCTTTTTGGTATATATGATCGTTGTTCTTCTTCTGCTTCTTCTTCTTCCGCCTGGACACTACAATTGATGGCTATGCTCAAGTGTATCTATGAGTAGTCAGACTTCTTTGGAAAGCCTCGGAACTGCTTACTTTAAGTCTGCTATATCTTTTCTCGTTAGTAGCATTAGCAAGTGCGTTTACACTGATAGATAGGTAAACTGCTATCGACAGAAGTCTTCATTGTAACAATCGAAGTAGCAGGAAGGCTTCTGCAAACGAACGAGTTGCAAGAGACCTTATTCTCAGAACGAAGGCTCACCGATATCTACCCTCGTCAAAGTCAGGGGAGGGTTTTACCGGGACTGCGGTCTCTCAGTGGACGAGGTCTCTAGAAAATTTTCGGGAAACAACCTCGAGGCTCTCATTTTTCTTTCCCTCATTTCAACGAATCGATTGCAACAGGAGACCGATTCGCATATGACGATGAGGACCATCAGACATGATTCATGCATGTTCTCTCACGTTCGGAAGATTTCTCTCGAATTCGGGACCAACAAAACAATTTCATCTCCGGACAGATAATTTGCGTGAAAGACATGGATAAAGAAAACGAGGAGCTCTCTGAAGAAAATTTCGATTATAGGTATTCAAATCACTGTAACGCCCACGTCAAGATAAACCGTTTAGGTCAAGGCTTTTCACTGTTTGGGACGAATATGCAGTCTGCTTGAACAAATGGAATAAGGGTTTTCTCGTAGAACGCGGATGCACAGCTTTTGTAAAGAATTGGTGCGAAATAAAAGAAAGCCCCACAGTATTGGATACGTTTACTCGATGAAAACATAAATGCTTCACCTTCGTCGAAAGCATTAGGAATTTCGCTGTTCGACGTTGACTCAAGTCACGAAAGCGTTTCCAGCCAGAATGAAGCACACACACTATGTAGAATAAGAAGCGGAAAACAATTCGAATAGCTCGCCAATTACCAGCAGGACAAACGGATGGGTTGGTTAAGTATTTAACGAGGCGCTACAACTGACGAAATATGGAATAGAAAGGGCCAACGAGGACAGGCGCCAGGTGAGTACTTAGCGCCAGGCCGGCCCAGGCGTTTTGCCGTGGTTGGGCGGGTTTCGTTCGGTCAGTTGCGCCACGCTATTGCAGCTGGCTGGGCTAGTTGGTTGCGCTAGCTTCGCAGTGGTAGACTTAGCCGAGCTAGTCTGTCTCGCTGGGTCAGTTTTTTTGACTAATTTGGGCCGGCTTTGTTGGTTTGGTGAGTTCCGTTGGTCAGTTTGGTCAGGCTACATTGATTCGGCCGGCCCGGTTGGGTACGCTGTCGTGGTGGGTTAGTTTGGTTGCGCCGCGTTCGTTGTTTGGGGAGGCTGCCTTACATGCCAGCAGTTTAGTACAGCCAAGTCAGCCCAGCTCAGTCCGGCGGGCCCAGTTTGGGTAATTTAATTCGCCCAGCTTCGCTCGGTTGCGTTGGTTTACAAGTTTGGCCAGATCACTCGCCAGGCCAGTCCACTGCCCGGGACCAATAGTTCGCCCGCTAGGCTAGTGTGCTAGAGCGTTTAGCCTACTTGCTAGGCTCGTCCACAGGCTGCCTCGCTTACCCGTTGGGCCAGTTTAGAAACCAGGCGAGTTTGCTAGCCGGGCTGGCTTATCGGCTGGGCCCTTTCACCAGTTTGCCCAGCTCACTGGCTTGCTTAGTTTACTCGCCAGCCAAATTCACTCGCTACCTCTTGCGAGGTCAGTCCACTGGCTCGGCCATTTCACCAGCTGGATTGGTTTACCAGCGGGGACGGCTTCGTAGTTCGCTGGGCGGGTTTGCTGGCGAGGCAAGCTCGCTTTCGCTTAGTTTGTTCCGCTTGCTTTAGTTTAGTTAGTTCCGCGCAGTTAGTTGAGAGCGCAAGTGAGTCACTGGCCAAGTTAGTTTCGTGAGATTGGTTCTCTTCAGTTAGTTTAGTGCAGTCAGCTGAGTGCCTGAGTTAGTTAAGTTAAGTTAAGTAAGCGCAGTGAGCTAAGCAAGTGGGGAAGTAGGCTCATTTAGTCAAGTCAGATAGGTTAGCTAAGTTAGCTAAGCCGGTCTACTTCAGCTAGTTAAACCCAGCTAGATTCGTTCAGTTAGTTTAGCCCCGTCAGCTTAGTCCCGTTACCTTCGTGAAGTCAGTCACCTCCAGCGAGTTTAGCAAAGTTGCGCTAGGTTGAGATAAGCCAAGCTAAGCAAGCTAAGTGGGCTAAGCGAGTGAAGTAGGCTGATTTAGTTTAGTCTAGTTATGTCAGTTGAGTTTTTAGATAGGTTAGCTAAGTTAGTTAGGCGGGCCAGATTCAGTTGGTTAGAGGCTAGCTAGCTTAGCTCAGTGAGTTTAGTCCCGGTAGCTTAGTCGAGTCATCTTAGTTAAGTCAGTTACGGCCGGCGAGTTTAGTCGTGTTGCGCTGGGTTAAGTTTGGCGAAGTCAGTCCAGTGCGGGCAGCTTGGTTAAGTTAGTCCAGTCAGTGCCAAGGTGCCTCAGCATAGTCACCCCAGTTAGGTCAGTTCAGTTAAGTCAGCCCGGTTAAGTTAGTTGCGTCGAGTTAGTTCAGTGTAGTCATTTCCGTAGGGTCACTCTGGTTAGGTAACTCCAGCCAAATCAGTGTAGTTGGGTTGCTTAGTTTGGTCAAACTCCCTCACTTTCGTTAAGTTAGTCCCGTTGAGTTAGTTAAGCTAGCCCAGCAAAGTTAGCCCAGTGGCGTTAGTTTCGTGAAGTTAATTCCGTTGCGTTAGTTTCGTTAAGGTAGCGCCGTTCAGTTCGTTCCGTTCAGTTTGCTAGTTTCTTTCAGTTAGTTGGTTTCGGTTAGTTGCGTTAAGCTAGGTAGCTAAGCCAGTTAGGTCGGCTTGGTTAAGTTAGTCGAGTTAAGTTAATTACGCTTAGTTAAGGCAGTTGGGTTAAGTTAGTTGAGTCACGTTAGTCCAGTCAACTTACTCAAATTAGTCAAGTCAGTGAAGTTGAATCAGTTCAGCTAAGTCCGACGGGGTGAGTTAAGTTAGCCCAGTGCAGTTAAGTTAGTACATTCCGGCCACTTTGTTGCAGTTAGTTGAGTCAGATTAGTGTAGTGGGGTTAGTTTGGTCGAGCTGGTTTAGTTAATTTAGTTTCGTTAGGTTAGCCTGGTTCAGCTAGTTTAGCTTAGTTAGATTCGTTCAGTTCAGTTCGTTTAGTCTACTTCGGTGGGCTTGCATTACTTAAGTGGGCCCAGTTAAGTTGGCTGGGTTCAGTTCGTGGAGCTAAGTCAGCCGAGTCAAGTCAGCTGAGTCGAGTCAGTCGGGCTAAGTCAGTTGGGTCCAGTTAGCTGGGTTAGGTTAGTTGAGTTAAGACAAGCTAGCTAAGCCCACTTAGTTCAGTCGGGTTAGTTGGGTGGAATTCGTTGGGTTAAGTCAGTGTAGTTGGGTGGGCTTGGTTAAGCTAGTTAAGTCGAGACGAGTGCAAGTAGTTTGGTTCAGCTAGTTTAGTTGCGTTCGCCTAGTCCAGCCTGTTTAGTTCAGTCCCGCTCGTTCAGTGCAGTGAGCTTAGTTCAGTCCGTTAAGTTAGTTAATTTAGTTGGGTGAGTTCGATTGAGTTTAGTTAGCTTAGTGGCGTTCGATTAGTTTCGTTCGGTTAGTTTCGTTCGGTTAGTTTCGCTCAGTGAGTATCGTTCGGCTAGGTTCGTTGCGTCAGTTTAGTTAAACTATAACTAAACTGACGCAGCGAACCTAACTCAACGAAACTAACCGAACGCAACTAAGTCAGTCTAGTCCAGCTAGTCTGCTTGAGTCAGTTTGGTTAAGTTAGTCTGGTTCAGTTAGTTCGGCTAAGTTAGTTTATTTCGGTTGCTTTAGTTAAATTCGTTAAGTTAAGGGCAATTCCGTTAAGTTGAGCTAAGTCGAGTTGAATTAGTCTAGTCGAGTTAAGTTCAGTCAGTGGAGTTAAGTTCAGTGGGCTTAGTTTCGTTAAGTTGTTCCATTTTGCTTAGTGTAGTTTTTTAGTTCCGTTACGTGCTGAGCCATTTCAGTTGGGTCATTTTAGTTGAGTCAGTTTCGTTAAGTTAGTTTCGTTAAGATAGCCTCGCTAAGATATTTTCGCTGAGTGAGTTTGGCTGAGTTATTTTAGCCCGGTTGTGTTATTTTAGTCAAGTTATTTCAGTTGATTTATTTTAGTTCTTGTGAGTTAGCTCAGATAAGTTAGTCCAGTTCAGTGAGTTAAGTGAGTGGAGTCAAGTGAGTGGAGTCAGGTGAGTGGAGTTAAGTGAGTGGAGTTACGTGAGTGGAGTTAAGTGGGTGGAGTTAAGTGAGTGGGGTTAGGTGAGTGGAGTTAGGTGAGTGGAGTTAAGTGAGTGGGGCTAAGTGAGTGGAGTTAAGTGAGCTGAGGGGAGTTGAGGTGAGTTGAGGTGAGTTGAGTTAAGTGAGTGAGTTAGGTGAGCCGAGTCAAGTGAGCCGAGTTAAGTGAGTGGAGTTAAGTGAGTGGAGCTAAGTGAGTGAATTGAGCTAAGTGAGTGAGTTGAGCTAAGTGAGTGAGTTGAGCTAAGTGAGTGAGTTGAGCTAAGTGAGTGAGTTGAGCTAAGTGAGTGAGTTGAGCTAAGTGAGTGAGCTGAGCTAAGTGAGTGAGCTGAGCTAAGTGAGTGAGTTGAGC